AATGAAATTTAATTGGATTGTACTTACATTTTTTAATTTTAATTTTTTAATTGTTATAAAGATATGAGGAGGGATTACAGTTAGTGTAAGTCAGGTAATGAGTACATTTCTTTTTGGACACTATCACTCCTTCCTTCACTGTCTCAGTTTTTCCCTCCCATCCTCACCCACATGTTATATATTTCAGCATAGTGTCTAGTGAGTATGTACTTAATATTTTTAAAAATGAAATTTATACCATTAGAACAAGTCTGTTAATACTTTTTAGACGTTCAGTATATGCCATAAAAACATTAATGCTGTTCTAATATCCTTGTGTTTTAGCATCATTGTTACCCACAGGCATGTGTATGTGTTTTGGGGATTGAATGTAGGGCCTGGCTTGCTAACAGTTGCTCTTATCACTGAGCTGTTTTCAGCTGTTAAGTTCTTAAGTTCTTAAGTCTGACACAATTCTTGTAATCAAATAATAGTTAATTTCTAATGATTCTACTTGATTTGTATACTAGATTGTTGATGTAAGTATACATTTTATGATTTTGTGATAGAGGATTGAATAATTTTTTGTCTGTGTCCCTCTACTTGAATTTAACTTAGGGCCTTGTGTCATTGCTTGGCTTTTTCACTGGGGATTGGCATTCTACCACTGAAACCACATCTCCAGTTCCAGTGTTTTGCTGTTATTCAGATATGAATCTCTGATTTGTCTGCTCAGACTGGCCATGAACTGTGATTTCCAGATCTCGGACTCCTAAGTCAAACAAAAATTCTTGATAGAATTATCATAGTATGTTTTTCTTTAGGGAAATGTTTTTAAGCCGGACACTGGTAGCTCATGCCTGTAATCCTAGCTACTCAGGAGGCTGAGATCTGAGGATTGAGGTTCAAAGCCAACCCAGGCAGGAAAGTCTGTGAGACTCTTACTTCCAATTAACCACCAGAAAACTGAAAGTGGCACTGTGGCTCAAGTGGTAGAACTCTAGCCTTGAGATGAATAGCTGAGGGACAGTGCCCAGAGTTTAAGCCCCATGACCCCACCCCCAAAACAAAAAGATATAACTATGTTTTAGTCACTCAGTAGATTACAGTTAACTACACTAGTAATGGTAGCTAGATACAGCACACAAAACTATTTAACTTGCATGGGGAGGGGTGTCAAAGAGAATTTAGGAAATTTTTATTCATAGATTTAGTCTGCTGTCACTAGTTTATTTGTTGTAGAAGCTGCTATAATGCGTGTGCATGTGTGCATGCATGCATGTGTGCCTATGTGCGAGGACACACACACATGCCCTCCTGCCTATAAAAGCTAAAAGTAAATGTGCTCTGAAGCACAGGTCTTAGGATTCTGGGTCACTTCTGCCATACCAGACTGTTGGCAATTCTTTGTTCTTTTATGATGGATGTAAACACATAAGATGAGCTGGCTTTTTATTGAATATTAAATTATATATCTTTGGAGAAACACCTTGTAAAGCTTTAAGTAATTTAGCTTTGGTTAAACAAAGCTCATATAATAAACCATTATGAAAATTACCCCAATCTTGTGGTAGATTGTAAGCTCTTAGAGCAGGTTCACCTGTTCCAATGAGTGGTTTTGGAATAACTGTAATGTCAGGAATTTATGATTTTGAATGGTAATATACCTTCATACTTTTGAAGGTGATGTAACTCTTCTATTTGGCTAATTATGCCAAGTTTTAAATGTTGAGGACTAACTTGATGTAGTTCATATTCTAGGACATGCCTCTAGATTTTCTTGAACCTTTTCTATTTGCTTACAGGCATTTTTATTGTCGGTGGCTCCTTTCCCCATCTCTTCTTGAGAGGCACAAGACAAGCATTTTGAAGGGAATATTTTTGTTTTTCTGATTTTTTGAATATTTTTATTATCTTCAGTTGTAAAAAGGAGTTTTCATTCATTGAAGCAATTATGAATACTGTGCATTTTGATCCATGTCACCATTCAACATGCTCACTTACCCCTCCCAGCCTATCCTTTCCCTTCTTACTTTTAGGTTATGTATTGAATTTTTTGCCATTTACAAATCAGTTTATGTGTGCAATGCAACTTGATCTGTGTTCACCACTTCAATATCTTCACCCCACCCCTTACCTTATATTTCTCAATTCTGTGGTATTTACAGTGAATTCTTGTCTGCATTTTCCCCCTTCCTCTTCATTCTTCTATCTCTCTATCCTTGGCCCACCTTCCCTTCTTACAAGTATCCATTTCCTGGTACTCTTGGGCTTTGAGTTAGTCTTTTTTTTTTTTTTTTTCTTCAGTTGTTCATGGGGCTTGAACTCTGGGCCTGGGTGCTGTCCCTCAGCTCTTCAGCTCAAGGCTAGTGCTCTACCACTTGAGCCACAGTTCCACTTCCAGCTTTTTCTGTTTATGTGGTGCTGAGGAATTAAACCATGCGAGGCAAGAACTCTACCACTGAGCCACCTGATTTAGTTTTTTTTTTTTTAAAAAAGAATTATAATATTTGTGTTCTTCATAGTCTATTACATTTCAGTTAATTCATTTGTAACCCCTTGCTTACCATCCATTGTGTTTACTTGTAAATTCATAGGCATATTCTAGGAAAACACAACCTATGTTCCTCTGGGTCTGGCTTACTTCACTGGATATAATTTTTTCCAGGTCTTTCCATTTTTATGAATGGTACAATATCAGTCTTTTTGATGGATGAGTAGAATTTCATTATACACACACATACACACATGCCACATTTTCTTGATCCATTCGTCCATTGAGGGGCATGACTTTTTTGGGTGTGCTTGTACTGGAACTTGAACTCAGGGCCTAGGCTCTGTATCTTACATTTTTTTCCTCATGGCTGGCACTCTACCACTTGATACACAGCTCCACTTCTGGCTTTCTGGTGATTAATTGGGGTTAAGAGTCTCATGGACTGGCATGGCTTTGAACTGCTGTCTTTACTTGTTGAGTAGTAAGGATTTCAAGTGAGCCATAGGATTGCCAGTGTAAGCTTTAGGCCACTAGCACCCAACAAGACATGGAGTCTTGAAATTGGCCTGGGCTAGTTTTGTAGTTTGATTCTCTAGTGCTCAGCCTCCTGAGTAGCTATATTTCAAATGTGAGCCACCCAGGATCTGGCTATAAAGAACACTTTAAATCAAGGATAAACAAATGCTATTCTACATTGCAGTTCCTATATATATATATATATATATATATATATATATATAGAGAGAGAGAGAGAGAGAGAGAGAGAGAGAAAGAGAAAACATTAGAAAATAGGTTGACATAGCTACTAATGCTAAAATAGCTATTAAATTTTGACTTAGCAATTCTATTTATAAATGTATTTATAGAATGGGAATTTATATAATATTCGAGCCATAATTGCAGGAAAAGTCGAGAAATAAAAAGCCTCTTAATAGCAAACAAGGAAATTGTTAAATTGATAAAATGAAATGCTGTAGCACCATAGGAAAGAAATGAAGTTAGTTTTACATGTGCTAAACTGTAATGATTTCTATGATGTTCTGTTAAGCAGGGGGAAGAAATTCTACTTGTATTTTAAAGTGTGTATGCACACACACATACATATAAAATGCTTATGTAATTGTATACTGGCTCTGAAAGGAATTATACACAATTCATCACCATTACTAGCAACATTTTTTGCAATAGTAGAGATTGAACTCATGGCCTCCCTCAGGCTAAGCAAGTATTCTCAGGCTAAGCAACTATTCTCCCAGGTTCCTCTCCCAAGAGGAATAGTACGAGTACTTACTTTCCTATACTCTTTGAAACAATTAAAAAAAAATCTCTCACACACATTTTCCTCCCCCCTTTCCTACTTCTTTTCCAGTCCTTGCTACACAAACACAAGACATACAGGCTGTGTGTATCCATGTACATACCAATGCATGCATGGAACATTCAAAGTTGCTTGAAAAGTCTGGCTGTAGGGACAGGATTTGATGGTGTTTAGTCATCATTGAATATGTGTTCAGTTGGTGCTCATGGGGAATGTCTTTGGATGATACAAATGGAGGCATAGTTTCAGTATGACCTAGCCCCTGGGGCTCTTTGAACATGTGCCCAAGATTGGGGTGAGTTGCATTGTCTTTGTTATGTGATAACTTTTCTCAGTGTGAAATGAAATACAGCCTTTCTATATGTATTCAATGTAGTCAGAAAATTAGAACCGGAATAAATACTTCCTTTTATAATATCCTACAAATCTTGAGTGTGTTTTAGCACCTTGCCTTCTCTGGGCTTCCTGAGGAACATCATATTCCTGTTATTTCAGTGATTTTTCTTTTTTTTTTTTTATTTGGGTCCGGTCGTGGGCCTGAACTCTGGGCCTGGGCGCTGTTCCTCAGCTCTTCAGCTCAAGGCTACGGTCTACCACTTGAGCCACAGCGCCACTTCCGCCCTTTTTTTTTTTTCTGCTTATGTGGTGCTGAGGAATTGAACCCAGGGCCTCATGCATGCAAGGCAAGCGCTCTACCACTGAGCCACCTTCCCAGCCCTTCAGTGATTTTTCTACAGAGCTGGGTCTTTGACTAACTTGGGAGTGGGAATACAAATAATGCTTCTTATTTTTGTAGCACAATCATGCATGCACACATTCACACCCCTAGATGAGAACTATTTTAGGCAGTACTTTTGTAATCCCTGAGGAGAGGTCCTGGTTCCATCCAGGTAACTTGTTTTCTTTTTATGAACTGCTAATGTGTATACAACAGTTAAGGCTGACTAGTCTTTTTTTTTTTTTTTGGGTCCGGTCGTGGGGCCTGAACTCTGGGCCTGGGCGCTGTCCCTCAGCTCTTCAGCTCAAGGCTAGCGCTCTACCACTTGAGCCACAGCGCCACTTCCGGCTTTTTTTGTTTTGCTTATGTGGTGCTGAGGAATCGAACCCAGGGCCTCAGGCATGCAAGGCAAGCGCTTTAACCACTGAGCCACCTTCTCAGCCCCGGCTGACTAGTCTTGGTTCTAGTATATTGTGCTTTTGTTGCAGGAAAAGCCAAGATCTGAAGGTTGGAAATATTGGATACGTTACTTGGGAAAGAGTAATTCATTTAACCAAAGGTAGGTAATTTAATCTAGAATTAATTTTTGTTGGCATTTATTTAGGAGTTAGCTTTGTGGACATTAATTTTTTCTTGGCATCTATTTGATATAGCAGAGATGGCTTATTTATAGGAATAGCTTGAAGCCAGAGTCATGGTGGATGTAGGAAAGTGGCCAATCTTCAGTCTGCTTTCACCTCAGGAAATCTCATCTATTCGGAAAGCATGTGTCTTTGGCACCTCAGCCAATGAAGCACTGTATGTCACTGATGATGATGAGGTAAGACTCTGGACATTAGAACTTAAGTTTTGGGACTTATTTTGGAGTTGGGTTTCAGATCATGGCACTCAAAGGAGAGAAAAGGTAAGATATAAAGAGAACCTGAAATTTGGGAAGATTGTACTTTTGATACACTTTCTCTCTTGGCGTCTGAGTTGGTATCACTCTTCATAGTATAGATAGGTATTGTGAAACTTAAGTAATGTCAGCAGTCTACCCTACTAAGCTGTCATATTGAACTTTGAGTGTTATTTTCAGAATGGAGAACTCACTGGAGAATTTTTTTTTTAATGTGACTTGAGTCAGGATGTACCAGACAAAACTATTTGTTTTCTAGGTCTTCGTGTTTGGACTGAACTATAGTAACTGTCTAGGAACCGGAGATAACCAGAGCACACTTGTACCCAAGAAACTGGAAGCCTTATGTGGCAAAAAAATTAAAAGCCTTAGTTATGGGAGTGGCCCCCATGTTCTCCTCAGCACTGAAGGTAAAGGGAACAATCTAGCTTTCAGTTTGTGGGAAATGGAGCAATTCAAAGCGAAGGGAGAAAAACAACAACAAAAACTAAGGCTCTTTCAAATAATTAATCTAAGGTTGCTTGTTTCTTAATTTCTGAGGGAAGTACACAAAACAGCTAGGCAACTGTGGAATAGCCACAGGATGTTGTGCACATTAGGCAAAACTTTTGGAGGTTCTTAGACTACGTGTGTAAACTTATAGAAGACTGGCTCACAGCAAAAGAAGTGATCTTTTCCAGTTTGGTGTTTCAGTGGATTTGTGGTCACAAGGCAACTTTGGTATATTTTTATAAACAGGTAATACTGGTTTTATTTTCTTTGTGTAGTTTCTGAATCTTACGTCAAGAAATCTTAGTGTATTTTTGGACATTCATGTGGGTGCCACATTGAAAGAATGGGAGATACAGGTGGACAGATTCTTGTCTCCATCTCCCTAAGGTCTGTGGGAGAATAAATGTTTTTTCTTTGTAATTTATCTGCACTATGGACCACCATAATTGTAAAAGTTCCTTACGTGTAACTACTTCCTTTCATGTTTTAAGCTGATTAGCATTAGCCCCCAAACTACAATCATAATAATCTCTGCCTTCTTTCTTTCTTTTTTTGGTTGGTCGTGGGGCTTGAACTCTGGGCTTGGGCACTACCCCTCAGCTCTTCAGCTCAAGGCTAGCACTCTACCACTTGAACCACAGTGCCACTTATGGCTTTTTTCTGCTTATGTGGCGCTGAGGAATCGAACCCAGGGCCTCATGCATGCAAGGCAAGCACTCTACTACTGAGCCACCTTCCCAGCCCAATCTCTGCTTTCTGAGTAGCTGGTTGTACAGCATTTCTTGTCTCCATCTCCCTAAGGTCTGTGGGAGAATAAATGTTTTTCTTTGTAATTTATCTGCAGTATGGCCCACCAGTATTGTAAAAATTCGTTACGTGTAACTTCTTCCTTTCATGTTTTAAGCCCATTAGCTTTTGTTCTCTTTTGCAAGGTCCTCAGGATTTTGCTGCATGTTCTAGGAGATCAGCCTTTCAGAGACTGACTGCATCCTATATCTATACTAGGGATCAAGCTTTGTTGGGTACTGCTTTGCTAACTAGTGTTGTGAGTGCTCTTAACCAATGTATGGATCCTCTCCAAGTTATCTTTCTCTAAGTATAAAAGGCAGGTCTGAGCTGATCCTTGAATACGAGTCTTAACTGGTGTTGAACATAATGTGGTAGTTACCTCACTCCTGCTTGAATTACTTTTTCAATTTTTTGACTTTTTTCATTTTTCATTTTGTATTAGCATATATTATACATATATTATCCCCTTCCCTACTTATTTGCTTTGATATATTTACCCCCTTAACCCTTTCCATTTGCCCTTTCCCTTCCCATTGATTTCCACTCCCAAACAGCTTCTGACTTTCTCCAAAGTCTGATGATTGTTAGCAGTCTGTTTACAGGTAAAGCAAAAGTGTACAGATCTGAATATTGGTAGTTGTGTTTGTGGGGGAAGCTCACAAGTTCTGAACTTTTTTTTTTTTTTTTTTTACCAGAAATCTCTTGTTTCTATTTCTTGGAGTTCATTTCGATACATATTATTTATTTTTATTTTTATTGTGAAAATACTGTACAGAGGGGTTACAATTACATGGGCAAGATAATGAGTACATTTCTTATCAAGCATTGTAGCCTCCTCCTTTGTTTCCCCTTCCCATCCCTTCCCATCCTCCCCCTGCCCCCTTCTGAACTTCTTTATAGGAGATAGTACTGATTTTGTGAGGGACGTTTCCAATATCACTATATGGCCTTCTGTATAGACTTTTCCATTTTCCAGGCCTGGGGATAGGAGAATCTATCTGCCTCCTAGATACTGAACAAGGAGGGATGGGCAGAACATAACATTGTAAATTCTCCTTCTGAAACAATAACACCTCATGACTGCCTTCAGCGCCTCTCTGAATTGTTTTGAGCCTTCTGGGCCTGGATCCTCTGCTTACTTTGTGGTGTTTGAAATGGGGGAGGAGAGAGGCGAATTTGGGCAAAGGGAAAAGTAGGGATGCAGAACAGTTACAAGAAATTCACATTGAGTAAGTTATCAGTAACACTGATAACCAGTGTTAGGAGAGATTGTCTGGCTCCACAGGGAAGTGATGAGGACTTGCTTCTGGTTTTTTTTTTTTGCAGCCTGCATTTGGGTTTCCTGTAATCTCTGGGTTTTCCTGGCAGCCTGGTGTTGGAATTGGCTTCCTGGCAGCTTCTCCTTTTGCAGATGTGATGATACTAATTCATTTGAAGTTTTAATTACCACATCTGTCTTTTTTTCATCCTCCAAAGTTTTATTGATACTACTCATTCTGTTATCTCCTCTGTTATTCTTTGTCCTGAGTGCTCATGACTTTTTTTCCCTTTTACTATCATTTCAGTTGGATTTTAAATTTCTCCACACCTTACTGATTTGTGCTATATATATGTACACACATGTGTGTGTGTACATATATATAGATATAGATAGATGTATAATTATTTTTTGGGTGGTACTAAGATTTTTTTTCCCCCTTCTGGTTGTAGGCTAGAACTCTGGGCCTGGGTACTATCCCTGAGCTCCTTTTGATGAAGGCTAGCAGTCTACCGCTTGAACCACAGTGCCACTTCTGGCTTTTTCTGTGTTTAATTGGAAATGAGTCTCTTTCTTGCGCTGGCTGGCTTTGAACTGTGATCCTCAGATCTCAGCCTCCTGAGTAGCTGTATTAGGGTTTTAACTTTGGGCCTTGTGATTGCTATGCAGGTGTTCTGGAGCCATAGCCTCAGACCACCTTGTTGCTTTATTGTTCAGGTAGGGCTTACATTTTTGTAGAAGGCTGAGATGATAGCAAAACTACTTTGCAAAGTAAGTGAAAAAATCGGTACAGTGTGTACCATCACACCCAGCTTATTGATTGGGATAGGGTCTTAACTTTTCCCCTCAAACTACAATCATAATAATCTCTGCCTTCTTTCTTTCTTTCTTTTTTTGGTTGGTCGTGGGGCTTGAACTCTGGGCTTGGGCACTACCCCTCAGCTCTTCAGCTCAAGGCTAGCACTCTACTACTTGAAGCACAGTGCCACTTATGGCTTTTTTCTGCTTATGTGATGCTGAGGAATCGAACCCAGGGCTTCATGTATGCAAGGCAAGCACTCTACCACTGAGCCACCTTCCCAGCCCAATCTCTGCCTTCTGAGTAGCTGGTTGTACAGCATTTCTAAAGGCTGTTTTGGGAATATTTTGATCAAATTGAATGTCTAGTTCTACCTGGTCTCTGCTTTGAAGCTCAATGTCTCTATGATACTCTATTTTATATACAGACCTTGTGCTTCTAGATTTTTGTCTTCTGAAGCAATATTAGTTTACTTATAAAATAAATAGTTTGGCCACTTTTCCAACTTAATGTCCAGTACGTGAAGACTAGACCCTGGATACACTTAAAGGTCAGAAGCCAATGGATATTTTTTCATTCCCTCCACACTTCTCTAGTCTGTTGTGCAAAATTACACAAAGATGTGACATCTCTTAAGCCTCAAGTGATCCTGCAATATAGTTTCTGGCCTGTTGTGAATAGTGCAGACAGAAAAGGGTTGGAGAAGTAAATGCTGTATCTAGTTGGGATGCATTGATTATGAGGGTGTCTGCAGGATTTGGTGCTGAAAGCCATCTCGGGTGGAGTTTACCTTTCTCATGCTTTATCAATGAAAAAGGAGAGATGTGAATAGACTACTTTTTAGTAGTGGCTTTTGTGATCTTATGAGCCCTTGTCCAGGCTGCACTCTGGCCATGGAACTGCACAATTCTAGTCACCATCATTACTGAGCAGGAGTGCTTGAAAAGATTTCCAGTCAAATATCATCTCTGCCTCTGTTTTATGACCACAGTCTCGCCTCTTCCTGCCAGGATTGGAACTCCCTTTTTTCCTCGAGGCTAGAGTTATGCAGTGTTCATGGCAGCCACAGTTCAAGGTTCTTTGGATGGATCATGTCACCTGGTCTTGAGTGATCATTTATTTTAGCTGTAGAAAAGAGAGAAAAGCATGTATTTAGGGACAGCCTACTCTTGATATGCAGTCAGGAAAAATGCATGAAATGACAATGTTTCAAAAGGATATGAAACAAAAGTTACTGCTAGAGTTCCAAAAGACAAAGTCCATTAAAAAGAAAGATCCAGGCAGAAGATCTTTGGCGTTGAAGTTAGTGAACACATTGGGGTGGTAGTGTTTAAGCTCTGTGTGCTCCCTACCTTCTGGCTTTTCCATTTAGCTGTTCCTGAGTTCAGAACTGATTATGCTTTTCAAAGAGTTCCTTATAAATGTTAGTGATGGTGCTTCCTGATTATGCCAGTCCCCAGCTATGGAAATACTCCCAGTCTTAGAGTCCTTCAGATACCACAATACAATAAAGCAAGCCTAATCCTTATTATTGCTTCTTGTCCAGATTCTGTTTCTTTGGGGGTGTGGTAGGGCTTGAACTCAGGGGCACTGTCCTTGAGCTTTTTTTTTCTCTGAAGGCTAGTGCTCTACCACTTGAGCCAGGAACTCTACCTCTAGCTTTTTTGTGGTTAATTGGAGATCAGAGTCTCACAGACTTTTCTTCCCTGGGCTAGCTTCAAACCTCAGTTCTCAGATATCAGCCTATTGAGTAGCTAGGATTACAGGTGTGAGCCACCAGTGCCTGGCTTTGTGCAGATTTTGGTATACATTAAAAAATACTCATTTTTGATAAGCATTAAAAAAGTCACTTTATGCCTTTTTGAAAAAATTTCAGTGTAGAAAGTAAAATGTTTGTACACATAGACTGATTTCTGACTGTAAAATTGATTCTATATGAGTACCAAGTTCTTTGATTAAAGATTTTGCTTCTGTTTTTTCTGTTTTCTCGTTCTTCCTTCTGTTCCTGGAGTCCTATTAGTATTTATTTTACAGAGAAGAGAGGGCAATGTGAGACATATTTGGAGAATGAGTTGCACTAAATCTGCAGAAGAGAGTTTTCCCTTGGAGCTGATTTCTCTGTGTGCTCATGTATATAGATGGAGTGGTCTACGCTTGGGGCCACAATGGATACAGCCAGCTGGGGAATGGGACCACCAGTCAAGGCATTGCTCCCATACAAGTTTGTACCAATCTCTTGATCAAGCAGGTGATTGAAGTAGCTTGTGGCTCACACCATTCACTGGCTTTGGCAGCTGATGGAGAGGTAAGCACACTGCTTTTATTTTTAATTGTAAAAAAATACACACTACCATCTTATTCTTATGTAGAATTTAAGTACATTTAGATTATTGGCTCAACCTTTTTTTTTTTTTTTTTTTTTTGTCAGTTGTGGGGCCTGAACTCTGGGCGTGGGCGCCGTCCCTCAGCTCTTCAGTTCAAGGCTCTACCACTTGAGCCACAGTACCACTTCCAGCTTTTTTTTTCTGCTTATGTGGTGCTGAGGAATCAAACCCAGGGCCTCATGCATGCAAGGCAAGTGCTGTACCACTGAGCCACCTTCCCAGCGTACATTTAGATTATTGTATACAACTTTTACTACCACACTGAGAAAACTCATTTCATCTTGTAAAGTTGACTATCTGTTAAACATTAATTTTCCGGTCTCTTTCCTCAGTTTCTGGCAACCATCCTTCTACCTTCTGTTTTTATACTCTGACTGCTCTAGGAAACTCCTAGTAGAATAGACACTATTTGCCATTTTGTGACTTCTGTTAGCTAGTGTCTTCAGGCTGAATGTATGTATAATACCACATTTTGTTTACCCACTAATCTCTAGATGATCCATAGTTGCTCCTGTTTTTCAGCTATTATGAAAGTGCTCTGCGTTAAAATAAAAAATTGGGATGAGAGTATGGCTCAAATGGTAGAGCAATTGTCTAGCAAGCGTGAAATCCTGAATTCAAATTCTAGTACCAAAAAAAATTGAAAATAAGAAAAATAGTGATCATATTTAGATTTGTAGCTAAAAGCATTGTGGGAACACAGTGAGTTTCTCAAGCATTACATGTGTTATGTAGTCAGAATGGTTACATAGCCAGTGTACACCCATGGCACACATTCCCATAATATCGCCCCCAGGTGGTGGAGGCAGGAGATAGTGAGCTATTGAGTTCCAAGTAAGCTTGTCTAAAGAGTAAGATCTTTGTTTCTGAAAACTAAAACCGCAATGTGTTGGTGGTTCACATCTGCAATCATAGCTCTTCAGGAGGTTGAGCTCTAAGGATTGCCTTTCAAAGCCAGGAAAGTCCTTGACACTCTTATTTCCAATTAACCACTAAAAGCTGGAAGTGGAGTTTTGGCTCAAGTGGTAGAGTCCAGCCTAGAGTGAAAAAGCTCATTTATAGTGCCTAGCCCCTGAGTTCAGGACCAGTCCCCCCCCAAAATAAAAAGATGATTGTTTTGCTAGAACTGGCACATATGTACCATACATACACATGCATACATATACACACATATGTGCATATACATGCAAACATGCAAATGTGTGAAGAGTGTTTCCAGAAGGCATGTAAAGTGTGGTGTTAGAAATTCTCTTTGTGTTGGAAGAAATTTCCCTTACTGCCAATACCTGCTTCTTGTTTTCTATGGCCATACTAGTTTAAAAGGACTTGGGAGTGTTTTCTTTTTGTCTCTCTGTATTAAAAATAGGGTTTTCAGAATATGGCAGGTAAGAGGAGAAAAATAGGCTTGAGATTCAGTGGAGAATGATTGCTGTCTGAAGCTGACAGAGAGCAAATAAGAACTCAGAACAAATATCGCCAGGAAAAGCCTAATAACTAGGGTCATTTCTGTAGGGACAAATGTCTCCTTAGCACTTGCAAGCCTTACTACATTATGAGGAACTATTTCAGGGAAAACTATATAATGCTCAGTATTGTTGACTGGTAAGACAAGAAAAAGCAGAAAATGTATTTGTGCAAAGAATTGAGCAGATTTTTTTACATCATTGATACTTGTGTGGCATATACTTCATTGCTACTGATGCTTGAAGAAAGTATCTGTATAGTTACCCTAATTATCAAGGTACCATGCACAGTGGGCAAGATCATAGTAAGTACATAGTAAAATGCCTGTGCCCCAGTTTCGCTTGTCCTAGTAATTGGCTCTGAATCTGCAAGTAAGATTCTAATCTCAGGGCTGGGAAGTTGGCTCAGTGGTAGAGCGCTTGCCTTGCATGCCTGAGGCCCTGGGTTCAATTCCTCAGCACCACATAAGCAAAAAGAAAAAAAGCCGGAAGTGGCACTGTGGCTCAAGTGGTAGAGCACTAGCCTTGAGCTGAAGAGCTGAGGGACAGCGCTCAGGCCCAGAGTTCAGGCCCCACAACCGGACCCCCCCCACCCCCCCAAAAAAAAAAAAAAGATTCTAATCTCAGTTTCAGTTTCTAGAACTGTTTTGGTTTCATCTATCCACCTGCAGAGAGGATGTGACTTTTGCCTACCCCAGCATCATTTTATAGAGTATAGCAAAGATTAAATAGTATAATAATCCAGCACTATCTAGCACATCATAAGCCCTCATTTTCTCTTTCTTTTTTCTTGTAGGTATTTGCATGGGGCTATAACAATTGTGGTCAGGTGGGATCAGGATCTACAACAAATCAAGCAACTCCTCGAAAAGTTACAAACTGTTTACATATTAAGAGGGTGGTTGGTATTGCCTGTGGTCAGACTTCCTCCATGGCTGTTTTGGACAATGGTGAGGTGAGTTCTCTCCACTCTAGTCACTCCTCTACTCCTCTTTCTCATAAACAAGAAGCTTTTTCTTGGCAGCTTATTGACAGTTAACTGATTTTTGACTGAGGGTTAGAGGCACTAGTCAGTCAAATGGTATCTGTTCTTTAGAATGACTTCTTGAAATCCCAAGCTTTATCTGCAAAGAAAGATTCTGTTATGTCTACATTTGATGTTTTGCAAGATCCATATAGCCTAATGCTTATAGGTATTTCTGATTTAATGGGTTCAGGAATCTCACACCACCTTTCTCTAACCATGGAAAGGTAAAACTGCACATTTTCAAGACAACTGATACAAAGTCTTGGTGTAGTTAGCTACACATCTCAAATGTTTGCTCCTAGGAGGAAGCAACTTGATAGAGTAGAATTTGTTGTCCTGATTGTTAGCAACTTTTAAAAACTACCCCATTAGTCACCTTTGAGCTAATGGTTATTTCTCTTAAATTATTTCGGGCAGAAGCTAATACTTAAATGGGTCACTCACCACCTCTGCATTACCATCTATGCATCTCCTAGTGCTTACAGAGAGATTCTATGGATACAGACTGTTGTGCTCACCTATGTAGACTTATTGAGTGTTTTTTGTTTCTTTGTTGTTTTCAGTCCTGGGGCTTGAACCTAAGGGCCTGGGCACTGTCCCTGAGCCTCTCTGTGCTCAAAGCTAGCAGTCTACCACAGTGCCACTTCTGGCTTTTTTCTAGTTTCTGTGGTACGGAGACATTGAACCCAGGGCTTCATGCATGCTAGGCAGACATTCTACCTTTAAGCCACATTCCCAGCCCCAGACTTACTTTTTAATCTCAATTTGGTTGTCATTCTGGATGATCAGAATTCCTTGGGATAGCTGCTAAGAGCCTCTATTCCATTGCTCTTACACCTTTTTTAAAAAAAATTTTAGGGGCTGGGAAGGTGGCTCAGTGATAGAGCGCTTGCTTTGCATGCATGAGGCCCTGGGTTTGATTCCTTAGCACCACATAAGCAAAAAGAAAAAAGCTGGAAGTGGCGCTATGGCTCAAGTGGTAGAGTGCTAGCTTGCGCTGAAGAGTTGAGGGACAGTGCCCAGGCCCAGAGTTCAGGCCTCATGACCGGACCCAAAAAAAAATTATATGTTTTTTATTGTAAAAATACTGTACAGAGGGGTTACAGTTACATGAGTAAGATGAGTACATTTATTGTTACCTCCTTCTTTACTTTTCCTCTACCATCCCTTCCCTCCCCTCCTCCCCAACTCTTCCCTACCCCCACCCCCGAAGTTGTAAAGTTCGTTTTCAACATAGTGTCTTGTACATCTCATTGTTACAATGGGTCAGCCTGTATCCTTATTTCAGCATTTTGTTATTTGCCTTCCCCTCCCCAAATTAGAAAAATGAATATACAAGATGCAGGGCACTGAAATCAAATACAGTGAAAACAGTTTATACCGTGGGGGGAAGAACATACAAAAGAAACAAAAAAAATCACATATACATTATAAATATGTTAAAAACAATAGCAAGAAAGAAAAAAAACCACTTGTGTCCCTGTGTTGGGGTTCGTTTCACTTAACATGTTATATGACCTTTTCTGCTTGTCCTAGACATGTACTAGTTATTGCAAATAAGGGAAACAATGGGACCTATGATTTTTTTTGGCCCTGGCTTACTTCACTTAATATAATTTTTTCCAAGTCTTTCCATTTCCTAACAAATGGGGTGATGCCATTCTTTCTGATGGAGGCATAGAATTCCATTTTGTGTGTGTGTGTGTGTGTGACACACACATATACCACATTTTCTTGATCCATTCATCTACTGAGGGGCATCTGGGTTAGTTCCATATCTTAGCTATGGTAAATAATGCTGCAATAAACATAGTTGTGCTGGTAGCGTTAATAATGGTCTTGTTTGTGATCATTTGGGTAAATGCCCAAAAGTGGGATTGCTGGGTCATAGGAGAGCTCTATGTGGAGTCTTTTGAGGAACCTCCATACTGCTTTCCAAAGTTTACACCTTTATTTTTTTAAAAAGATACAATTTTTTATAAAATTAACAAAGGAAAGCAAATGAAACCTAAAAAGTGAATCTTTTTTCCATTTTTATCAGTTCTGAATTCCTCTTTATAAATAATTATATAAGGATAAGTATAATTACCTTTAACTGGGGAGGTTGTATACCCATCTGTTTTTCTGCTCAATTTGCAGCATGTGCTTTGTCTTCATGTCTTAGACCAATTATCCACAGGGTATCTGGTCTGAATCCTGCCTGCTTCTATCAATCACCCATGGCTGGAACTCCACTGACAAGCATTTTAATCATTGTTAATTTTATCTGTCATAAGCAGTGCTGTGTTCATTTTCTGCTATTTTCTGTGTATCTATGCCTGTGTTTCCTGCTTTGTTTTTTTTTTTTTTTTTTTTTTTTTTTTTTTTTTTTTGTTGGACATGGGCCTTGAACTCAGGGCTTGGTTGCTGTTCGTGAGCTCCTTTTCGTTCAAGGCTAGTGCTCTACCACTTTGAGCCATGGTGCCACTTTTGGTTTTCTGGTAGTTAATTGGAGATAAGAGTCTCATGGACTTTCCTGCCCAGGCTGTCTTCAAAACCGCGATTCTCAGATCTCAGCCTCCTGAGTAGCTAGGATTACAGGCAGGAAGCACTGGTACCTGGCTTCTATGTGTATATTTCTGTAGGATAAATTCTCAGGTTAGAATTTTGATGTCAAGAAGAGTGCCATTAAAAATGTTGATAGCCACCCAGGCATTGGTGGCTTATGCTATAATCCTAGCTACTCAGAGGGCTGAGGACTAAGAATTGCAATTTGAAGCTAGATAGGGCAGGAAAGTGTGTGAGACTACCCATATTAGAAGTGGAGCTGTGGCTCACATAGTGGAACAAAAAAGCTCAGGGCCAACACCTAGACCCTGAGTTCAAGCTCTGAGACCAGCATAAAAAAACAATGTTGATGGCTTCATGCAAAAAGTTGATACCTATCATGTACTTCTGGCTCTGACTACTCTAAAGCCCATGCCCCTGTTCCTCTGTCATATTACCCTGAGAAGCCCCAGTGCACATCTCTACCTGCCTTGCTGAAGAATGTAATGCCATCACAAGTCTTAGGTTTCTGATTGGAACTAGACTAATTGTTTGTCTGTTTCTAGTCCATATTTGTTTAGTACTTTAGTACTCCAGCTGTTTGTTTCCCTTTTTTTCTTTTATTGTCCCTCCCTCCTCTCCCCCTCTTTGCCAGTCCTGGGGCTTGAACTCAGGGCCTAGGCACTCTCCCTGAGCTTTTTTTTCTGAAGGCTAGCACTCTACCCCTTGAGCCACAGTCACACTTCTGGCTTTTTCTGTTTATGTGGTACTGAGGAATGGAACCCAGGGCTTCATGCCTGCTAGGCATGCACTCTACCATTAAGCCATATTTTCAGCCCTCCAGCTGTTTCTGTTAGCATATGATCCCCTCTCATTCCAGCCTTTGAGGGAACCATTTTGTTCTATGAGAACCTTTTTATAATCCATCCCCCTTTTCTTGGTTCCTTCACTTCCTAGCTCAGAGCCTCATCAGAGCTCACTGTGTGCAGGAAAGATAATATACGGAATGATTTTTCTGCTTCTAATGTTTTGTGTCCTTGTCACCCTTCTTTGGTGGCCTGTGTGATCTTTAAAATAAAAATTCTCATTTTGAAATATTTCACTGGGAATTCTTAGTGCATTATTCTACTTTCCCTCATGACTTTATCATCTAGCCCTTCCCTTCTGGTCTTTCCTCCTTTTTCTTTTCTTTTTTTTTTTTGATCCGGTTGTGGGGCCTGAACTCTGGGCCTGGGCGCTCTCCCTCAGCTCTTCAGCTCAAGGCTAGCGCTCTACCGCTTGAGCCACAGCACCACTTCTGGCTTTTTTCTTTTTGCTTATATGGTGCTGAGGAATCGAACCCAGGGCCTCATGCATGCAAGGCAAGCACTCTACCACTGAGCCACCTTCCCACCCCTCTCCTTTTTCTCTGTGTTCATCCAGCCCCTCTTCTTGTCCCCTGTCTCTCCCTTTGATAGATTTTTCCTGGAGTGCCTTCACTGTCGTGATATTCAGCCCATTCCGATTGTTAGTCCCTAAGCTTTCTTCCTGTAGCTAAGTCCTTCCTCCTCATTGTTCCTGTAGCGTTTTGATTAGTTTTCTTAGTACCTCTTAGTCTGCAAAAAAATGTGTGTGCATTTCTTTTGCTAAATTTTGACTAAATATTTAGTCCTTTTCTGTATCTGAATGTACAGTAGCTATTTAATAACTGTAAATAACTTTTTCATGTATAATACATGCATGAGAAACTTCCCAAGGCTAACTGGTAAGTCTTGGAGTAGGAATTGATGCCAAATCTTGTCACCCCCTACCTCAGAACATCTCTTTGGATAAATTGTAAGGCCACATTGGGTGAAATGCAGATGTTGGAGTATCTAACTTGTTTAGAAGGACTGGGTTTTCTCTTCATTAGCAGTTCTCATTGCTTGCCTCTTCTTTCTCTCCCTCTCAGGTGTATGGCTGGGGCTACAATGGCAATGGTCAGCTAGGCTTGGGAAACAATGGCAACCAGCTGACCCCCGTGAGGGTGGCAGCTCTCCACAGCGTGTGTGTGAACCAGGTATATTGTGATGGCCTTACTGGTTGTACCCCCGTCCCTCTTCTCTGCTCTTGACATGAAGATATTTTGGAGGTTACTCTTTTATCATTCTTTTCTGGCAATTCCATGTCCTTTTCCACATTGAGTGGTTTGTTATTTCTTAAATTCCCATGAGAAGGAAGCTCACTATGTTTTACATCAGTCTTGACCGGGTAAAGCAACTCATGGAGAAATCCAGCAGTGTGTTGGTTTTCCCTAGTGCTTCTCAGTTGCCAACAAATTCCAGACCAAATTTGATGCTATGACCTGACATTCTCAAAGGGTGGCTATGATCTTTAAGCAAGTGTTGTCCCTGACCTTCCTGTTTCTTGGTATGGTAACAGTTTCCTTTTACTTGCAGATCGTCTGTGGCTATGCACATACACTAGCACTAACAGATGAGGGCTTGCTCTATGCCTGGGGAGCTAACACATATGGGCAGCTGGGAACTGGCAATAAAAATAATCTGCTAAGCCCAGCACACATCATGGTGGAGAAAGAAAGGTAACGTGGCTGTGTCCTATCTAAGGACTGTGTGTGCGATGTGGCCTTAAGATTGTATGTGGCAGAGCTGTGGTGGTTGGCTTTGTGACTTTTCTGTTCATTAATATTCTCATTTACAAGATAGTTTTGAATACCGGACAGAACCAACGTGAAGATATGATTCTCATGAAGCTTTCTGAAGTAGCCACTAGTTTGATAAATGACTGCATCTTAATGTAATTCTGGCAGACTTGGTGTGGACCATTGAATGGGGAAGTCAGAGTCTGTGGCCATTCTGAGATTCAAAGTGTGGCACGATAAAATGTTATAACCTGGCTTGCCTTCAATAATGTATGTAATGTAGTTGATGTTTCGATAATCTAACATTTCAAAGAAACCAAAGCAGAATTGAGGAATCTCCAAATTGTATACCCTTGATTATAGGTGCTGCTTTACAAAGCATGCTTCTTCAAAAAGAAAAATTAAGAATTGCATTGCTGAAAAAATGTCACAAAATACTTCATTTGAGCCAACTTTTTTTTAACTGAGATTAAGTGATTACATAAATTTCACAAATTTCATAGTATTGTAAGATAGTGACACTTAGTTAAATCGCAAACACATTTTAACCTTCACAAGGCAAATTGTCATCATTTTCTATAATGTTTGTGAATTCTCTGAGCTTTGACAATACAACTATTTCTCCCACGTTGGTGATATGTACATTTCTTTCCTTTTGCTTAGTATAAGCTGTTTCCTCTTTCCCTCTTATTCCCTTCCTCCCATCCGCTCCCTCCCACCACTGCCCTTGAGTTCTTGAGCCAACTTCTTTAAAGGACCCCATCTGTTTAAATATTGATTTGATTTAATGTGTACTACTGGAATAGATGCATAATATGTATTGAACCACATTGTGAGGTTTTACCCACTTGAGTCTCTTTTTTTTTTTTCCTTTTGGTAGTACTGGGATTTTAACTCTAGGCTTTGAGCTTGCTAGGCATACCCTCAGCTTCTTGAGCCATACCATCGGTCCTGCCCACTGTGTGCTGTTTATTGGACTCTTCTAAGAGCCTAGTGATAAAGTGGTTTGGCCTAATGTACTTTTGGGCATCAGAGTCCATTACTTTGTGTGTGTGTGTGCATGCCAGTACTGAGGCTTGAATTCAGAGCTAGGGCGCTCCCCTTAGCTTTTCCTCTTAAGGCTTGCTCTCTGAACCACTTGAGTTATAGCTCAACTTCTGGCCTTTTTGTGGTTAGTTGGAGATGAGAGTTTCACAGACATTCCTGTTCAAGGCTGGCTTGGAATTGTGATTCTCAGCTCTCAATCTCCTGTCTAGGATTACAGAAATGAGCCACCAGCCCTAAGTTATAGTCCATTACTCTTATCCAAATGCTTATGAGCTTTGTGTGGGGAAGAGAGAAAAGGCATTTTTGTTTTGTTTTCTCTTTTAACTAGGAAATGCTCTATTAAAGGTAGTAGTAACATATGTATATTTAAACTACTGTTTCAGCCCCCAGAACAGTCAGGATGTGTTGTCAGTGTCCACTTTCCTCATTGATTTTGGCTTCTAATCTGCTTTTCAAAGTATTCCTTAACCACTATGCATTATTTATCCTAACTCAAAATGAGCCCAAATGAGAAGTAAGGCTATCAGGAAGAAAGACAGTATTGTTTTACTGATCTTTTGCTTTTTATAGCTAGGACTTGGCCACTAATATCCCTGGGCTTGGGGTACTTTGAGGTATTCTAAGAACAAACTTTTAAATTACAATGGGCAAGGGGTGCATATTGAAGACTTTTCTGATAAAAGAAGTATCATTTTTTTCCCCCAAACTTTTCAGGGTAGTAGAGATTGCAGCCTGTCACTCCACCCACACATCTGCGGCCAAGACCCAGGGTGGGCATGTGTACATGTGGGGCCAGTGCCGGGGCCAGTCCGTCATTCTCCCTCACCTCACCCACTTCTCCTGCACTGATGATGTGTTTGCGTGCTTCGCTACCCCTGCTGTCTCATGGCGCCTCCTGTCTATAGGTAAGAAGCCCAGGAGAGTGCTTCTGGCAGTTGACTAGATATTATTGCAGATTTGCTAGAAGTAGGCTCTTTCAGGTTTTAGAGTGTTTCATTCTCTGTTACCTTTAATAATCAGATTTATTTGTATGTAATGATGTATCCCTGTGGACTTCTTTTTCCCCAAGTACTTCCATTTTAATTGAGACTAAATGGTTAGTTTTATATTATGTTAACTTAAATGGACAACCCAGTGGAATTTATGTTCATAATGTTGTGTACTCATCATTTATATCATGTTCCAAAATACTTTTCCAACCCCAGAAGAAAACCCTCTATTCCCTAAGCATTTACCTACTAGTCCTCCTCCCCCCCAGTTTGAGGTTATCTTTAGAAAGAGTTCAGCTACTGCCAAACTTGAAGTGAAGCCAAGTGAACATGGCCTTTCAATTCATTTGCCAGCTTAGCTGTAATACTACTTATAAATATAAACCTTATATCTTTGTATATAATCTATAATATTTATATATAGTATATAATAAATTTAATTATTATATATATTTATAGTATATAAACATATATATTTATATAAATACAATTAGAAAAATATGATTAGTGGGACCATGTGGCCATAATCATACACATGTGAAAGCGCATCTGTACAACATTTTTAGGTATTTCTTTTTGTCTTCATTGCTAGTGTGGAGGCTTGAACTTAGGGCTTTTGGACTCTTGGCTCAACTGTCTTGCTCCTGGCTGGCACTCTACCACTTAAGTCATGGCTCTAGTCTTGCATTTCTTTTGGTTAAGATGGAGTCTTGAGGATTTCTCTGCCCAGGCTGGCTTGAACTATGATCTTCCTGTTGCAGCTTCCTGAGTAGTTAGGACTAGAGGCATGAGCCACTAGTGCCCAAATAACTTCCTTAGATTTCTTTACACTACTTACCTGAACTTGCAAGAACCTTGATAAGCCTTTCTTATTCATCTTAAAATGCACAGTGCTTTTCAGAACAATTTTCTCTTGGTGGTATTTAGGTTTTGAACTCAGGTCTTTGTACTTGCTAGTTAGGAGCTCTGCTGCTTGAGACACGCCTCCAGCCCTTTTTGTTCTAGTTATTTTATTATTTTAGTCAGTCATGGGGCTTGAACTCTGGGCCTGGGCGCTCTCCCTCAGCTTTTTAGCTCAAGGTGAGCACTCTAACCCTTGAGCCATAGTGCTCAAGTTTTCTGAGTGGTTTATTGGAATTTCACAGACTTTCCTGTATGGGCTGGTTTTGAACCTCAGATCTCAGCCTCCTGAGTAGCTAGGATTACAGTCATGAGCCATCAGCAACCGGCTTTTAACTTTTTTGTACTGATACCAGGACCTGAGCTCAGGACTTTGTGCTCTGGCTTAGCTTTCTTGCTCACTGCTGGTACTTTATCACTTGAGTCACACCTCCAGTAAGTTATTTTGCTGGTTAGTTGAAGATAGAATTTTGCAGTTCTTTATGCTCAGGTTGATTTCCAACCATGATACTTCAGGTGTCACCCTCCTGAGTAGTTTGGATTATAGTCATGACCTAAACAGTGTCCAGCTTGTTCTGGTTACATTTTTGTATGTATGTGTGCTAGTACTGGGGCCTGAACTCAGAGTCTGGCTGATGTTTCTTAGCTTTTTTGCTCAAGGCCTACACTCTGCTACTTGAGCCACAATTCCACTTTGGGCTTTTTGCTGGTTAATTGGACATAATTGTTTTACAAACTTTCTTGCCTAGGCTGGCTTTGAACTGCAATCCTCAGATCTCAGATCTCTTCCTGAGTAGCTTGGATTGCAAATACATCTGATTACTTTTGAGATAAAATCCTGTTTGCCTAAGCTGTAATCCTGCTCTTACATATATTACTACAGCTGGAATAGCTGGTTCACACCACCTCATTCATTTTTTTTATGGTTTAAAATGAGAGTCTGATGAACTTTTTAAAAAAAAATCTAGGCTGGCCTAGAACTGCCACTGGTTCAGACTAAGTCTTTTGAGTAGTTAGGATTATAAATAGGAAACACTGGTGTTTCCAGCTTTTCCTGGAATTTTTAATGTCAAGTTTGGAAAAAAATTGTTACTAACTGTATTTTTTAGATGACTTCTTATACTTCCAGGAACTAAATGTCATCATAAGTGTTTTTTTTTCCCTTGGCTCTAAGTGTTAAGAAGATGATTAAATGGAGACTTCACATGTCTGAGGAGTATTTCTTCTGTGAAGAGGTCTTGTACTTGCCATCAGAAACAAGCAAAGGAAAAAGGGCCATTTCCACCTTGTGACTAGATGTTGAGGTGGAGGTTCTGAGAAGCAATCATGTTTTGGGTGGGTGAGGAGGCCATTTATGCCACTTGATGCACTGCCATCTGACTCATTTCCTTTCTTTTGTCCTGAAGTGACTGGACTATAGAGCAGTGAAAGACTAATTTTTGAGAACTATGTGCCTTTGCTGCATAGCCAGTGGAGCTTTGCATTGTGGGAGTGTGGAAGAGCTATAGGGTGAGGCTACAAGACTCGGAGAAGTGACACTTTGTGTCTATCTGTTAAGCTCCAGCCTAGATTGTAGTGTCAGATCCTTCCTGTAGAGTTGCCCTGGTGATGGACCACAAGTGGCACAGGTCCTTCTGGTTTTAGACAGGTGAGCTCTTCATTTTTTAGCTCAGCTCAGTTGCAGTAGAAGTCTTTGTAGTAGCTCTGTTCAGTGCTCAGGAAGGACCTCTAGAGTTTATTTCCCTGGTAGTTACCTTCTGTTTTTTTCCTTCCCTCATATATGTAAAGAACACATAAAGTGTCCCATGAATTCATAGGAGCCTTTACTTTATTCAGAATAACCAACTCTAATTACATAGACTCATCAGTTCTCATCTAGTCATGTGACTGTGTTATGTAAAGCTGTTCCCTTTAGATCTCTTACTGGCAAGATTTGCTCTGTTTCTACATAGAGAGGAAGATTATTAATTTCTAGGATTAACAGAGTTGGTTTGTTTTTTTTTTTTTTTTGGGTCGGTCCTGGGGCTTGAACTCTGGGCTTGGGCACTATCCCTCAGCTCTTCAGCTCAAGGCGAGCACTCTACCACTTGAGCCACAAGGCTACTTCTGGTTTTCTAGTGGTTTATTGGAGATAAGAGTCTCATGGAGTTTCCTGCCCGGGCTGGCTTTGAACCTCAATCCTCAGATCTCAGCCTCCTAAGTAGCTAGGATTAAAGACATGAGCCACCAGTGCCCGGCTAACAGGGTTTTTTTCTTTTCTTTTTTTTTTTTTAATCTTATGTTGTACACAGGGGGTGAGGGTTTCATTGTTATATTGTTTAGGTTTCAGATACTTAGGAAGTTTATCTGACTAAGAACCTGCTTGTTCTTTCTTAATTGAATATACCATTCCTCAAAGCAGGGCAGAGATGTCTGCACATTTCTAAGAAAAACTGATAGACCCTTAGAGTTAGATTTCTGTTTTTAAACAAACATTCCTCATGTCTAGCTAATATATTTGGCTTTCCCAAGTACTGAGTTTTTTTGTTTGATAGTTTATAGTTGTTAAGATGCTGTGCTATTGGTTTGTTAAAGCATAGATTCTCAGGAACAAATGAAATTAAACACCATACTGCTGCTGATTGTTCAGAAGTCTTTTATGCTTTGAGTCTGTCCACTATTAATAGTGTGTCTCATTACCTTCAGATCAGGAAGACTTTTTAACAGTTGCAGAATCACTGAAGAAAGAATTCGATAGTCCAGAAACTGCTGATCTGAAGTTTCGAATTGATGGGAAATACATTCATGTCCATAAAGCCGTGTTGAAAATCAGGTATTTTGCATTAGTTTAGAGATGTCAATAATTACTTTTTGCCATTCCCATTTGTTTATTCCAAGGAATTGATACTGATTAGCAGTATCCTTGGCAGTAGAGGGAAATGTCACAATGTATTTTTTTTTTTTTTTTGTCCTTTATGGGGCTTAAACTCTGGGCCTGGGCGCTGTCCCTGTGCTCTTCGGCCCAAGACTATTGTTCTACCACTTGAGCTACAGTGCCACTTCTGGTTTTCTGGTGGTTAATTGGAGATAAGTCTCATGGACTTTCCTGCCCGGGCTGGGTTTGAATCATGATCCTCAGATCTCAGTCTCCTGAGTAGCTAGGATTACAGGTGTGAGCCACCGGTACCTGGCAATATATTTTTAAAAAGTATAATTCATTTAGTATCAGAGTTTTTTTTTTGTGTAAGCATACACACTATTTGTCTAAACTGTTCTTTAAAGATATTGGGTTGGAGCAATAGCTCAGTGGTATAGCACTTGTCTAGAAGGTACAAGGCCTTGGATTCAATTCCTAGCACTACAAAATACATAAAAGATCTTGTGGATACTTGTTTCCATTGGAAATTTTATGTGGTTTAAAAAACTACAAAAGAGGGCTAGGAAGATGGCTCAGTGGTAGTGCTTGCCTTACATGCCTGAGGACCTGGGTTCAATTCCTCAGCACCACATAAGCAAAAAGAAAAAAAAAGCTGGAAGTGGCGCTGTGGCTCAAGTGGTAGAGCGCTAGCCTTGAGCTGAAGGACAGCGCCCAGGCCGAGTTCAGGCCCCATGACCTGACCCCCCTCCAAAAAAAAAAAAACTACAAAAGATTGTCAGTAAATGTATGTGGTCTTGGTGTGTAGTGATTAAAGGTGCCTCTCATATATTTGTCTGATTTAGCACCTTAATCAGGTAAACTTTGCTTCTGTTTTAGGTGTGAGCACTTTCGATCCATGTTCCAATCCTATTGGAATGAGGACATGAAGGAGGTGATAGAAATAGACCAGTTTTCCTACCCCGTGTATCGTGCCTTTCTCCAGTACCTCTATACAGACACGGTGGATCTGCCACCTGAAGATGCCATAGGTACCTCAGCCATATTGTGACTGGCCACATCATATGGTCAAGAATCTCCTTCCATGTGTTCTTAGATTAGTGAAATGTAAAAAGTTTTGGGTGGATTGGTTTTCACATGTTTTTTTAAAAAAGATTTGAAGCAATACTATTTATGGTTAATAGTTATAGTTCATTTGTAACTGGATTTACTGAAATTTTAAAATATTAAACTAAGTTACTAATGGATTTAGTGTTTTGAAAACAAAATGAGGGGGAATTTTTTGTCTCCCCTTATGCTGTTATAGAAAGTGAATATAGAAGAGGCATGATTTTGGAGGTAGCAGAGATAGGTAGTAAAAAACTTTACTCATGCTGAGTGCTAATGACTTCCACCTGTAATCTTAGCTACTTGGAGCGAAGAATGGGAGCTTAGAGGTTCAATCAGCTGGGGCATATTTGTTAGACCCCTTTTTATCCAATAGCCAGGTGCAGCTGTGTGACAGGAACCCTAAAACAAAAAGGTCATAGTCCAAGTGCAAGTCAGGGCAAGAAACATGACCACACTATATAAAAAGAATTAGTACATAAAGGGAATTTCTCCCGAGTTAATCTGTTCACTAAAATAAGATATGTATGCTTATCAGTTATATGAAGTTACTATAAACTGCATTGAAACTTCTATACCTTTTACTTTTTTTTTTTTTATTGTAAAGATACTATACAGAGGGTTACAGTTATATGAGTGAGGTAATGAGTACACTTCCTCTTGAACATTGTTACCCCCTCCATTGTTTCCCCCCTACCATCCCCTCCCTCCCTCCCTTCCCTGAGGTTCTTTTTTTTTTATTGTGATTAAGTGATTACATAATTTCAAAGTCACAAGTTCATTCTAACTTCCCTGGAGCAAATTGTCTACCACAGTCTGTAATATATAACAGTGTTCACATGTTATATACCATATTTTATACCTTTTACTTTTAGGTCTTTTGGACTTGGCAACATCTTACTGTGAAACCAGACTGAAAAAACTTTGTCAGCACATTATCAAGCGAGGAATTACTGTGGAAAATGCCTTTTCCTTATTCTCTGCTGCAGTCAGATATGATGCAGAGGTAACCTAACTCGAAAAACAGCAAAGCAGAGCTGCCTGTAACTCACTGTGCACGCCTTTGCACGCCTTTCCCCTCTTCCTCTCATGTAACACAAGGAATGCCATGACTAGCTTCACCTCTGCTTAGGGTCTCAGTAAACTGACTGGTAATTGAGAAGTGAAATCTGGCCTTTAGTTCTCTGTTGTTTCAGAAATGATTGGTCCCCTGTTTCCATTCTTACAAACTAAAGATGAAAGTCTGACTGACTGACGCCCTAGCAGTGTTCTGCAGTTGGAATATAAAGTGCTGTAGTTTCTAGGGCTTTTCTATGGCCATCAGTGTTTCCCAAGGCCCACTTTGTTGTCTTCCCATCTGTCAGAAATCCAAGATGCCCTGTGTTTGTATCTGTGTGCCCTGGATTTCTGTCATGTCGCCTTAGAACTCATGGATTCCTGTGAAGGATTGGCTGTGGACTCTGTTTTGTTTTGTACTTGATTGACTTCTTAGTCTGGGATGCTCAGATCTCTAGAGAGTCTATGAATTAATGAGCTTGGAGAGTCTGAGATTTTGTTTGTTGAGGGCACTTTGTTGAAGTTAAGCAGAACATGAGATTGTAAGCTCCTCATGAGCAGGATCTGGACCCTCCTCATCTGTGTATTTTGATGCTTGGCATGTGTTAGGCACTAGTAAGTGTTTATAAGTATGTATTGAATTCTGTGAAAACAGTACCATCTAAAGGATGCAGTAAGGATAGCAGCTCACAAATATATGATTGGTTTTACAAGGTTGAGAGATTCAAAATGACCAGCTAGTGGCCATGCACACTTAGCTTATTCTTAGGATATTTTGTCATTTGATGAAGCAGAATACTTGTTATTGGGAAATTTGTCAAAGACCCTCACAATAGCCTTTGAAGTGTAATGGAGGACAAACTTCACAACTATCACTTAGGAATTAAAGTTAATCATTATATCTTAAATTTTTAAAATGTATCCTGTTTTATTAGTTTGAGGTTCTGTTATGGTGATAAATATTTGATGAGGTCAAACATGGCTGACTTTGCAGCCCAATGGATGGAAAGATGTCAAAGTAAATTGTTTCTCAGAGAAGAAAATGGATGTTTGTATTTTTCTCCTACCCTTCCTGTGACATCATGATCCTCTGTTAGAAATGTTATTTCTTTATATTCTTTTCCTCCCTGAGATAGAATTTTAATTCTGGTTGATGTCTTTTGTCTCCTTAGTGCTTGATTACCAAATCTTCCTTGTGCTTTCCACAGTTCTCTGCATTTAAACCTTTGCTCCTTAGACTTTGCTGACTTACACCAGTCAGCAAACATTTGGCCCTTGATGAAAGTTTCTTCTTCACCTTGAGCTAAATTCTACCCAGAAACTACAGGAAAGGCTGTAAAACTGATTGCTTGCTTTGCTAGTTTTACACATTAAAAATTAAAGACTGCAGATACATGACTTCCTACTGCCTGTGATGGTGTGAACCTACTCAGCACTCAGAAATAGATGTTGAATTAGTAAACAAAAGAATGAATAAAGAATATTAAACACCTCATCATGAAGGGGTGCTGTTTAAGACTTACTAGCATATATTAGTTTTACATGAGGGGGTGCATTTCATTGACATTTCCATACAAACATACAGTGTACACTGATCAGAAATGAAAAGGTGCTTTTAAAAATATCTAAGACACAGGGCTGGGAAGGTGGCTCAGTGGTAGAGTGCTTGCCTTGCATGCTCAAGGCCCTGGGTTCGATTCCTCAGCACCACATAAGAAAAAAGCCGGAAGTGGCGCTGTGGCTCAAGTGGTAGAGCACTAGCCTTGAGCTGAAGAGCTGAGGGACAGTGCCCAGGCCCAGAGTTCAGGCCCCATGACCAGACCCCAAAAAAAAAAAAAAAAAAGCTGAAAAATATCTAAGACAGCTGGGCACTCACTGATGGCTCACACCTGTAATCCTAGCTACTCAGGAGGCTGAGATCTGAGGATCATGGTTCAAAGCCAGTCCGGGCAGGAAAGTTAGATGACTTTCTTTGCCTGTGGGTCACAGTGTTAAGAAGATTGGGACTGTTTCTTTCTCACATTTCTTCTCCGTAAAAATTGTGATTCCTCCAAGCCCTCTTTTAACAAGAAATTTTGAAGCAAATGTACCCCAACATGTATAGACGTAATTATGAGGATGTACAAAATACAAAAGCAACGTGGTTGCTGTGAAGCCTTGCATTGTGAATACATCATCAAGCTTTCTCCAAGTCTTATAAAGAAAGATCTGAAGGAAGACCACAGGAATAGTCTTCTAGTGCACACTAAGTAAATTAGTACCTCAAGGGAGACCGTGGAATTGAAATACTGTCTGAAGATAAACAGCTCAGTATCAAATTGCAAAATGGTGAGATGTTTCCATGTTGTACCTCCGTTCCCTCCGACCTGCCCTGGGTTGTTCTCTTCATCTTTCCCTTCCTTCCTTCTTCCTCCATGTCTTTTTCACTTCTCTCCCTGCCTTCACCCCCTCCATCCCTCCTTCTCCTACCCCTCTGTTTCCTTTCTCCCAGCAAGCTCTGAATATGTAGCTTAAATTGGCCTTAAACTTGTGGTCCTCCTTCATTGACCTCCTGAATACCAAGATCACAGACACATTCTACCATGCTTGGCTGAATGCTCCTGACATTTTGTTTTCTCTATGTATTTGAGTATTAAGAGAAACAGTTGGGCATTACTGTTTCACCAAATAGAGAGCTTTTCAGAAAATCTGAACTTGCTGAGCATTTTATAGTCCATGTTTTTTGTTTTTGTTTTATTTTTTATCAGTCATGGGACTTAAAATCAGGGCTTGGATGCTATCCCTGAACTCTTTTTGCTCAAGGCTAGCTCTCTATCATCTTGAGCCACAGTGCCAATTCCAGTTTTCTGGTGGTTCATTGGAGATAAGATTCCTATAGACTTTTCTGCCCTGGCTGGCTTTGAACCATGATCCTCAGATCTCAGTCTCCTGAGTAGCTAGGATTACAGAGGTAAGCCACTGGCATACAGTATGACTTTGTTTTTGGTAGAGCAATAAATATGAGCCCAGGAATCTAATTCTAAGATTGGTTTAGCTCTAAGTGTCAGGAAACTTAGAACTGAAGCCAGATAAGAGCATTTTCTCATTTATTAGTGGTCCAAGTTAAATGTTTCCTCTGATGATAAAAATTGCATGTAGTAAAGGAGGAAGCACCTTTTTTCTTTTTTTGTATCTTTTTCTTTTTTGCAATTCCTGGGACTTGAACTCAGAGTCCTGGACACTGTCCCTGAGCTGCTTTTACTCAAGGATAGCACTCTACCACTTGAGCCACAGTGCCACTTCTGGTTTTTTCTGTTTATGTGGTAACGAGGAATCGAATCCAGGGCTTCATGCATGCTAGGCAAGCACTCCACCATTAAGCCACATTCCTCGTCACACATATATATCTTGAAAAAGCCAAAACTTCATTGGACTGTTGTGTATGTGATACAATAAACTATAGGCTTGTGGTTTGGGTTTTATAATAGCAAGTTTGGATGGAGGTAGATGTATTTGGAGATCTTGTGCCAGCTGAAATGTATCTCGGGTGGCTCTAACCAAGATGACAACCCATCAGATCTAGCCCAGTGGGCTTCCGAAGAAGTGTTAACATGTGCCCATTTCTTTTTAGAATTGGATTAGAACTTCACTAAAGGCTGCACTAAAATTTCAATATGAGAATATTAACACTATCAGTCTTCAGTGTTTTATTACTAAAGAAAACTGTGGAAAGAAAATGCCACAATAAACATGAGTGTGCAGGTATCTTATGCTAACTTGTATTCCTTAAATTGTATGCCCAGGGTGTGTGTGTTTGTGTATCTAGGTAGATAGATAGATAGATATGGTAGTTCTATTTTTGGCTTTTTGAGGAAACTACACTGATTTCCATAGTGGCTGCACTGATTTACATTCCCATCAACAGACTGTAAGAATTCCTTTTTCCTCTGCTTCTCACCAGCTCTCTTCTTCCCTAACCAAGGTTTGAACTAAGGACCTACATGCATGCTCAGTTTGCTTGTTTTTGGCTGGCACTCTTCCACTTGAGTCATGACTCCACTGCCCAGGGTGACTTCAAACCATGATCTTCTGAACTTTAGCTAGAATTACAGTAGCTAGAATTATAGGCATGACAACTGGTGACTGGCTAGCTTTTTTTTTTTTTTTTTTGGTTTGATGACTGCCGTTGTGACTGGGATGAGCTGGAATCTCAGTGTCATTCGCTCAGGATGTCGAACATTTCTTATTGGCTATTCTTCTGAGAAATGTCTGTTTAGTTTATTTGCCCACTTATTAATTAGACTTGTTCTTTTGATGTTTAATTTTTGGACCTCAGTTACATATTTTGGATACTGGTCCTTCGTTCAGTCCTTCCATAGGTGGTCTTTTTACTCTTTGTTTCCTTTGATGTGTAGAAGCTTTTTAAATCTAATGCAGTCCAGTTGTCAGCTTTTGCTCTTATTTTCTGAGACATTGAAGTCTTTTCAGAAAGCCATTTCCTATTCTTGTGTCTTCAAATATTTCCATTATGTTTTCTTGTAGTAGTTTCAAAGGTTCAGGTCTTAGACTATGGTCTTTGAGCCATTTGGATTGATTTTTATACAGAGTAAGAGATAGTTGTTTGGTTTTGGTTTCTACGTATGGCTATCTAGTTTTTCCAAAACCATTTTGAAGAGTCCGTTTTCCAACAATTTTTTGGCCCTCTTTGGCAAAATTTAGATGCTGAAACTGGTTCAGCTTATTTTTAGGTAATCTTCCATTGATCTTAGTGTTTTTGTGCCAGCATCCTGTTGCTTTTATTACGGTTTATCTGTAGTATAATTTGTAATAAGGTATTATAATAGGTCAAGCATTGTTCTTTTTGGTCAGGATTGCGTTAGCAATTCCTAGTCTTTTGTGCTTTTATGTGATTTCAGGATCGATTTTTCTATTTCTGTGAATGCCGTTGGAATTTTGGTATGACTTGGATTGAATAAACATTTTCGTAGTATTCTGATCCATGTACATGGGAGAGCTATCCATCTTCTAGTGTTACCTTCAATTTTTTCAGTATTTCAGTTTTCGTTGTAGATGTCTTTTCACTTCCTTGGTTAGATTTATTCCTAGGTATTTTTGGTGGGATCTTTGGGATCTCTTAAGAATACGATTATATTATCTATAAACAAGGATAATTGGATTCCCCCTCCCTCCCTGCCATTTGTGTCCCTTTTAGTTCTTTCTTTTGCCTACTCTCTGGCTAAGCAGTTAAGCACTATATGGAATAAGAATGGTGACTGAGTACCTTTGGCTTGTTCTTCATTTTAGAGAAAATGCTTTAGTTTTCCCCCATTGATTGCCATGTTAGTGATAGGTTTGTCACATATTGAGCTGTGTTCTAGCTTCTTCAGGATTCAAATGGTAAATATGATTATGGGTTTTGTTGATTGGCCACAATCATCCTATGTCAGCTCCTGTGGAGTTGGGATGACAGGCATACACCAGCAGTATCTACCTTATTTGTTGAATAAGGTTTTAAATGGAATTAAGGTTTTCTATGCCTTTGTTTATATTGCAGATCCTTCTTCCATCCCCATGGGTTCTTAGGTTTGCCCTCTTGATGATGGCCAGAATTCCTAGAAGTTGTGATGATGGTAACTTTTTATTCAAGTTGTTCTTCAAATTGTAATCCGCCTGATTTCTGTGTTCTGAGTAACTGGGATTATAGGAGTAAGCCTGGTCTGCTGGTTTTGTTTTTCAAAACAATCAATTTCCTTACTCAATTTCCATCCATGTTGTTAAGTTTCTCATCCAAGAGTTGAATTGTGTGTTAAAGATTTTTTTTCATATTGTTTACCTGGCATTTCACCTATTTCTGTCATTGGGTTCAGTTACTGAGGAGTTGAGTTTTTTGAGGAGTCATATTGCTTTATTTTTTCATAATTGTGTTCCTGCCTTGTGTTTTGCATGTATGTTGGAATATGTCTTTCATTATTACTTAGAGGAGAGAAAATAGGCAGCAATGACAAAATCAACTACTCATTGTTTTCCTTGGTCTCTAGCTACTTTTCAGTGGTGCTTTGTCCTGCCTGACATCCACCTCTCCTTGTAGCCATCAACCTGAGGTAGAAGTGCTGGGTGTCTCTAGTCTGCTATTTGTCTGACTTGCTTGCATTCTACTTTGAACTTTTTTTTTTTTTGGTGCTGGTTCTGAGGCTTGAATTTTGGGTCTGAGTGCTGTACTTGTGTTCCTTTTTGCTCATCGTTAACACTGTATCACTTGAGCAATAGCAACCGGCTTTTTCTATGATTAATCAGAGATGAGTTTCATGGGCTTTCCAGCCTGGCCTGGCTTCAAATCATGATCCTCAGATCTCAGCCTTGTGAGTAACTAGGATTACAGGTGTGAGCCACTGGTGCCCAGTTTGATTTTTTTTTTTTTTGGTCCAGTCGTGATGCCTGAACTCTGGGCCTGGGCACTGTCCCTCAGCTCTTCAACTCAAGGCTAGCGCTCTACCACTTGAGTCACAGCGCCACTTCCGGCTTTTTTTCTTTTTGCTTATGTGGTGCTGAGGAATCGAACCCAGGGCCTCAGGCATGCAAGGCAAGCGCTCTACCACTGAGCCACCTTCCCAGCCCTCTTTTGAATTTTTAAAACCTGGTCAGCCAGGCACTGGTGGCTCACGCTTGTAACCCTATCTGCTCTGGAGGCTGAGATCTGAGGATCGTGGTTCAAGGCCAGCCCGAGCAGGAAACTTTGTGAGTCTCTTATATCCAATAAACTAAAAAACTCTGAAAGTGGAGCTGTGGCTCAAGTGGTAGAGTGCTTTCCTTGAGCAAAAGAAGCTCAGGGACAGCACCCAGGCCCTGAGTTCAAGCCCCAAGACTGGCCCCCCTCTCCCCCCCCAAAAAAATCCACTGGTCAAATGAGGCCATCTTGAAATTCTTTTATAGTTGATTTATTGGTTTGACAAGTATTGCGTTTTCTTGTCTAAGTAATTGGAGTTCTGAATATTTTTATGGTGAGAGCATAGTTCCTGTAGGTTTTGGGAACATGAGAGTGGTCTCAGAATAGTGCTTTACTATGCTGCTGTCAGGGAATGCACTCTCAAAATCTAATCTGTCTCCACAGTGCTTTTTTCACTTAGGTATGCTATAACCAAGGCTCATTTAGACCAGATTTTAGATTGTTTCCTCTGCAGTTCAATTTCAGTGTTTGAAAGTGTTAAGCATTTATTGAAAATTAAGAATATCTTCAGTTCAGAATAATTGGAGTGGAAGGGCAGGTAGTTTGATACAACTATTTTTATAGTTGCATGAAGTGATTTGTAATTAGAAGTGCCATTTGTATGCCTGTACTGGGTAAAAAAGTTCTTAAAGTTTATGCTTAAAGTAACTTCCACACAGTTAATAAAATGAATAAGCTCATTTTTTATTTTACACTAAAAAGATTAGAATTTCAACTTATGATATAGGCTATTATATCCTTCCTGTGAATTTAAAATTAAGTAATTTAAAAGATAATATTTGAAGATGCTTATCTGTTACCTGGTTTGAAGAACTTTTTATGATCCTAACTGGCCTTTTTTCCCAAAGTTATAAGCAAATACCCTACTTTCCTATTTTCTGATTGCACTGAGATTAAAATGTGATCTTTATTTCCCTGTAGAAAATAATTTAGTTTTGAGAACTGTTAATCTTGAGTTGTTATATCAAGAGCAGTGCTGTTTCTTGAATAACTATCTTAAAGGTAATGTTTTATGTAGTTTTACATTTTAGCATAACACAGAGTGTTTTCAGCGTTCAGCTCTACATTTAGACCACTGAGAATCTGATTAAGAAACATGGATCCTGAGATAATATTAACTTTTCTTTTGAGATGATCCTGTGGCTTGAACTCAGGCCTGTAAACTACCCCTTAGCTTTTTTGCTCATGCTAGCACTTTACCACTTGAGCCACAGCTACATTTCTGTCTTTATGGTGGCAAATTGGAAATAAGAGTCTCAAGGATGTTCTTGAGACTGTGACCCGTTCTTGGCTGTGACCCGTGATCATCAGATCTCAACCTCCTAAGTTGCTAGGATTACAGGCGGGAGCTACCTGCACCTAGTTGTATTAATATTTTAAGTGCACTTTGAATGGACTAGAAAATAACTCTAGCAGCAGTTGGCTGATACCTGTTAGCTTTGGATTTTCTCTTAATATTACAGGGTCAAAAAAACTTGGCAATGAGGAAATGATTGTTAATGGGATCATCTCTGCATCTGCATGAGACCTTCCCTGTTTTTTGTGTAAAATTCCCACCTTGGTAGTTGGAGTTGTTGGTCATGGGGCTTGAACTCTGGGCCTGAGCGCTGTCCCTCAGCTCTTCAGCTCAAGGCTAGCGCTCTACCACTTGAGAAATAGCACCACTTCCTTCAGTATACAATGTTATCACTGGCCAAGTTACAAAAAACAAAAAAACCCTGAGCCATTTCTATTGAGAGCTTTTATTGTGGTTTGCCCTTACACATTAGCCTTCATGTGTTATTCAGGTGCAAATGAATTGCTTGAATGTATGTTGTTCCACTTTTTTTTTTGGTCCATCTTGGGGCTTGCTTTCAGGGTCTAGGCACTGTCCCTGAGCTTTGTTTTTGCTACAGGCTAGCACTCTATCACTCTGAGCCACAGTTCTACTTCCAATTTTCTGGTATTTAGAGGTAAGTGTCTCAGTAACTTTCTTGCCCAGGCTGGCTTTGAACTGCAATCCTTAGATCTGTCTTATCAGTAGCTAGGATTATGGGCTTGAGCCACCAGCTTATTCCAACTTTTGCAGGTACAAATGTTAAGATTTTTAAGAGGGTGAAAGGAGGGATTAGCAGAAATTGATTTTTAAATAGTTCTGGTTTACCACTGAAACATACTTTCTGTCTCAATGTTGGTAGTTGTGACTATTGGCTGAATGAAAAATCCATTTCTGTGTACTTCTCTAGAGTTGACTGAGAATTTGGTGTGCTGGCAGTTATACTATGTTCTTTGGGGATTTAGAAGTGAAGTCTTTTTTAACTAGGGGCGCATGAAAATAGTTTGAGGAGCCTAAATCTTCATGTGTTTCCTGTTCCTTTTTTTTTTTTTTTCTTTCCTTTTTGTGCTGTCCTGGGGCTTGTACTTGGGGCCTGGGCATTGTCCCTGAGCTTTTGTGCTTGAGGCTTGTGCTCTGCTACTTTGATCCACAGTGCCATTTCTAGCTGTTTAATACTGAATTAGAAATAATAGTATCACACAGACTTTCCCTTCTTGGGCTGGATTTGAACTGCAATCCTCAGATCTCAGCCTCATGATTGCTAAGATTGCAGGCATGAGCCACCAATGCCTGGTTTGTTTTCTGTTTCTTAAAGCCCTCTTCTTTAAACTCACAATTTTCAATTAAAAAATTATAACTGATATGGATTACATCAGCATTGGACTCTATAAAACAAAGTGGTGACCATGAGTCCATCTGTGTGTGTGTGTGTGTGTAAGAATTTAAATTGGTTAGGGTAACCCTGGCAAGCTATTAAGTAGTGAGTGTTTTGTTGACACACAACTGTGGCCTCTTGCTTGCCCTGTTTGAATTGTATGACTTCACAGACTTTTTCTGGGAGGGTGAGAAGGTTGGGATGAGGGGTTTGGAGAGAAGTAATTCAATCAAAGTTAATAAACACAAGCCTCTTTTTTTTATTTTTGTTGTATATGTCTAGGATTTAGAAGAATTCTGCTTTAAGTTTTGCATCAATCATTTGACAGAAGTCACTCAAACTGCAGCATTTTGGCACATGGATGGCCCCCTGCTAAAGGAGTTCATTGCTAAAGCCAGTAAATGTGGAGCCTTTAAGAACTGAAGCCCGAGGCTGCTGGGCTGTGTGAGTGCTCTGGGGCACTGTGGGTGATATGTCCAGCTTGTGCTCTACAGGTGATGAGTTTCTGCAGGTAAAACCCACCAGGTGGTTTTTTCCACATCTGAGACACTGTTCTCCATATGAAGGATATTTGGTTCTCCTGGGTCCATGTTAAACAAATGTGTGTGTTTTAAATATGACCTTTCTTGCATATGGGCTGGAACTTTATGAATGGCATAAGTTTAGCTTCTTTTTTCCTTTTTGATGAGAAGAACTTCTGAAATTGGAAAAAGGCTTCCCTGAGGAAGGTCAGGTAGCACAGGGCCTTTGATGTCAGGAGTTGTGTTAGTGACTGGTGACATGAGCAGTGATGCTTCATGCTGAGATAAGGAAGCCACACTCTGCTTGACCAAGCGCTGCCTTAGTTTCCAGTCAGTACCTTTCTGTGAGAAAAGAGTCTAGCTTGTGTGAGGGTTTTTTTTTGGATATGCTTTCACTATTGATGACTTAAATAAAAGGAAAATCAACAAATGTCAAAGGGAATATCTGTTTAATGAGTTAGGCCAATTGAAATAATTAACGGTAAATTTCTAGGTTAGCTAGAACTTAAATCACAATAAAATTAATCACACTAGAAGAGTACTAATTTAGAACTATCCATGATAAGTTGATAATAGCATTTTGTGTGGATAAAGGTGAATATCACTTATCCACCTTTATTTCATTAAGGTTAAATTGGGAGAACTTAAACTACCCCCTATCACCTTTACCATACAAAATCAAGTGGCTCTCATCTTCCTCTTATGGCTGCTAAGCTGTGAGATTTACATTATCGTGTAGAAGCGTTTTTTTTTTTTTTTTCTTCTTTTGGTGCTGGTCCTGGGGCTTGAACATAGGGTCTGGGCTCTATCCCTGAGCTTTTTTGCTCAATGTTAGTGCTCTACTACTCGAGCCACAGCACTACTTGCAGTTTTTTTGTGTGTGGTTAGTTGGAGATAAGTCTCATGGACTTTCCTTAGATCTTTGCCTGCTGAGCAGTTAGGATTACAGGTGTTAAGCCACCAGCACCTCGTTTAGAAGTGGTTCTTAAAGGCACTTTGTTACAGTACTTAATGGACATACCTATTTTATCTAGGCTAAACTGTCACAGATTTGTTTGAAACTTTATTACCTTCCACCATGGGTTTTTCCTTTTGTGTTAGGTACACTATTTAGCTGTTTAACCTTTAAAAGGAGTTCCAAAATCATGATTTTTCATGAAAAGGTCCCACTTTAAGAGTTGTTTTGTTTTTGCTTTTTTTGGTGGGAGAACAGGGATCTGACTATGAAATGTGATGTTGTTTTTAGAACCACAGAAACAAGAGGGAGAAAATATGCTACAGCTACTGTTTTTTATTAGGGTTTTAAATGTCTGTCGGGGTGGGGTGGTGCATAAGCCTCCAAGATAATACTTGATAGTTGAGATATAAACCTCAAGGTTCTAGCCCCCTTTTCTTGATCATATCACAAATGACTGAAGCCCAATAATTAATTGTAAATTAGTGCTGCATTATGATAGCTTTTCTTACTAGGATGATGAATGCGTATTAATTTGGTTTGCTATGTGTAGTCCTTATAATTACCGTAGGCTTATGGTCTTGAACAAAGTGAGAACTTCAGGATGTTTACTTACTGTTCTTAATTAAAAAGAACTTTAAAAAAAAGCACAAATTAGTAGATCATATCCAAATAGTTCATTTGTTCAACAAATATTTACTGAATTCCTAATACACATGAAGAACCAATTCTCAGATTACTAATTTGTATGAGTATGTATGGTAGAAGAGACAAGTCCTTCAAAAATACTTGACTATTTTTTTTAATATAATGTTATTTTTCTAAATGGTTTTGTTTAATCATAGCAGGAATTGAAAACTGTTGTTATTTTTTTTTTTTTTTTCATCTGATGTTAATAGTGGAAGCCGAAGTCCTTATATTTCTTAAGGTAGCCCTAAATGTATTATTGAACTTCTTACTAGAACAATGTTTGATACTCTATTATGTAGGCTGTATTTGTTATATTTACAGTACCATTAATAAAGTAATCTTAAGGCAGGCATATAGAGTTGTTGTTTCCCCTTTAGATGTATGCTGCCTTAAAAAGGAAATTTTGGTATATGGTATGACATGGATTCACCTGGACATTACACTAATGAAGTGTGGAGTCATGAAAAAGAAAATACTGTGTGTTTGTACTTACACGTAGTACTTGCCTTGAGTGGTTGAATTTATGGTGAAAGAAGGGTGCGGGGGAGGGAATAGAACTGTTTAGTGGGCTCTACAAGATGAAAATATGGTTTGTATGTAATGTCACCAAATTGTACATTTAAAAATTAAGATGGTAGTTTTATGTTAGATATATTTTACCATAATTTACCCTGATGTTATCAGGCTACAAATAGGTATCACTGGACAGGTCAGCTTCTTGATTCTCAGCTTAAATACAAGCATTGTAGCAATCCTTTTTTATTTCTCTTAAAAGATAGTACAGTTGAACTAATACAGCAGAAAAATCTTTAGGGATACTTGTAACAGAAAATACAGCCCTTATCCTGAAACATGTAAGTTATGGGTGGGGGGGGCATGATGATTAAGGGTGATACTAATTAAGAGGTATTATACACACAAATTGGTACTTTTCACAAATAAAGGTAATAAATGATAAATTACCTACTGTAAACAACAGGGGTTATTCATGTAAAATCTGAAAATCACAGCTATTTTTGTACTTTGAGTAATGATTGGGTTGCCATTATACCAGAAATTTTTCCCCCATCTCCAACAGATATTACACATCAGACCAGACACCATGCTGTAACTTAGCTTAAACTACTGTGACATTGAGTGTGTGAACCAGAGGACTGTGGTAAGAGAGATGTGAATGTGAAGTTGATAGGTTGGTGGTGGTGTGGGCAAAGTATTCTGAATTGTCCTGTTAGGTTGAGGACTTTAGCCTCTCTTGAATATTCCCACTGATGTTTTTTTTACTAAGCTAAAAAGGACTGATAGAAAAAAATGGATCATAGTGAGCAAAACACATGAATAATGATGTGATGAGAAAAATACAGCCAGTTACACTGGGAAGTGATTTTTTTTCCCTGGTCATAATGGAGTTTGAACTCAGGGCTTGCTAGGCAAGTGCTTTGTTATTTGAGCCACACACTCCCAGCCCTTATGCCTTAATTTTTAATAGGTCCTTACATTTTTGCCCAAGCTGGTTTGGACCTTGATCCCATTTACATCACATTCAGCTTGCTATTGATTGAAATGGATTCTGGCAAACTTTTTTCTGGGCCTTGAGTGCCAAGCCTCCTGATCTCTGCCTCAAGGAAAGTAGTCATTATGGAAGCAGCAGGAAACCCTTATTATGGAGCCTGCCTGCAACAAGAACAGGCAGAGGACAAAGAAAGAATAGTTAGGGGCTGGGAAGGTGGCTCAGTGGTAGAGCGTTTGCCTTGCATGCCTGAGGCCCTGGGTTTGATTCCTCAGCACCACATAAGCAAAAAGAAAAAGGCCGGAAGTGGCGCTGTGGCTCAAGTGGTAGAGTGCTAGCCTTGAGCTGAAGAACTGAGGGATAGCACCCAGGCCCAGAGTTCAGGCCCCAGGACTGGACCCCCCCCCCCCCAAAAAAAAAAGGATTGTGGGGGTGTAGGAGCACCAGCAGGAAGCCACACAGAATTTTAAATATAAAGGGTGTCATTGGCGAAGAGGTAGAAGTGACATGACATTCAGTCAGACATGTAATGTCAATCAGCAAGAATGGATAAAGGGACACACTGGGGAATCACAGTTTTAGGCTCATAAGAATTAGGGCTCAGTCTTAGAGCTTTGTGGCTTTCACAGGCGAATTTCCAGTACTTGGTCTGCTGGCAGTGTCACCTCTTAGTTGTGCACAGATGATCCTTAGGGACACAGGGATGATACTGAAGTAGAACTTGACCTGAGGTCTCTGTTTTCTTGAAAAGAGCACAAGTTATGCTGTAAGTCTTGTAGAACTTCAATCTCTTCCTTCAGCTGCTGTCGTTTTTCTTCGGTTTCTTGGATTTTGTTTTCTATTGCTTTGGTAAGAAATAGAGCCATTTAGATGATTGAATAGTACAGTTAGAAATCATGAGCTATTTCTTGCCTCTCAGTCACAGGTGCACAAGCTAAGATACTTGTTCACGTGAAACAACTAGCGTCTTGTGAATAGGAGCTGGTACATTGTGCCTTGCTTCCCCTTCTTTGAATCACACAAAGCCAGTAATTTAGTATTCTGTATACATTCATAGCAGAACAAATCACTTTCATCTACTTGATAGTTGTAGAGAATGGCGCTAGAATATTAAGGACATGGAGAAATGTAGTAAAAATGTACTTGAACAGTTGGGCGCCAGTGACTTTATCTGTAATCTTAGCTACTCAGGAGGCTGAGATTAGCACTGTCTGAAGCCAGACCAGGCAGGAAAGTATGTGACACTGTTATCTCCAATAAATTACTTAGAAAAAGCTGGAAGTGGCACTGTGACTCAAGTGCTAGAGCACTAGCCTTGGGCAAAAGAAGCTCAGGGACAGAGCCAAGGCCCAGAGTTCAAGCCCCAGCACTAGGAAAAATGCACCCGAATTTTAATGTTACACAAGCGCTCTTTAATGTTTAAAAACAAAGGTTTGCGTCGTAGGAACCTAGCAAGAAAATACTGTAATTGGGCCTCAGACATGACTAATACTCAGTGGCAGTGGAATTGTGTGTATGTTGGTCTTGAGCTCAGAGCATGCATACTGTCCCTGTGCTTTTTTTGCTCAAGGCTTGTGCTCTACCACTTAAGCCAACCTGGCCATGGAATTTTTTTAAGCCTCAAAATAATGAGAATAAGTGCAGGCAGTTGAGATTAAGTATATAGTGAGCTGGTTCTCTAGTGTGGTTCCACCACCAAGCTCATCTACAATATGTATGACATGCTCCAAAACTAGTCATTTTCATAAGAAAGTCCGGTACAAAATAATGCTTTTTAGAAGACTTCAAAGGCTATTTACCAAAAACTAAACACTAGGTGTAGTGAGGTACATACACCTGTGATCAGGGCCTGGGTTAAAGAGCAAGATGCTATCTCAAATGACTCAGAGCCCAGTTGTGTGTGGCAGCTTTGAGAGAGGACAGGTCAGAATTATAATCTTTACATTTTCAGTGTTGAAAGGATTAAATAAATGGATGTTATTTTATACAAAAATTATCATGCAAAAATTAATGCAGTTCACCTACTCCCCAAACAAGTGCTGTTCCTCTATGTGGAGCTCTCCTGTGTGTGCACACCTTTATATATTTTCCCTTCTATATCTGTTTTATAATGGGCCTTAAAAAATTTAATAGAACAAGGAACATTCTAAAATGATTTAACTTGATCACCCAAGTAGCATTATACTGTTTCAAGTAATGTGTCTAAGCTATTTATGACAAATGTGTCTATGCTATTATAATTCATACCTGCTTGCAAATTTACAAATGTGTCTTCAAAGAGTCTACAGTCAAAAAGTGAAGTCCCAATTTCTTCATAGTCTAGAGGAAGAAACACATTTTCGGTATTAATTTTCATGTAAATGTAGTAGGCAGGAATGTCACAAAACTCCAACTCTGGAAGGTACAGATAGGAGGGCAGGTACTACAGCAATGGGATGAAGAAGGAATGTTCTGTGTAGATTTAGAGGCACCTGCAAGCTTCACAAGTGCCTGTTAGTCAGAAAATAAGCAAATGAAAGGATGAATGAGGTTTTGTTGTATAGAACAGATTGTCACCTACAATGTAGGCTGTTAAGTTCATATAGCATAGATAATAAGTTCATATAGTATATAGGTAGCTATGGGGTTTGAACTCAGGGCCGTGTGCTTTTTTAGCCAGGGCCAGCGTTGAACTGCTATCCTCCTGAGTAGTTAGGATTACAAGTTTGTACCACCATACCTGGCTTGTTTGTTGAGATGGGGGGAAGGTTCTCACTTTTTTGGCTGAAATGATTCTTCCCATCTCTACCTCCCAAGTAGCTAGGACTGCAGTGTATACTACTGTGCCTGGCTTATACACTGTAAGTGGAACTTCAGATCCCCTAAGAGTTTTAAGTTCATATTGAAACCAAACTTTCTATAACATTATAGACATTTGCTTGGTTAAGGAATAGCATTTAATCATCTCAGAACTGTAACCTAACATGGATCAACAGAAAGTGCACAGGGTTGGGTGGAACACTAGATGGCTGAATCCAGCTCCAGAAACCCACTCAACTGTGTGCTCCTCTGGGGCTCAGGGTGCTGTGGCTAAATTGCTGAGCTTGTGAATTAATTGTATCCTTTTGATTTGTGGTAGACAGTAGATCTGAGCAGTTACTAAAGAATGAGATTGTGTATCTTAGAAATAGGGCTTTCAGTACCTGATTCCGAAGTGGTTTCATCCATGAGCTTTTCTTGAATAACATGAAGTTTGTCCAACATTTCTTCAAATAAGTCATTAAGGAGTCCTGCTTCCTTACATTTTTTAAGAAAAGGAACTTTGGAGAGTGCATCTATGAGGGAAACATTTTTATAAGGACATGGTCTGTCTGTTGGCAGCTACTCACATTACTTCTTGATTACTTTTTCACTTTGTCCAGTAGATGAACATGATCCATGGACTAGCACAAAAAACACCCTCCTTGCCTTTTCTAGTAAGTGCATGCATTCCCATTAGAAATAAGATTTTTCTTGGCTTACAATACTATGAATTAAAGAGGATTTTCTAAAATTAGCCTCAAGTCTTTGAGACGATATAACATTCTGTGTTATGGGATGTCTGCTTTCTTTCCCATGACCGGCCTGGCATGGCATGAGCTGACCCCTCACTGCATTGAGTTAGGCAAAGCTCGCTGCTTCCTTATTAAGGAGATATTGTCTCCTCACACTGAGAAGCAATGGCCATTCTAGCCCAGGTTTTCTGATATGGTGAGGGTTCAAATAGAGGTGATAGGTATAGCATTTACACTATTAATTACTACACACCTAGAAGATAAAGTGGGAAACCAACTTTGAAATACACGGGTGAACATTTTTACAAGCACTGGAGGCCATGTTATAGCTGTCACTGAGCAAACCTGTGTGGCTGCTGGAGTCTTCCTTCATTTGTCTTTCGAATCTGTTCATTGTCTCAGGTGGCTAAAAGGAAGAACAATCAAGATTACATGGATTTTACTGCTGACATTAAACTATGGAAAATTAGAAAATGCATCTGGAGGCATTTGAGCAACACCTCTTTTATTTTTGAGATGGGGGTGGGAGGAGTCTTGCCTTGAACTCCTAGACTTAATCCTGGCGTATGCTGCACATGGCCAAGAAATGTCTCAAACAGCACAGCATGGAGGTTTCTGGTTTATATGAGATGATGTATCAAAGTGTTGGGGATTTCAAACAATATTTTCACGTTACACATCATCTAGAAACCAGATGAGCTTGTGTAAGGAGGCCCCCCACATCCTCAGCCTGATTAGGACTTGAACATCTATAAGGTCAGGTTCAGTCAGCATGCCATCTACTCTAGTGGTCTAAAGAAAGTTCCTTCTACCTGAAGCTCAGAAACTAATGGACTGAATATATTTACAGCTATAAGAAAATGAAGTCACATTACCAGTACATGAATGCCTGTTGAAAGACGTTTCTTTCTTCCTCTTTTTCTTTTTACTCTTGAATGATTAGCTAAAAATAGAAATCACTTTGGCTCATTATCTTGCCCATGTAATTGTAACCCCTCTGTACAGTATTTTCACAATAAAAAAAGCATTTTGAATTGGGATACTAAAAAGGAAAATTACTGTTTACATAAAATAAAAAACAGGTCAAAAGTTGTTATAACAGCTCTACTTCTGGCTTTTTTTGGGGTAACAGTCCTGGGGCTTGAATTCAAGGCCTAGGCATGTTCCTAAGCTTTTCTGCTCAAGACTGACACTTTACCACTTCCCCAGCCATAGCTCCACTTCTGGCTTTTTGGTGGTTAATGAGTCTCATGGACTTCCCTGCCCAGTTGGCTTTGGATCACAGTCCTTATATCTCAGCCTCCTGAGTAGCTAGCACATTGCTACAATTATATAAACTTTCAACTAAAAAAAAAAATGATGTCTTAAACAATGCTAAGAAAATGAACTGCTTTTTTTTGATCATGGGGCTTGAACTCTGGGTCTGGGCGCCATCACTGAGCTCTTCAGCTCAAGGCAACTGCTGTACCACTGGAGCCACAGTGCCACTTCTGGTTTTCTGGTGGTTTACTGGAGATAAGGGTCTCACGGATATTCCTGCTCAGGCTGGCTTTGAACTGCAATCCTCAGATCTCAGTCTCCTGAGTAGCTAGGATTATAGGGGTGAGCAACGGGCACCAGGCTTCAAACTATTTCTTTAGTTATGAGATTTTAGAAACTTACCACTTTGAGTGATGGTAGATGGTTTCGGGGCATGTTGTTGGCAAAACAACCTGAAATTGTGCAATTTCAAAAAATGGTTAATTTACAGTTTTCAAATGTATTTAAAAAGGTACTGTTTTTCACTCTAAATGTATTTATAATTTCTTTTTGAGACAGGATCTCATGTAGCTCAGGCTGATCTTGAACCTGTGATCTTTCTGCCTTAGTTTCCCTGAGTGTTGGGATTACAGTTGTACATCAAGGGCAAGTGAGGCTGTCAGATGTCTTCTATGCTCTCTGAGCCACAGATGATGACTGTGTTCTTTGAAGGTGTGAATGCTGAGTAAATATTACTAGTTCACATATATGAACTAGTAATGTTCCTATATAGTAACTAGTAATGTTCCTATATAGTAGTGACATCTGACTACATAAAGACAAAAAGGCCAAATGTATTTGGAACCAGATACTTGGGAGGTGAAGATAGGAGGATCTTGGTCCAATGGTACAAGGCTAGCCTGGGCAAAATTGTGAAGCCCTGTCTTAACAAACACTTAAAGACTGGGGGGTATGCTCTCAAGCAGTAAAGCACGTGTCAAATTCAAGAGCCTAAGTTCCAGCCCCAGTATGACAAAATAATGCAGCACTCTCCTCATCTGTGGGAACATAGGTAATGCCTACTCCTCCATGCACTTTCTCAGCAATCCCCAATTCAAAACTAATCTCTCTTTGGGTCTAGGGCCTCTGAGCCTTGTCATTTGCCAACACCTGTAATTTTGGCTGCTTGGGAGGCTGAGGTTTCGAGGACTGTGCCCAGCTCAGGCAGAAAAGTTCATGAGACCTGTTCTCATCAAGAGAGCAAGACTTGCTAGATGCGCACGTGTTATCCTAGCTATGATGGGATATCTAAAATAGGTGGATCACACACATACAGAAATAAAGCCAAAAATGCAAAAACAAACAAAAAAAAACCACAGGGAAAAGGAGCCCTAATACTACTGGTCGGAGTGTAAACTAGTGCAACCATTGTGAAGGCAGTTTGGAGATGCCTCAAAAAACTAAACAGAGCCTATCTTATGACCCAGCTATATCTCTATCTCTATATCTATATCAGGATTACAGGTTAGGATACAGGAAAGGTACTTGCACCACCATGTTCACTGCTGAACTACTTACCATAGACAAGTTATGGAAACAGTCCAGATGACCTTCAGTGCATCAAGAAAATGATACTCCCCCTTACTTCCCCCCACATGCACGCACACACACACACAGAGTTGTACTCATGTATCAAGAAGGATATTATGTTATTTGCAGAGGAATGGATACACCTAGAAAACAGTTCAGTCATGCTCACACCGAGGACATATTTTTTTTTCCTCATAATAGGAAGTTAGATCTAAATTATAAATATATATATAAGTAAATATATACACAGGGTCATATGTATATGTACACTAACTTAAGAGTCTAACAAAATGGATACTAGGAATGGGAATTTGGGGTGTATAGTGTGGGGTATGAGGCCAAAGAGAAGGGAGTAGACTAAGAGGAAGGGTAGGAGAATGCAGGTATGAATATATGTGAAAATGGAACTAGGGAAATTGAGGGGATGATGGGGTTGGGAGAGATGAAGGAGAAATAATGAAAGAGTGATACTGATTCAGATGAGTTGTCCTCAGACACGCTACACTGAAAAAACCAACCCCCCCACAATGTGGATCAGTGGTAAGAGAGCCCACCTAGCAGCATGAAGCCTTGAGTTCAAACCTTAGGCAAACAAAAGTGTAGAAAATATTAGGATGAGCCACCATGGCCCACGCATCCCCCATGCCAACAGTTCTCAACTCAAGGTCTAACTCCTTTCACAAACCCAGGCTCCTGTCCTGCCATGTGTTTCTGAAGGTCCTCAGAAGTTATCAGGTTTACAGTACCAGCAAGGGGTCTTATGTATGGCAGGCAATCCAGTGTTTAATTCAGTTTAAAAAATACACAAATATCTAATTCCATTGAGTTCCAGTATATGATTAGTACATTTTTTCTAACTTAAAAATACAGCAGATGTTTTGTTAAAAGTCACTGCACAAGTCATAGTAAAATAACTTGTGAAGGAAAGTAACAAAAAGTGAGGTTGTGGTAATATAACAGCCCATTAATTTCTTAGAAATACAAAAAGAGAAAGCGGGATATGATGGCTGATGCTTGTAATCTTAGCTAATTGGGAGTATCAGATCAGAATTGTAGGTCTTGGCCCAGCCCTCAAGAAGCTCTCTAGACTATCTCTCAAGTGAGGAAGCTGGGCATAGTGGTGTGTGTGTCTATAATTTCTGCTATAGGAGAAGCATAAAACAGGAGGATCTGAGTTCAGGAACTTCCCTGGGTAGGAAACAATTCCATCTCAAAAATAGGTCCCATGGTTTCTCTTATTTGCAGTAACTAGTATACATCTAGGATAATCCTACCAGACAAGCATGTATATATAACCATATATATATGTATATATATATGTATATATATGTATATATAACCATAGAAGACAACCATAGAAGCAAAATGAACCGCAAGATATGGGCACGAGATTTTTTTTCTTTGTTGCTGTTTTTAATGCACTATGTGATTTTTTTGTTTCTTTTGTCTGTCTAACCCCTGTTGTCACCATATTTGATTCCGGTGCCCTGCAGCTTGGATATACATTTTTCTAATTTGAGGAGGGGAAAGGAAATAACAATGCTGAAACAAGGATACAGGTTGACCTATTATAACAATGAGATGTACAAGACCCAATGTTGAAAAGGAACTTTACAACTCTGGAGAGGAGGGAAGAGTTGGGGAGGGATAAGATAGTAGGGGAAAAAGAAAGGAGGGGTAACAATGCTCCATAGAAAATGTGCTCATTACCTTACTCATGTAACTGTAACCTCTCTGTACAGTATCTTTACCAAAAAAAAAACAAAACAGTGCAGCAAAAGGGCTAGCGACATGGCTGAGCAGTACAACTTCTGCCTTGCAAGCAAGGGGCCCTGAGTTCCAAACCTCAGTACGGTCCCCTCTCCTTTAAAAAAAAAAGTGCAGTACAAAGTTAACGTATTTACTTTTCTAATACCTCAAGCAACAAAATATTTAAGGGACTTGCTCAAAATCTGATTTAAAATAAACCTGCAAATTTCTTCGAATGGTAGGCTATTAAAAATATAAATAGATCAAGCCTAGAGATGATGTGGGGTGAAAAGCAGGGTCTCAGGTTCTGACACCAGCTTTGCCACTTATCAACCGTGAGACCTGAGGACAAGTTACTGGTTTAGTGCCTCAGTCTGTGCAGGGCATAATAGAATCTTCCCCTGTGATCTGCTATGAGGATTAACATTTGCAAAGCTATTAGAATATGCCTGGCAGAATAGTTACTAAACAAGTTAATTAAGATAGTACCTGGAACACTTGTTTACAGAAATATATGCCCAGTATGGGAGAAGTTCAGTTTCTGGAATTAAGTAATTTTAAGAATTGTAGCTGGATGCTGGTAGCTCACACCTGTAATCCTAGCTACTCAGGAGACTTGAGATCTGAGGATCTCGATTCAAAGCCAGCCTGGGCAGAATAGTCCATGAGACCTGTATCTCCAATTAACCACCAGAAAATCGGAAATAGCACTGTGGCTCAAGTGGTAGAGCGCTTGCCTTGAGCTGAAGAGCTCAGGGACAGCACCCACACTCAGAGTTCAAGCCCCCCATGATTGACCCCCCCCCCCAAATTGTACAAAAGTCATATTTAAAAAAATACTGCTGCACTCTATTAGTTTATGCCTATAATCTTAGTTACTCAGGGCTTAGAACTGAGAACCACAGTTCAAAGACAGGAAACTCCCTGAGACCCCTAAACTCCCTGAGACCCTATCTCCAGTTAACCACCAAAAAGCTAAAGTGGAGCTGTGGAGTAAGTGGTAGAGTGCCAGCCTTGAGCAAAAATGCTCAGGGACAGTGCCCAGGCCTTGAGTTGGAGCCTAGGACACAGACACACAGACATACACACAAATACACTTTTCTATTACTCGGCATGTTGTGGTATGAAGCATTTTTTCCCCCCAAGTAGCTGTTTCTTGCCATTGTATCTACTTCACACAGAAGGTGGGAGGGGTGCAGCAAGAGCCTATGGCTGTGTAGAAGCAAAGGCCTACCCATAGCATATAAGAAAGGCTTGACAGCTTGGCCGGTGGCTCATGCCTGTAATCCTAGCTACTCAGAGTGCTGAGATCTGAGGATCATGGTTCAAAGCTCCTGGGCAGAAAGTCTGTGAGACCTTTATCTCCAATTAACCACCAGAAAACCGGAAGTGATGCTGTGGCTCATATGGTAGAGTGCTTGCCTTGAGTTGAAGAGCTCAGGGACAGTGACCAGGCTCAGATTCAAGCCCCACAGCCAACAACAACAACAACAAAAGGCTTGACAGTCCTGCCTCTTCTTTTTTTTTTTTTTTTGGGTCCAGTCATGGGGCCTGAACTCTGGGCCTGGGCACTGTCCCTCAGCTCAAGGCTAGCGCTCTACCACTTGAGCCACAGTGTCACTTCCGGCTTTTATTTTCTGCTTATGTGGTGCTGAGGAATTGAACCCAGGGCCTCAGGCATACAAGGCAAGTGCTCTACCACTGAGCCACCTTCCCAGCCCCAGTCCCTGCCTCTTGTTTACCCTATAGATCCTTCATGCCATTATGCAAGTGAGTCTTTCTACTTGGAAGGACAGGATGCAGGAAAACTTTAAAAATCAAACAAAACCTTGCGTTATTTTCTTCCTGATGTATTGAGAGTGGTGTGAGATCACTAACTGGACATCACCCAAGCCACCTTCTCACATGAAAATCATTTACATAATTAATCTATAGAAGGTTTCCTTTCCTTGGGCAATGGTGGCTCACACCTGTAATCCTAGTTAACCCAGGAGGCTGAGATCTGTGATTTGAAGCTAGTCTAGGCAGACAAATCTGAGGTACTCTTATCTCCAGTCAGCCATCAAAAAGCCAGAACTGGAGTCATTTGTCAAGTACTAGAGTGCCAACATGAGCAGAAAAAGCCAAGTGAGAGCCCTGAGTTCAAGCCCAGTACTGACAGTCACAGACAGACACACAGAGACACACACGTCTTTTAACATTCCTTATCCCAATCCCTCAAATGTAGTTTTAAAACTGTGGTATTACATACTTGTATGTTCCTTGAGCTCCATTAGCTTGTGGAAATGCATCATCCATCTTGGCACAGAAAAAGTGGTAATTCTTGTTACAGGATTTTAAATCACACCCCACGGTGGCTCCTCTTTTACCACAAAGTGTGCATTTCTACAGAAAAATAGATTTTATTGGGTAAGCCCTTTTAAAAAATCATTGTTAAAGTGGAAAGTTATCTAAATGTTACTTAAGCTAGAAGCCCTTTATTTTTCATTGTGGACATTACCAGCAAAATTCTACCCGTGGTACACTCATTTCAACAAAACCTCAGCTGACTGGAATGCTTGGCATGGACCATTTTGTAATGATCCGATTAAAAAACAAAATATTTTGTTTCAGAAAACCCATTTCAAAGATATTTCTAAAAGTCTCTGGAAAACTTCTCCAGCTTTAGGCAAAGGTTCTGCTGGAGACACTAAGCCAAGGCAAGAGCATCAAGGGTTTATGTCCGTAAGAGCTTTGAGACCTTGCAGTCGCTTCCCCTTGTCACCTCAGGCTCCCCTATGGAGTTGAGGATAATGTGGGATGAAGCAAAGGGAATCTACTGGAGTAGGTCCAATGGGGAAAAAACAAAGAACACAAAACCACAACTGAGTAAGAACAGTGTTTTGGGGCTGGGAAGTTGGCTCAGTGGTAGAGTGCATGAGACCCTGGGTTCGATTTCTCAGCACCACATAAGCCAGAAGTGGAGCTGTGGCTTAAGTGGTAGGGTCCTAGCCTTGAGTTGAGCCCCAATGACCGACCAAAAAAACATGCCCCCCCCCCCCAACAGTGTTTTCTTAGTTTAGCTTATTGGATGCCTTGTTTTTGTCTGTCTAGTATTTTATATACCAAGGTAGTATAGAGATGGTTAGGAAGACACTGTATGGCCACAGAAACTTAGCTCATTCAGAGTACCCACGTGTGATCAAGGATGACTAGGCATCACACCCTGGCAGAGTGATATGGAGATAGGCATGAGAACACCTTGGAGACAGACAACTCACCTAATACTCCAAAGTAGGCATAAGCACACATATAAAGAAGACCAAAAGGTAGGTGAGACTAAGTTTAAGACAAAGGTAGATGGGGCTGGGAAGGTGGCTCAGTGGTAGAGCGCTTGCCTTGCATGCATGAGGCCCTGGGTTTGATTCCTCAGCACCACATAAGCAAAAAGAAAGCCAGAAGTGGTGCTGTGGTTCAAGTGGTAGAGCGCTAGCCTTGAGCTGAAGAGCTGAGGGACAGTGCCCAGGCCCAGAGTTTAGGCCCCACGACTGGACACCCTCCCCCCCCATAAAAAAGACAAAGGTAGAATTCCAAATTGTAGCATAGATGAAGTTATTTTTAATCTGAGGTATGACCGACTAGATATGTATTGTACATAGGAAGAAAAGGTTAGATTGCTATCTCCTAATGCATGTATTAATATATAGATGAAAGATCTGATGATATAAAACAACAACAAAAAAACCTTAAGGTTTTGTTTTGTCTAGGACCTGGGCACTTCTGGCCTTTTCTGTTTATGTGGTACTAGGGATTGAACCCAGGGTTTCATGCATGCTAGGCAAGCAAGCATTCTACCACTAAGCCACATTCCCAACCCTAGGATTTTTTTTTTTTTAAATACAGTATTGAGATAAAGGAGGGTTATGTAAGGGAGACAGGAAATTAGAAGCCTTAAAGAAGATATGGACATATATCAGTACAAATTTTCAACTTCCATTTTCATGGTGACAGGTAACGCGAAAAATTTTAAATTGGGGCTGGGAAGATGCCTCAGTGGTAGAGTTCTTGCCTTGCATGCATGAGGCCCTGGGTTTGATTCCTCAGCACCACATAAGCAGAAAAAGCCAGAAGTGGTGCTGTGGCTTAAGTGGTAGGGTCCTAGCCTTGAGCTGAAGAGCTGAGGGACAGAGCATAGGCCCAGAGATCAGGCCCCACGACCAGCAAAACAATAAATAAAAATAAATTTAAGGAAAAATGTAACATACTGAAAAGATTAAGATTCAGATGACCGAGCTGAGTATGGTAGTGAATGCCTTAAGGCCAGCTAAGAAACTGAGGATCAAGTTTTAAGCCAAGGAGAAAAAAAGAGCTTGCCTAGTATGCAGAAGGCCCTGGGTGAAGCTAGCCCAGGCAGGAAAGTCTGTGAGAGTTTTCAATTAAGCACCCCCTTAAAAAAAAAAAAAAAGATGCTGGGCGCCGGTGGCTCACGCCTGTAATCCTAGCTACTCAGGATGCTGAGATCTCAGGATCGCGGTTCAAAGCCAGCCCGGGCAGGAAAGACCATGAGACTCCTATCTCCAATAAACCACTAGAAAACCGGAAGTGGCGCAGTAGCTCAAGTGGTAGAGCGCTCGCCTTGAGCTGAAGAGCTGAGGGACAGCGCCCAGGCCCAGAGTTCAAGCCCCATGACCGACAAAAAAAAAAAAACAAAAAGACAAAGCCATAAGTAGAGCTATAGCTCAAGTGGTAGAGTGCTAGCCTTGAGTAAAGAAGCTCAGTGACAGCACCCAGGCTCTCAGGACCAGCACAATCCCTGCCCCCCCTCCCCCCCAAAAAAACAAAACAAAACAAAAACCCCACACCCAAAACTCAAAAAAACGAACTCATCCACCCAAAATCTTCTCATAGCAGATCAGGGGCGTAGCTCAGTGGTAAAGCATATGCCTAGAATGTGCAAGGATCTGTGTTGGATCCTCAGCACTATGAGCAAAAATAAAAACCCACAAGTCTCAGAAAAACTGGTGGCTCATTCCTAAAGTCCAAGTTGAAATCTGAAGATCACAGTTTGAAGCCAGCCTGGACAGGGAAGTCTGAGTTTTTTTTTTAATATATATATTTTTATTATAAAGATACTGTACAGAAGGGGTACAGTTATGAGCAAAATAGTGAACCCCCCTACTATCCCTTTCCTCCCCACCTCCCCAACTCCTCCCTCCCTTCTCCCAACCCCTCAACCCCCCACCTCCCACCCACAAAGTTGTGAAATTCGTTTTCAACACACCATCTTGTACATCTCATTGTTACAGTGGGTTATCGTGTATCCTTATTTCAGCATTTTGTTATTTCCCTTCCCCTCCCCAGATTAGAAAAATGTATATACAAGATAAAGGACACCGGAATCAAATACTGTTCTTTTTAATGTACTTATAATGTACTATGATTTTTTTTCTTTGTATGTTCTTCCCCCACTGTACAACCTCTCGTCACTGTATTTGATTCTGGTGTTCTGGATTTTGTATATACATTTTTCTATGAGAGTCTTATCTCTAATTAACCAACAAAAAACTGGAAGTGGAGCTATGGCTCAAGTGGCATAATGCTAGTGTAAAAGCTAAGGGACAGTGCCCAGGACTTGAGTTCAAACCCCAGTACTGGCATAGGAAAAGAAAAGCAACAATGTTATTGTGTTACTATTGAAACTGAGTGGTCAGTAAAGTATCAAAACCTATGGTGGTGATGGAGGTATGCATAAGAGCTTGTAGCAAGCAAAAAAGCAGGGACAAAGCTATTCTAAGCAGAAGCCCTTAAGTCCTTATGACAAGAATGAGTCTCTCCCATTGACAAAAGAAGGATGGCTTCTATTACCAGAACAGTGAGGTAAGGGCCATTTGAGGTAGTGTTTATAAGCATGATAAGAAAATATTGAGTTTTGTCTGTGTGCAAGGGGCACATGATCTATTTGTGCTGGCCCTGTTGCTGTCCCTAAGTTATTTTACTCAAGATTAGTGCTCTACCACTTGAGCCACAGCTCCACTTATGGTTTATGACCCTCAGATCTCAGCCTTCTGAGTAGTTATGTGAGCCAGTAGCCCCAAACATGATCAGTATTTTTTTTTCTTTTTTTTTGGTTGGTCATGGGTCTTGAACTATGGGCTTGGGGGCTGTCCCTCCGCTCTTCAGCTCAAGGCGAGCGCTCTACCGCTTGAGCCACAACACCACTTCTGCTTTTTAGTGGTTTATTGGAGATAAGAGTCTCACGGACTTTCCTGCCCGGGCTGGCTTTGAACCGTGATCCTCAGATCTCAGCCTCCTGAGTAGCTAGGCTTACAGGCGTGAGCCACCAGCGCCCAGCTATGATCAGTATTTTTTAAGAGATCATTCTGACACTGTGGAGAATGAACTGGTAGGGATGAGTGAGCTGGGTACAGATGGCAAGAGAGAAACGGCAAATATCACAGTCTTCAGCTACTGCCAAGAACTAGATTAGTTCATTCACTGGGGTGGATTAGTGATGTTGAAACAAGTGGATGGAGAGTGCAAGATATATCATGAGGCATTGTTGAAGTGCTGTTATTGGGCAGAGAGGTGATGAGGAAAAGTGAACTCTTAGATTTCTGTAGTGCTGTTTACTGGAGTAAATTAGGTGCAGGTCTGGATGGAGGGGGATGAATTGTGTTTTTCATCAGCCTCTTCAACATCAGATATTTTATTTATCCATGGAGATCTATCAGGTTAGTAGTCTCAAATTCTGGGGCAGAGCTGGAGATGCAAATAGACTTCCTGGTAAGTGGATGATAATTAAGCCTGAGAACTAGATGGCCCCACTCAGGAAGGAGGTTCAATCCAGAAAGAAGCCCAACACAACCTTGTGTCACCCCAAATCTCAGAGGTTGAACAGAGAAGAAAGCAGCCAAGGCATCTGGGAAGAAGTGGCCAAAAGGTAGGAGATAATACCTGGAGTGTGTTTCCAGAAGGCAAAAGGGGATAGTTCAAACTGTAAAGTGTGGACAATATGATGAATACAGCTTGAGAAGTTAACAAAGAAAAGAGGCATTAGCTTGGGGCTGGGAGGTTGGGCTGGGGAGAGGTTTCAGGGAGATTAGAAAGGTCAATGTGGAGGTACAGCAAACATTCCTGGGAAAAGTAATAGCTCTGTTGGGGGTTGTTACTGAGCCATAGGTCAGTCAACACATGGTGAGGTTCACCTGCTCAAGGGCCTGAGCCATTTGAGTATATGTTGACAGTTGCCAGGTGGGGTACCCATGGCTGGTTTTGCTCAGTGTGTGAGGAAGTAGACCATGTGAGTGGAGGGAGCAGGAGGCTGGGTGTCTGAAGAGGGTCTGTGGTGGTAGGCATGGGATTGGGGGTGGAGGGGCCCAATGTAGAGGGATGGTGAGCAGCTGAGAAGCTGGGAAAGCTGCACAGAAACCGTGCCCAGTCTCCTACCATCAAGGAGCTGAGCAATTAAGAGCAGTGATACTCATTTCTGCCACTCTTCCAGTCACTGCACAGGAGCAAAATTGGCTCCTTTCTAGGGGACAGTTTGTCAGCAGTTCAACAGATTAAAATGGAATTCTCTTCACCCAGAAATCCAAACTTCTAGACATCTGCACTACAAATACCCAAATACAAATACCCAAAATAGGCCCAGAACAGATATACAGAATGTTTGCTGCAGCATTATTTGTTATAGTAAAGAGCCAGAATAGTCATTATTTACCAACAAAGGAATGGTTTCATCAGTGACAATATACCTCATGAAAAAGTCCAGCAAATCAGTGAAAGAACAGACATTATGAAGTCACATGCTTACACATGTGCCCTATTCTTTCTTGCTTCCCACTTTTGCACATCTATGTCCCCTTCTCTCTGGAATTGCTTTCCCATCTTCCTTTCTACCTTGCTCCCCCACCCTGTTAAGGTACTTTACCTATACAGAAACTCCATTCACTGACCTATGGGCGGTGCACCATGTCTGCCCACAGACCCACAGGCTCAGAAACACTTGTGAGCCCCTAGCTAAACATTACTTTAGGGGACTTTACATCCTTCATTTCCAGTGTGTCCCCAAGCTTCCTAGTAGGGAAGCTTGAGGCATACCCACTTCTTTCTGAACATTAGACCTCTAGTCAACCATTGTTATTCTGCAACCTGGGTTCTTTATATGTGGGCAACATATAATTATAGAATTAATGTCTTTTAAAAATTATATCTACTTAACCTCTCTCAAATCCAGTTAATTCTCAAAGAGCATATAAATATAATCTTTATATAATAATTCTGGTGGCTCACACCTGTAATCCTAGCTACTCAGGAGGCTGAGATCTGAGGATTACAGTTTGAAGCCAGCCCAAGCAGGAAAGTCTGTGAGACTCTTATCTCCAATTAACAATCAGAAGATCAGAAGTGGTGTTGTGGCTTAAAGTGGAAGAGTGCTAGCCTTGAGCAAAAAATGCTCAGGAACAGTGCCCAAGCCCTGAGTTCAAGCCTCATGACCAACAATTAAAAAAAAAAAATTCTCTCAGTTGAGGTCTATCTGCTATTTAGAGGGGAAGCTGACAAGGAGTAATATCATCTGCAGGATGCTACAGATGTCAGCACCTTGCAAAGACTACATACATGTTTGTCCCTGGTCATGGACCTTACTGAGGTTATGATCAGGGCACAGGGCACTCACACTTGTCCCGTTTGCTAAACGGTGACCAGCCTTTTACAGAGGAAACCTGTAGTAAACCCTCTTCCTTCCTGTATAGCTCCCTTATGACCTTAGCTCCAAAGGGAATCTTGACTAGTTACAACCACTTTCCACAGCTAGTACACAAAGAGGGGAGCAACCAAATTAGACTCCAGAGGCCTCTTATTCCAGTTTTGCAGATGACCTGTCTTGTGCTGGCTATGAACAAGGGAACTTGGTGCAGTTGCTGCCTACAGCCCTGTATACTTGCAAGGGGAGCAGCTTACATTAGGGAGTAGAGGTGAGGGGAGTGGGAGCAGAACCAGTGTTCCTTGATAACATCAAGCCACTGAAGCTGGTGTTTCCTGATGAAGTGAGAAGATATGCCTCCTTTTTTTGGTAATGCTAGTCTGAGTTGGGATTTCTTCCACTTAACACCCACCTGCATTCTAAGTCATCTTTGTGGATAAGGTATGGTAGTTTATATTAACATAGTCAGCGTTCAGTTGAACATCATTTCTGTAAATTTCCAATGGTCAGCTCCCCAAGATTCTTTTCTACCTCGAGCTTATCAATCAGAATGTCTTTTGATTGTGCTCCTTGGTATTCAGAAGGTTGTCTGTGTGAGTAATGAAATCATTTCTACTTACCAGCTTTCTTCCTCTCTGGATTTCTTTCTTTACTGATTCCACATCAAAATTTCTATCATCATTAACTGGATCATGATCCTCACATTCCACAAGTGCTGAAGAATACAGCTGCAGGTAGAAAAAAACCCCAGAGTATGCATAAAATTTTTTAAAAAAATAATACTGAAAGCTAAAAGCCAGAAAATACTACCAAGAAGTACTTACCAGGAATGGAAAATGAACTGGGGAAGAATAGTGACCACCTCAAAGTGTAGGGGCAGACCACCCAGTGTTCTCTGTGAGTGACCCTCATCCCCAGCCATGTTTTATTCTCTCACCTGCCATGACTAATTGGACCCAAGCAGCCCCTGATTGCAAGCTGGGCCACTCTGACTTCCTATTCTAGGAAAGTAGAATAGGCTCTGAACAATAGCTGAAGCCATATAGTCAGAGCAAGCCAGTCTGCAAAGAAAGAAAAGCAAAGTAAGGGTTGGAGAAGGGATTTTCGGTTTTGTTTTTATAAAACTTTTTGGTGCTGGTCTTGGGGCTTGAACTCAAGGTTTGAGTGCTGTCCCTGAGCTTTTTTGCTAAAAAAACAAAAGTCCAACTTTGTCATCATGGTTTCTGCTTTTTATAAGAAATCTGTCTATGCAAATATCACTAAAATGCTCTTTTCATGCCCTTTATCATTTTAGTATATGTATGGTAATTGATCTTCAGTTGAGAAGTTGAGGTCAGCTGGATTCTTTGGTTTTAAGTGGCACATTGAAAACTTAAGCCAGCCCACACACAAGGGGGTTTACAGTAGGTTATTAGGCATTTCATGGTACTAAAAACTAGACCTGGGAAGCTCTCAAGAATGTCCTCTTTGGAAGGGGGGTGGGGCTGGAGGATGGGGGTGTAATTGAGGTGGGAGGGACGGGATGGTAGGGGAAAGGCAAAAGAAGCAACAATGCTGGATAAGAAATGTACTCATTACCTTGCTCATGTAATTGTAACCCCTCTGTACAGTATTTTCACAATAAAAAACTTATTTAAAAAAAAAAAAAAGAATGTCCTCTTGGCTGGATGCTGGTGGCTCATGCCTGTAAAATCCTAGCTTCATAAGAGGCTGAGATCTGAGGACTGTGGTTTGAAGCCAGTACATGCAGAGAAGTCTGGAGACTTTTATCACCAATAAAACTTTAATAAGCCAGAAGTGGCTCATGTGGTGGAGTGTTAGCCTTGTGCAAAATTAGCACAGGGATAGCACCCTGGCCCTGAGTTCAAGACCCAAGACCAGCATGCATGCACATGTGTGTGTGCACACAAAATCACATTGGGGTCACTAGCTCATGCTTGTAATTCAACTCCATGGGAGACGGAGACTGGGGATCATGATACAAGGCCAGCTCAGGCAAAAAATTAATGAGACCTCCATCTCAACCAATAAAAATCTTGCTATGTTGGTGTATATCCATTATCTCAGCTACATGTGAGGATTAAACAGGAGGATTGTGGTCCAGGCTAGCCTTGGAAAGAAATGAGAGATCCTATTAAAAAATAGCTGTATATGAGTGGCTCATGTCTGCAATCCTAGCTAGTTAGGAGGGCTGAGACTTGGAGTACTTGGGTTTAAAGACAGCCCAGGCAAAAAAGTTGAGAGTCAATCTCCAATCAACCAGCAAAATTCCAGACAAGAGGTGTGGCTTAAGTGATACAGCACTTGCCTAGCAAATATGAGTTCATACCCCAATACTACAACAACTAAAAAAACCCAACAACCAAAATTTTATGTGTTAGGCAGCCCCGTTGGTTCAGAGCTCTCAGCCAGACTCACATTGCCACATGTTTAAATTGTGTGTGAACTATTTCTCTGCCTTAAAAAAAAAATTAATGGTTATTTTTCTTTTATTAATTTATTTTTTGTTTATGTGATACTGAGTAGAACCTAGGGCCTCATGCATGCTAGCCAAGTACTCTACCACTAGGCCACATTTCCTGCCCCATCTGTCTCAAATGTGCTTAAAGTAAAAACTTAGATGTGTTGAAGGGCAGTGTATCTTTAGTGGACACTGAGTGGCATATGAGAAAAATCAATCAAACGTTCACAGTACAGTACTGAACTCTATGCATCCTGAGCATTGTGGTTTCTCCTCTATGGTCATCTCTCTGAAAGCATGGATAACAAGGGCCTACTATATATATGACAAGGCTTATACCAGAAGGTAGGAGAAACTTAGCTCAATAAGGCAAACAATTTTATTAAAAATGGGCAAGAGTGGGGATTGGAGCTCAATGGTAGACCATTTGCTTAACATGTACTAGGCCCTATGTTTGATATCCAGCACCACCCATGGGGAAGGGGGAGAGCGTTATATCATAAAAGATTCATAAATGGTGAATAAGAACATAAAAAGATGCTTAAGCTCAATGGCCCTCATGCAAATTAAAACCACAAGAGACTAACTTACAGGTTCAAGCAGTCCTCTTGCCTGGGCTTCCCAAATAGCCAGGACTATAGTTGTACACCACTGTATTCAACTTTCAATAATTTCTCCCTTCCCTCCTATCCTCTCCTGTCCTTTCCTCTCCCTGCTTTTCTTTTTTGGTGGTACTAGGGATTGAACTCAGGGCTGCATGCCTGTTAAGCACTCTACCACTTGGGCCATGCCTCCGGTCTCCCCCAAATAAATACATCTACTTTTAGATGTTTCCCCAAGAGAAAAGCATATGTCCACACAAAGACTCGTAATACAATGTTTACAACACAATTTCAAAACATGACATACATAAAAAGAAACTAAGTGAAAAAATTTAAGATTATGGGGAAAAAGAATCATAGTACAGAATTTAAAGGAAGAAAACCTCACAAGTTATAAAGCAAAAAATATAACAAGTTCCAAAAGAAAACCCTAAAATAAAATTAAAAAGCCGACATGTATTATAAAACATTAGTATCTATTTTACATAAATACCTACAAGCAAAACCAACATGTCAAAGCAAAATCCTACGCACATAACACAGAAGCAAAAGCCAGAATGGCAAATAAGCATACAAATTGATAGACAAACCCAGTAATCAGGGAATAAAAATGAAAACAAAATACCACTGCCACATCAATCAGAGAGGAAAAAAATCTAAATCTAATAATACCAAGTCTTGGCAAGAAAAGGATCAAGAAAAAAAATAACCATGGAAGTGAATTTGGCACATTGCTTTTGAGAGTAATTTGGCCAAGTTACTGAGTGCCTATGCTTCCTGCCCGTGCCCAGCAATTCTGCACTTAGTTATCCACTTAGACCAGGGAGATTCTCATCTGTAAGGATAGCTAGAGAAGAAGGTCATAACTTGGTAGTCGAAGAAAGAAATCTGGAAAAACCTAAATGCTCACTCACAGGAAAATAGGTTAATATAACATTTTGTAATTATGATTCAGAGCTAACTTATCAACATAAACTTACTCTGAAATTTTAAAATTAATTTGACAAAAATTATGTCTGTATGTTACATCTGATGTATTTTATTAAAAGTTTTTTTTTTTTTTGTTGGTTGTGGGGCTTGAACTCTGGGCCTGGGCACTGTCCTGAGCTCTTCAGCTCAAGGCTAACACTCTACCACTTGAGCCACAGCACCACTTCTGGTTTTCTGAGTGGTTTATTGGAGATAAGAGCCTCACGGACTTTCCTGCCCAGGCTGGCTTTGAACTGAGATTCTCAGATCTCAATGCCCTGAGTAGCTAAGATTACAGGCGGGAGCCACCAGCACCTTACTATTAAAGTATTTTTAAACAAACTTTTTGAAGATCATGCATTGTCTTTGTGTGCCTGACCTAACTGTAAGGTAGTTAGACCTAAGACAATTCCAAGTTAGTAAACTACCCACTCAATTCTCTCAAAAAGCCAAGGCACGACAAACTCCTGATTCACTGTCCCCAGAGTACTACTTATCTATTCTAGCACATCCAACCCTCAAATTTCAACTTACCAAACAATTTTCATGAGCAGCTATATTCTCTGATTGTGCAAAGTACACGACACTATAATCGAGATCTTTGGGGCAGAGTGCACATGTCCTTTTTTCCATCTTTTCTGCAACCTGAAAGACACCTATAAGTAATATCCCTGGTGAGAAGTGCAAAAGTATAACTTCAGGATCTCACTAACTTCTCCAGGTACAAAGGAGGCAGGCTTCTGCTTTTTGTTGTTGTTGTTGTTGGTCGTGGGGCTTGAATTCTGGGCTTAGGCGTTGTCCCTGAGCTCTTCAGCTCAAGGCAAGGGCTCTACTGCTTGAGCCACAGCACCACTTCCGGTTTTCAAGTGGTTTATTGGAGATAAGTGTTGCACGGACTTTTCTGCCTGAGCTGGCTTTGAACCGTGCTCCTCAGATCTCAGCCTCCTGAGTAGCTAGGATTACAGGCGTGAGCCACAGGCGCCCGGCTTGGGCTTCTGCTTTTATAATAATCTCAACTCCAGGAAGGCAAAAAAAAAAAATTGCTGATCCTAGTGGAAGACATATTTTGCATACTGTTAAGTAGATGAAGAAGGAAATTCATATAAAATATATGAAAATGAAGAAAACTTTTTTTTTTTGTCGGTGTGGGGCCTCAACTCTGGGCCTAGGCACTGTCCCTCAGCTCTTCAGCTCAAGGCTAGAGCTCTACTGCTTGAGCCATAGCATCACTTCTGGCTTTTTCTGCTTATGTGGTGCTGAAGAATTGAATCCAGGGCCTCATGCATGCAAGGCAAGCACTCTACCACTGAGCCACCTTCCCAGCCCCAGAAAACTATTCAAGAAATATAACCAAGAATTTAAATACAAGCAAAACTCAAAACACTACCTTTTCCAGAGCAAGCTCTAAATAACTGTTGTTATTACAAATGAACAAGAAAGTGTTGTATTCAAGAAGCAGGTCTGTAATTTATTATCTGTAGAAGAACAAAATTGTATCTATATGGTGCATTATATTAAAAAATAAGTTCTAGGAGGATAAAGAAGTAAATCAGCAACATACTTTAATTTAAATGTGCTTTCTTCAAAATGTTTTGGCAAGTTGGGAGCCAGTGGCTCACGCCTAACTACTCCGGAAGCTGAGATCTGAGGATCCTTGTTTGAAGCCAGCCTAGGCAGGAAAATCCATGAGACTCTTCTCTCCAATGAATCACAGAAAACGTTGGAAGCACAGCAGTGGTTCAAATGTTAAGCACTAGCCTTGAGAAAAATGAAGCTCAGGACAGTGCCCATGCCCTGTGAAACCCCAGTACCAGCAAAAAACAAACAAAAAAACTCAAAGTTTTGGTAGTACTGGGGTTTTAACTCTCCTCAGGCTTATTAGCTTAATGGTTCTCATAAGCCACGCTTCTAGCCTTAACTGTGCTTTAGTTCAATATTATGATTGTTTAGGAAACAAAGATACATGATAGCAGTGAATACTTTTTAAAGGAGATAAATGGGAGAAAGGAAAAAAAAAACGAGGTGAAGAGGAGCTAGGAAGAAAAGGGAAGGAGCTACAAACCTGCTGGAAGGCCAGTTTAGAGCCACCTGTTACTGGGTTTACAAGTATGCATTGACATTATTTTCCCCCACAATGTAATGCTCATTCCTTTGATGTTCTATAGTAGATAAACTTATTTAATCTTTTAGTTTTGAAATAAAAATGTACTACTTAACAGTGAAAGTTTTATACTTATGAGAGATGATCCCTCCCTCTCCCCACTCCCACCAAATAATCAGAAGTCCTATTTTTGCCCCTCTTTTTGGTGCCAGGCCTGGACACTGTCTTGAAGGTTTTTTTGCCCAAGGCTAGCACTTTACCACTTGAGCCACAGCTCCACTTTGGGCTTTTTGGTAGCTCATTGGAGATAAGAATCATATGGGCTTTCCTTCTCTGGCTGGCTTTGAAACAGAAATCCTCAGATCTCAGCCTCCTGAGTAGCTATTATAAGCACAAGCTAAAAGTTCTTTTTGTTATTCTCTCTCTCACTCTGATTAGTTCTTTCATTTTACGAAGTCAGAAGATTACATTTGAAAACTAGTATTTCACATTTTTTTTGATTAATTTCAGTTCTCTGCATTTGGGTCCTTTTTAGTGAGGAGATTTAATAAGCCCCTTGTTTCCCACTAACCAAGACAAAATGTTGAGAGTTAAAAACCCACTCAGAATAGGCTACCTTTAAAAATTCACCTGTAACCAGTAACAATTTAGGATCACATAATGAATGCCAGTCTCCATGCTGGGTGGTCGGGACTAGGTCTGTCCCATAGAAACATGAAGTGAGCCACAGGTGTCACAGAAAACCTTCCAGGAGCATAATTAAAGAGGCAAAAAACAAACAGGTAAACTTAATTTTATGTTGTCTTCAGCCCAAAGTAGACTTTCAGTGTTTAATCAATATGATTAATTCATTTGTACTCAGCCTTTGAAATCTAAAGTATAATTTGTGCTTAAAAACATCACTTCTTAACAGTATCAGCCAGGTACCCAAAGTGAGGCCAGGCATGGTGACGCATATCTGTAATCTCAGCTACTCAGAAGATGTAGATCTAGAAGACTGAGTTTCAAGGCCTGGAAAAGCACAGGAACAGGCGAGAAGAAATGAGAATGTTCCTTTGAGAAGCTTTGAAAATAAAGGAGGCAAATAGGATTAGGTAATAAAATACATGTCATAAAGTAATCTGATGGATTGAATGGGGCAGGCATAGCTTGGAGGGAGGGAAAGGGAAAAAGGGACACTGTAGAATGAAGCAATAGCAAGCTTAAGGCCAAGAGTCTAAGCTGGACATTATATAAATCAGCTGGATAGGGAGTGGAGTAAAGAATGCTGGAAGAAGATTTGAGAAACACGAAGCAAAGGGCTGTTAGCAAAGGTTTTATCAGGGTAAGAACATAGCTGCAAAGTTATCCAAAAACTCACATCTCAACAGATGGAGAGAAACACATGCTTCTGGACAGAAAGGTTGGATATTAGAATGTTAATTTACCTCATGGTAGTTTAGGTTCAGATAATTTCAACCAGAATCTCAAGGAGTTAAAGAATTTGAGACAATGATTACTTGAAAGAATGGGCATAGATACTGAAGAAAATAAAAATTGGGATGGAGGGACCAAAAGAAATCATCTGCCTCCTCAATTTAAAAACAGATTGTTATTGTAATTGCATTTTGGTCCACTGATCTTCCTCGACTCACAATTTTTTATTCCCAAATGTTGAGATCCTAGGAGAGTAAACAGTGTATCTATCCTGAGACAATAACAGGATTATAGAATTCTCAAAAAAAAATTGGTAGCCAAGAAAGGTTGCACAGAATTAAGATTTTAAAAAAAATCACAAGGGGCTAGGAAGGTGGCTCACTGGTAGAGTGTTTGCCTCACATGCATGAGGCCCTGGGTTCAATTCCTCAGCACCACATAAGCAGAAAAAGCTGGAAGTGGCACTGTGACTCAAGTGGTAGAGCACTAGCCTTGAGCTGAAGAGCTGAGGGACAGCGCCCAGGCCCAGAGTTCAGGCCCCACAATAGAAAAAAACCCAAAAACTCAAGTCTAGAACCTGAGATTTATGACTAACTCCCACAACACATCAATTTTAAGTCTCTCCAACAATCTCTGTCCACTTCCTCCCTGGGAATGGATTGCTAAGACTATGGCCTCTAAAGGCATATCCTCCTGCAGTCCTCTACCTGATGAAGGCAACCCATCTAGGAGACAGAATCTGGGGGGTATAGGTCAGAGGAAGAGTGCTTGCCTAGAATTTTTACGTTTCTGGGTTTAATTTCCAATACCACTTACCCTTGCAAAAAGTTAAGAGGAAAACTTATGGAATACATTCACAAATCCCATAATTACAATTTCTTTCTAGTAATGCTGCCAAAATTTGTAACTACTTCTCAGTCTTAACTCTAGGCCCTCCATGAAGCACCCATGTTTTTGTGCAGGCTGGTTTCCTCTGCTTAGAGGACACTACTTTTGACACCAGGGAGACAGAAAAGAGTGTTAAGGAGAGTATCAATTTCATTCCAGTGGCAAAAAAAGGTATGGTGTTTTGTCAGTGAGATTAATGTCTCAACAATGGTGGGAAAGGAGGTAATGCGGAGCCAGTGAGGGTAGGCAAGATTGACGAAGATACATATTAACTGCAGACCTAAACACTGGAGCATGAAAATGAGACAACACAGAGATGAGTTCTTCTTCCCGAAAGCGTAGAAAGATTCTAAGGCAGGTTTGATGGCTTAGAGAGCTTATAAAACAGCAAATGACAGAGTTTTTAAGATGTACAAAGTCAAATCAGAGAGAACTTGGAGTGAACTGTAAGGGACTGTTCTGAGATAAAGAACCTTTGCTGCTTTTGTGCTTTGTTTTAGTGCTGGTATTGGGTCTTAAACCCAGTGCCTCGCACTCACAGCTAGTGCACTACCACTTGAGCCCCACTTCAGTGGTAGAACCAGTTGTCCTGGCTTTGAACTACAATCTTCAGATCTGTTTCTTGAATAGATAAGATGACAGGTGTGTTTTCTTTCTTTTTTTTTGGTCGGTCGTGGGGCTTGAACTCTGGGTCTGGGCGATGTCCCTCAAGCTCTTCAGCTCAAGGCGAGCGCTCTACCACTTGAGCTACAGCGCCACTTCCGGTTTTCTGGTGGTTTATTGGAGATAGGAGTCTCACGGTCTCTCTTGCCCGGGCTGGCTTTGAACCGTGATCCTCAGATCTCAGCCTCCTGAGTAGCTAGGATTACAGGCGTGAGCCACCAGCGCCCGGCTGACAGGTGTGTTTTCTAACAATCATTTTAGCTACTGTGCAGGCTCTGCCTATAGGAAAGGCTAAAGGGCTAGTAAATAAAATAGCCCAAGCAGATGATGATGGCCTGAGCTTAGTGGTACTGACAGATGTGCTAAATGAGACAATTTAGGACCCAACTGATGGGGTGTAGGGAAGAAAGACATCTAGGGGTGGCACTAAGGTTTCTGGCTTGAGCAATGGGCTAACAGCAACAGGTGACTGGAATGGAAAGCTATTATTTGTGTTATCCTCTGCCTGGAACAGCCATTTCATCACTAGTCAGGCATTTCCTGAAATACCAAACGGAGGAATCCCTCCTTGTACCTTCATGGTTCTGAGTACTACAGTTGCTTATTAGATTCTGCAAGGAACTAGTCCTGGGCTTAGCACACAGGAGTTTTACTGGGGAAAAGCCATAAACCCGTAAAGCTCATTTGCTCATAACCTAAAAATTACATATTCTAGAGACCACACAGTTCTCCCACTAGCTTGACCACGTGGGTCATGGTGATAACGGTTGCCTGGGTTACTTTTCAGAGGCTGAAAACTACTTTTGCGGAAAATACTGAGTCTTTACCAGTTGGGGTGGGGCAAGAGTCTGAATGACTGGGTCGGATGAAAAGGGCTGGCAATCGCGTCCTTTCATGGGGCCTGTCTCCTTTGTTGCCTGAAGCTTTGGGTCAGATTTCTAGTTAGAAAGACAAGGGGGAGCTGAAAACTGGCTGCTGCGAACGGTGACTCCATCTTGCTTTATTTCTGTTCCCCTGCTCCTTCCAGGGGGGCGGCCTTCACTTGGCATTCCTTCCTTTTCCGAGCGGCTGCCAGGTGTCAGCTGAGGATCGGAGCTGGAAGGAGCCTTCCCCGGAGGGCCGCGAGACCGCCGCGCCGCTGCCGAGCACCCGAACGCCCGGCTGCCGGCGCGAAGCCGCCCGGGAAACGATTCCCAACAAGCCTCCGCTTCCCGGAGCGCTCGGCCCGGATAAAGTTACCTCACCGTCTTCACCCCACTTCCCCATCCGGCAGGGATGTTCCAGGGGAGCGAGCTTCGGAACCTGGGTCCCAGCCCAGGAGCTGTGCCGGGCTGAAGGCAGCGGCGCGCTCGCTGCGGGGGCCCCGGGAGGCCCGGCGCCGCGCAGCCCGGGGGGCGCGGGGCGGGGGGGGACCGCCCTGCGGCTCCCCAACAGCACCGGCCGTCCGCACAGCGTTCCCCCTCCCCGGGCAACACGGGCGGACGCCTGCGCGACGCCGCCGGCCCCGGCCCGCCTGAGAGGCCCCGCGGCTAGGGCCGGGCCGCATCCCGCGGGACACACGAGCGCGGGGCCCCCGCGAACCCGTCCCCAGTCCCGCGCTACTCACCTGTGGGGAGTGGCAGCGCGCCCCGCGAGGGCTGCGCCTCGGGGCCGCCGGCGCCAGGCACCGGCGCGGACCCCGGCGGCGGCGTCAGGGCCATGGCGGCGGCGCCCGCGCTCCCGGAAGTGCAGCGCGGCGCGGCGCCGTTTCCTCAGCCCCGCGGTGCGCGCGCGCGCGCCCGCCCGCCGAGGCCCGCGACCCCAGCGCGGAGTAGCGGGGCCCCTCGCGGTTTCCAGGTCTCAATCCCAATTGCTTGAAAAACAAAAGGCAAAACACCCACAAGGCCGCGCTCCTCCCTGTGCTCACGCGGCTGCAGCCACTCCCAACCCGGAGGGCCTCGACCTCGGGCTGCCCAGCGCAGGCCGCGGAGCTCCCAGCGACGTCCACTACCCCCGCCCCCCCCCCCCCCCCCCCCCGCCTTCCCGCCAGTCTGGGTTTGGAGGGTCCCTTCCGGCGAGACTGACCCGGAGGCTGTCTTGCAAGGCTTCCCTTCCCCTGGTCTTGTTTTGCCAATGCCTAGACCTAGACAAAACCTAGACCATCTAAGAATAAAGGCACAAGCAACCCGATCAGTACCTTACCCATTACAGAAGAACTGATCAAAGCCAACCATCCTCAAGTGCCAACACAAGGTGCACACCCTGAACTGTGACCTCGCCATGGCTGGAGTTCTCTCCCTGGCAGAGCTGCTCGAATCTTTCGATGAAGAGTGGTTTGCCTGCCACGTTGTGGTTGAGGCTGGGACCTTCACCCCACCCTGAAACCCAGATACAAACTTCAAACCAGCTCCACCTTTTCAGAATGAATGCCCTTCTGAAAACGTGACCCACCACACCATTTGGACTAAATAGACATTTTAAAAGCCATCGAAGAATTAACGACCTTAAATCCATTTGCCAGTAGCACGTCTTTATTTAGCACCTGTGGGGTACAGAGCACTATACAAGATGAGGTTTTCAGTGCATCTGACCATCACATGTAGACAAGAGACACACAACACTACATTATATATATATTTTTAAAGTTCTGAGAAACTGTGTAATGGTTGGTTGTTGAGGAAAACTTCCAGAGACCTTGCATTTTGAGAAGGAAAAAACGCAAATTTGGAAAAGTAGAAAACAGAAACAATACTTTAAAAAGGGCAAATTGAACAGGTGTGCCAACTCAGTGTGCAAAGAATTACAGAAGGGTTTGGAAAAAGCATGAATGAGATGCTGCAGAACAGGAAAGGGGCAGACACCAGCACACATGCAAGCATTTTGTTCCCCAGGCAGTGGTATGGCCTACCTTGCTAGGTCAAAAAGAAAACCTTGAAGACAAATCTAGGGGACTCATTTCTAAGAAAACCAGAGAGGTCACATAAGGCAGAGGAAGAGCTCTTTCACATTTTTAAAAATATGAATAGACTGAGATCTCTAAGGAAAGCTTAACAGGAATGACAAAGACCAAAACACCGGGAAACAAAGCTGGGAGGTGTGAGAATATGCAGGAAAACTAGATATAATCAAGTAAACACATGTAAAATACTGCGGGCCAAGATGAGAAATTAAAGAAAAAAAACCTGAGGAGTTAAAATTATGAGACAAGGAAAAAAACACTAGATGAATTGGAAAATTAAGCCGAGGAAAGTTCCCAGAAAGTAGAACCAAAAGACAGTTGCAAATCAAGAAAAAAAAGAACCGATCTCGAGTAACTAACATTTGAATAACAGGAATTCCAGGAGAATCATTTTTTGTTGTTGTTGTTCTTGCTGGGGCGTGGGGTTTGAACTCAGAGCTTGGTGCTCTCTGAGCTCTTTTTGTTCGAGTCTGGAGTTCTATCACTTTGAGCCACAGTGCCACTTCCACTTGTTTTTTTCTGGTGGTTAACTGGATGACACTCCTGCCTGGGCTGGCTATGAGCCTCATTATTTCAGCCTTCTTAGTAGCTAAGATTACAGGTGTGAGCCACTGGCGCCCAACTGAGATGAATGTTTAAAGAAACAGTTTAAGATAATTCCCTGTATAAAGTTTTCAGATTGAAAATTTTACCAGTCACCCAGTATTAACGATGAAAATGGTCTCTTACCAGAGACTGAATATTGGGGCCAAGGAAAATACTGTAAAGCTTTTAAAGACACAAGAACTTTATATCCTGCCAAGACAGGACTCAAATATACAATGGAAACAGACATTTCAAACATGCAGTCTCAACCATTTACTTCTCATTTTTCCTTTTCAAAAGTTATACTACAAGCTGGGTGCTGGTGACTCATGCTTGTAATCCTAACCTCCTCAGCAGGGAAGCTGAGATCTGAGGATAACGGTTTGAAGCCAGGTAGGGCAGGAAAAGTCGGGAAGACTCTTTAGAGCTATTTAAAAAAGCTGGAAATGGAACTGGCTCATGTGGTAGAACACCAGCCTTGAACAAAAAACTAAGGGTCAGTTCCTAGGCCCTGGGTTTGGCCACAGTACAGATGCATGTATATGCATGCACACATGTGTTATACTATAAGTGAAAGCAAACCCAGGTTGAAATAGAATACCTCAGGTCTCTGCATGTGAAATGGACAACAAAATATTTCTTCAAAGAAATATTTCCCATACTATTCAACTTTTTTCACCTTATTTTAAGTGAATTGTTCTGAATAACTTGCCTCACTTATCTGTAGGCTGGTAGGTGATATATTTCGCTATTTTCCCTAGCTCTTTACTTTCCCATTCTTTCAAAAACTTCAGATTAAATTTTCATCTAATTTGGTATTTTTAGAAATTAGGCCCAAATTTAAAGGTTTCTGTTTACAAGGTAAACAACCCAGAATCAAGTCCAAGATAAATAAAAACTTTAAGAAGAAAAAAAGTCCAATCCTTTGGATTAGTAATTTTAATTATTTGTTTTAAAAATCAGCATTACTAATTATTAAAAATTAGTATTCCGAGGGGAAGTTCCTGGCGACCAAATACACATTTTTCTTAGGGATAAAACTGGCTTTGACACTTGGGAGTTTCCTAGTCCCCTCTAGATGATGAGAGATAGGAAACCTATAACAAAATGTTAATTCCTCTTTCTGTGTAGAAAAGCATTTGAAAATTATGCTCAAGAGATACCATGAAGCTGCTTCTGATTCTACACTCAGAACTTTTTTTTTTGGCCTGGAACAATTCCTTCCAGCCTACAGAAATTTAGCCATTTCAAGATTTCCTTTACTTATAGACAGCTTTATTCTATTAACTAATATGTTATCAGAATATTAGGGTTCCTTCAGGTTTCTACTCTTTTTGTCCAGTCTGTATTGAGGAAGGAAAAGAGGGAGAGGGGATTAATCTCAGTGCTGTCAGAATCTTACTGAAGAGCTTGCACCACACCCAAATGTTTCCTTGAGCCAGACCCAGCTTCTCTAACAAGTGTTAAAATCCTTGGGGAGGGTTATGGTGGAGCTCATGCTTGTTTAGCGTGTGTAAGGCCCTGGCATCAATATAACTTAGCAAAAACAAAAACAAAACCAAGAAATCCCCAAACACGTGGGAGTAGTACATATAAAAAATTCTCCCTCAGGTCCTACAACTGCTCATCACGTAGCTCATAATGGGAAATGATGGGTCAGGAATTAAACATCAGTTTTTGTAGGTGAAAGATGAAATTTGGCCCCTTGGGGCATAAATTAAAAAATAATGACCACAAAAAGCATTTTAGAAACAGCTGAATTCTTTTGTGACTTCTTTTTCTTAATATACAATTTACAAATAAGTTAAAAATTGTACAGTGATAAATTCATATAAAATATATTCCCATTTTATTCAGGTAAAGCTAAACAGCAGTAAAAATGAGATACCCAATGCATATGAAAATGTCCTTATTGTGTTCCTGGCATTTCTAAGTTAATTAAAATATGGATTCCCCCAATCAGGATAAACAGAGGAATTACTTTGGTGGACATCAACCTAAATTAATTCCACTGATAACTGACAGCTCTAATTTCAGGCATTATCTACATGTTTATAATATTTTTTTCCTACAATTATTAACCCCACACTGGCAGAGGATTTCCTTGTCAGGCATAGTTCCAGCTTCATAACCATAATCCCATGTTAGTTCTGTTCTTGCTTTCAAATACCTAGGAAGTAGAAGTTAAAAAAATTACGAATCACCCTAATCACCAGATGACCAAACTTGAGTATCAATTTTCACATCAACATAATTAACCATCCCAAACAATGTTCTATTATCTCTTCCAGAACCCTCAAAATAGGAATGAATTTTGTAAGAGTAGTCAATGACAGAAGGAATCCCTAAACAAGGGTGTTTTGTGAACATGAAACCTGATGTACATAAGCAGATGAGGAATTGTTTAGACTTAGAAGACACAGAACTCTGTCACTGATTCCTTGAACTCAACTGATTGAGAGATTTGACCTCAGCTATTTCAAAAATTAATGGTAACTGAGAATAGGAATAGAAATTTCAAGTATTAAATACAGTTAACATTTCTGTACTCAGATCACACTCTGATTTGGATTTTATTTTCCATGTCCTGGGTCTCCTAATATTCACAAGTTCATAATTTTCAGGATATATTACATAGTGCGTGTATGTGCTGACAAGGACTTGAATTCATAGTCTGGACACTGCCACTGAGCTTTTTTGCTCAAGGCTAGTGCTCTACCACTTAAGCCACAGCTCCATCTCTAGCTTTTCAGTGGTTAACAGGAGGTAAGAGTCTTGCTGACTCTCCTACTCGGCTGATTTCAAACTGCAATCCTCAGATCACAGCCTCCTGAGTAGATTAAAAGTGTGAGACACTGGTGAACAGCTATTCTAGTTTTTGTTTAAGTGCCTAAAAAAAATATAACAAAGAGTTCTGTAAACATAAAAAAAGTGCAAGGATTCAAAGTTCTGCTCATTAGGAACAATTTAGGATAATTGAGTAGTCTAAAATAGTTATGTGGGTCTACAGTACACACTGTTTTTATATAGTTACTTTTAGAATCTTAATTGCAGAATGAAATTGTAAAGGCAAAATCAGTTTCAAACCTGTTGGTGAAGAATGCCACCAATGGAAAATTCCTGTCGTGTGTTTCTACAAAAACATTCTGTACCAAGAGATTTGGACAACAACTATGCTGTTAAAAGACAAAAAAACAAAAAAACACAGGTCAGATATAGTGAAGTCTGGTATTTTGCTTTATAGTATAAGAATACCATTCTGTTTCCAACACATCTCACTGATTTTATTCTTTTTATATTAATATATAAAATACCAATAGCTCATGTCAATTCTAATAATAGTAGAAACCTACTAAGAAAAACCCTGTTTATATATTTTGATATCTTGCTGGCACAAATGCAAAATGTCACAAAAAATTTTAAATGGGGATAATTTGTCAAAGTTCTCTTTATCTTACATATTTACCAATACATATTTATAGAGTGAAATACAAAATATCAATTACAAATATTATATTGTATTATGGTATTAATATTTAACAATAAAAATTTTGGTATACTAGTATAATGAATATAATTAACATAGCTTACTAATATTATTGGTATTAATAAAACCATGTGTTCAAACAAATTTACTTATTACAAAATACATGATCCATGTGGAAAAAGGAGACCAGAGCCAAGTATTGGTGGCTCAGTCTGTAATCCTAGCCTCTTGAAAGGTTGAGAATGGAGGATTATGGTTTGAGGCCAGCCAGGGCACAAAAGCTTATGAGACTTTTTCTCAATTGGTAACAGGTTGTGGTGGCATGCACCTATCCTTCTAGAGCCGTAGGAGGGTGAAGAGGGTAAGTAGGATGGGGTTTAAGGCCAGCCAGGGCAGAAAAGTCTCCATGAGACTCATGTCAGAAAAAGTTGTGTGTAGTGATATTTACTTGTCACGCTAGGTATAACAGGAAGCCCCAAATGGGTGGACTGATATCCAGGTAGGAGGTAAAACCCTTTCTCAAAAATAACCAAACAAAAAAGGGCTGGAGGCATGGCTCAGCATTACAGTACCTGCTTATCAAGTACAAAGCCCTGAATTCAAACCCCAGTAACACTAGAAAACAAAAAGCTGAGTCCAGTTAAGGAAGTCAACTAGCATCTGTCAACATTTTAGTTATCCTAATGCCAGTGTTTTTCCTCCCCTATGACTATATATACACCTTGTAAAACAGAATCATCACATACATATGTATGGCACTCTTGCTCAGCTTTTTCAACTCAAGGCTTGTGTAATACCACTTCAGCCACACCTCAAGTCCATCCTTTTTCCTCCTGTTAACTGGAAGTAAGAGAATCTGAGATTTTTTCTGTTCAGGTTGGCTTCAAATCTTGATCAGAGATCTTAGTCTCCTAAGTAGCTAGGATTATAGGCATAAGCAATCCGTACCTGGCTTTAAAAAGCAAATTGTAAGATAAAGAATGTAAAATTCTATATTTTATATATAAAAAAGGGAGCGTTGGTAGACTAGGGCCAGAGTGACAGAGGCACAATTCTTTTTTTTTTTTTTTTGGTCAGTCATGTGACTTGAATTCAAGGCCTCAATGCTGTCCCTGAGCTCTTTTTCCCTCAAGGCTAGCACTCTACCACTTTAAGCCACAATGCCACTTCCGTTTTTTGAGTGGTTACAATCTAAAGGGGACTTTTCCAGGCTGGCTTTGAACTGCAATCCTCAGATCTCAGCCTCCTGAGTAGCCAGAATTACAGTCAAGAGCCACTGGTGCCTAACCTTGAGACACAATACTTAACGCAGGGCCAAAAAAATACCAAGTTTCCTCAAAAAAGAATTTTTTTTGTTCGTCATGGAACTTGAATTCAGGGACTGGGTGCTGTCTCTAAGCTCTTTTGCTCAAGGCTAGTGCTCCACCGCTTGCAGCTACAGTTTCACTTTCAGTTTTCTGGTGGTTATTGGAGATGAGAGTCTCATGGACTTTCCTGCCTAGGCTGGCTTGACCCACAATCCTCAGATCTCAGCCTCCTGGGTAGCTAGGATTATAGGTGTGATGCACCAGCACCCAGCCCTCAAAAAATTTTAATATGAAAAATAAATACAAAACTTTTTATAGCCTCGTTAAAAATAAAGAGCTATGGAGAGATATATAAGCAAGTGATTTCTCTGATGGATATAGCCACTGTTTACCCTCCCCCCAAGACTTCAAACAAGATGATGTCTTCTCCTTGTACTACCTCCATTCTAGTATACTCAGCTGTCTGCTATCTTCTCCACACATTCATCTAGCACAAGACTCACACAGAGGTTACATCTCCATAGTATTTCTTGAACAAGTCTGTCATTGCTTAATTTCAACGATGATTTCATATCTACACATTTTTTTTTAACTTGAACAGGTGAACTTGAAAACATTTTGTTATGTTAACCTTTAAATTCCCTGGGTACTGGGTATTAACTCAGGGCCTCACCCGTTTTGCTTTTATCTCAACAACAGAGACTCTTACTAACTTCCCCCACATTGGCCTCAAACTCATGATCTTCCTGCCTCTGCATTCTGAGTAACTAGGATTACAAGTGTGCACCACCATTGAGTTTTTAAATATTTTTCTTACATACCATTTCTTACAGATATTTTGTTTGCTTTTTTGGTCAGTTGGGCCTGGGCACTGTCCCTCAGCTCTTCAGCTCAAGGCTAGTGCTCCTGAGCCACAGTGACACTTCTGGCTTTTTCTGCTTATGTGGTGTTGAGGAATCCAACCCAGGGCTCATGCATGTGAGGCAAGTACTCTACCACTAAGCCACCTTCCCAGCCCTTCTTATATATATTTTTTTAAAGCAAATGTTTACTGTTATGAAGTTTGAAGTACTTTGTATCAATTCCTTTGTCCCTCACAACATTCTAAACATTATTATGCTCCTATCTTAAGAATAAGAAGCAACGCATCAAGAAGATACCACAGGCATTCACGTGGAGAACTAGAACCCCAACCCAGGGAGTCTGGCTTTATAATCTGTTAATTTATTTTTCAAGGAAGCAGAGGAAACTTGCTTAGCAATATGACTCTAAGCACCTATACTCACATTAAGGAAGCGGCCCACATTTCCTTCTTTTGAGGCATCCAATAAAAACACACTCCCCTCGTTGAACTTCATTAAAGAATCAGATGAAGTATTCTTGATTTCACTTGACAACTCTTCACAAAAGACTTGCTTGTTTTGATATGCTGAAGGATTTTCCTCTTGGGACTTTTGTATTTGAATCACAAATTTCTTTTTAATATTCTCAATATCCAATACGGCTGCTTGGTTACATCTACCTCCTTGTGGAATTTCTTCTCTACATTTAGTTATATCTATCACATTTGATTCAATCAGCTGTTTGTCTTTAGAATCTTCAAACAGGTTTGAATTCGAGTCGCCTGGTTAGACATTATTGGAAGGAATTGTTAGGAAATACATTTGGATGTGCAACAGTGCTGAGATTAACAATACTAATGAGGTGGTATTTGCTTTGTCACAATCTTTACAGTACATTAAGAGAAGTAGTATTTAATTTTATAAACAAAAACTTTGAGTCTCTGAGGGATAGAGTCTAACCCATAATTATAATGAGAATTGGGGTAACAATCCCAAATACGTTTGGCTTCTGAAGTCTACCTTCTTTCTACTATATAACTACACCTTTTGATAAAATTTTCTCACTACTTTATTTAATATGAAATCCTAACAAATTACCTTTGTTCTCTTCAACTGTAACTTGCATTTAAGTATATTCTAAACAAGTACATATGGAAGGATTAGGAGGCACCGTAGGCCTTCTATGCCAATAGAGAGGCCAGGAAGACTATCAGAGTTACTATCCGTAAGCCTCAACAACTGTTTAGGGAGGAGTTTGTGCATATTAATGTTTGATGTTTTGCCAGAGGGTCATGCAACACTTATGCCTTTATTTTTATTTATTTGTTGGTCATGGGTCCCAAACTCTGGGCCTGGGCACTGTCCCTCACTTCTTCAGCTCAAGGCTAGCACTCTACCACTTGAGACACAGCTCCACTTCTAGCTTTTTCTGTTCATGTGGTACTAAGGAATTGAATCCAGGGCCTCATGCATGCAAGGCAAGCACTCTAACACTGAGTGACCTTCCCAGTTCCCATTTATGCCTTTATAAATATTAATACTTTAAAATGGAATGAACTGGTCAATAACTTTTCCTAACCAATAATGGAAATACTTCTGAGAATATTTATGTATGAATGTATATTAGATGGAACAACTAAAATAATCTTTCTTTTTTGAAGGCCACTTATATTGTCTAACTCAAGAAACAAAGAAATTATACTTCAGTCAAAAAGTATTTGTCAGCTGAACACCAGTGCCTCACACCTGTAATCCTAGCTACTCAGGAGGCTAAGATCTGAGGATCACAGTTCAAAGCCAGCCTGGGCAGGAAAGTGAGTGAGACTCTTGTTTCCAATTAACCACCAGAAAACCAGAAGTGGCACTGTGGTTCAAGTGGTAGAGCACTCGCCTTGAGCTGAAGAGCTCAGGGACAGTGCCCAGGGTGGAGTTCAAGTCCCATGACTGACAAAAAAAAACAAAAAACAAAACCCAGAAAAATGTATGTCTGGAAATAGAGCATAAAAGCTCAGAGACAGTGTTTAGACCTTGAATTCAAGTCCCAGGATCAGAAAAATAAAAACTAGTAGTAGAATAGTTGTTACTAGAGTCTGAGAAGGAGGTGGTGGAGAGGTGGATGGCATTAGGGAGCTTTTGGGGTCTTATAACTTCTGTTATATATAGTACAGCAGGATAAGAATCATATACATTTGTTATTATACCTATTAGTTTTATATTTTATATATGAAATTATATATTTTGTTATATATAATAGTTTCACTTCAAATTTAATGCTTCAAACAAAAAGGAATGTCTTGAGGTGAAAGATACACAAGTTATCCTGTGTGATTAATATGCATCAAATACATGATACACTGTATCACATAAGCATGTAGAACTGCAATGTGTTTATTAAAAGTATTTAAAAAAGAAATTCTGTTTCTTGAAAATAAATCCTCTTAAGTCACTGCTGTTGTGGCAATTGTTCTAGAGTGCTCGCTCTCCCCATTATATGAATGTATATGTGTGTGTGTGTGTGTGTGTATATATATTTTTTTTTTTTGGTGCTGGTCCTAGGGCTTGAACTAAGGGCCTGGGTGCTGCCATTGAACGTTTTTGCTCAAGGTTAGCTAGCATTTTATCACTTGAGCCAGTTTCACTTCCAGCTTTTTTAGTAATTTATTGGAGATAAGAATTTCACACTTTCCTGCCCAGGCTTCAAACCATGATTCTTAGATCTCAGCCTGCTGTGTAGCTAGGATTACAGGTGTGAGACAGCAGTACTCATATTTTCATTAAGGGCTATAAATGGTTATATAATTTTATTTGGGTCACATGTTACATATGTTTACAGCAGCCAATGAAAATGGAAAAAGAACTAAAAGCAACAGAACTGATGTGGCTCTTGTCCACTAATAATGTAATAAATACATAATACATACCAATACATAATAGATAATAAGACATAAAATGCCTTGGTACGAGAGAATTTTTCTATCAAGGAGCTGCTGTGGCTTTCCCAATCAATCTTTCTGTTTTACTAGGTAGGAAGTGGGCTGGGGTTGCTGATTCAAGAATCTCAAAGTAAGAAGAGGCAACAATGGTTTGCCAGTTCTTACAAAGGGACATCTCTAGCCCATTGCTGGTGGCTCATGTTTCTAATTGTAGCTACTCAGGAGACTGAGATCTGAAGACTGAGGTTCAGAGCCAGCCTAGCAGAAAAATCTGTGAGATTCTTACCTCCAATTAAACACCAAAAAGTTGGGCTGGAGGAGGTGTGGCTTAAGTACTAGAGCTTCAGTCATGAGCCAGAAAGTTGATTGAGAACATGAGTCTCTGAGTTTAAGCCCCATTATTAGCACCAAAAAAAAAAAAAAAAGGAAAAGAAAAAGGGAGGGATAACTGTCAGTGAAGTCTTCCTGCTGAGAGATCCACTGAATTACAAAGATGCCAATACCTAGGTATGTTCAACTAGTAATGTTCACTGAGACAGGAGTGATAACTTTGAAAGACAAGCACTCAGAGGAATGAAATGCTGGCTCTTTGCTAAACTCATGTGGAGGATCCTGGTACTGGTTGGACTACTGAAGAATGATATATGTATCTTTTAGAGTCCAGGAGTTAGACAAAGATATAAATAGCAGCTTTGGATCATGTAGAATTAGAACTTTCTACCACACCCTTCTGTCTGGCACATATCAGGTAATTGCTGGCAACCAAATCAGAGGTCAATATAAACTTCTATAAAGGGTCAAATAGCAAATGCTTGAGAATTTACCAGACACATGGTCTTCCTTATGATTATTCAGCTATGCTGGAATAGTGCAAAAATAGAAACTATGTAAATGATTGTGGTTGTGTTTCAATAAAATCTTACTTAATTTATGGACTCAAATTATAGTTTCCTATAATTTTTCAAGTATTCCAAATGATTATTCACTTCTGATACTTTTCAACTAGGAAAAAAGGTCATGTTTTTGTGGGACAAACTTAACAAATAGAATGGTAGGCCTAATATGTTGGATTATAAACCATGGCTTGCCAATTTCTGATCTAACAAGTTATACCTTCTGTGACAAATGTGACATATTTGTTATGAAATCTGGAAAAATGACCAAGAGAGAGACTGGAGAGTTAGGCAATCACAAAGTAAACTTAAAAAGCCTACCTTGTGCTCCCCTGGCTTTCAAGACCATATGTTCTTGAGCTACTTTAAATCCACAGTTATCTTCTGAGATGGCAGACTCCAAGGAAACAAATCCCTTACAAGAAAATAAGAAAGGTATCTGTACTTCCTAGATTGGAAAAAGGTATTTAGTAACTAGCCTTTCAGGAAGTGTCAGTCTTCTAGGTTGTATGTAGATTAGTTCTGAAAAAGCCTCAAAGTTGAGCCTCAAAGGAAATCTTGAGACTAATGGAGCCAATGAGTCACTTTTTGACTACATTATACTTTTAGGCACATAAGTGCCTCTTTCATTCTTGTTATTCTCAGTCCTGAGAAATCTGGCTTCAACTATAAGTTATGTAAAGATAAAAGAAAGCTATTGGCTGGTTTCTACTTCAAAGAAAACATTAAAGTTTCTAGTCTTTATGCATTATAGCTAATAAAGTTACCTTAATTGGTAATGTTAAATTCAGAAGGGTACATATGCTTAGCATAATGCTTAGCACCCAGCTCACTGGTTCTAGTACAGTGCCAAGCATTGTGCTAAGGGAGGTTTCTGATATTTATATCTATCCTTATAACTCTGAGATAAGTAAAATTATCAGCATTTTACAAATAAATGTACATGGGCTGAGCAGCAGAGCTGGTGACCCACTAACTCAATCTTTACACAAATTATGATATTGAACAGTTATCTCTATACTACAACAAGCAGAGGGGAATTATTTGTATTAACACATACAGCAGAGTTGTCATTTTTATCTATAAGCTTTAGTGTAAGCTACTATTGTGTCTGCTACTATTGTGCTAGTTTTTTTCCTGTTTCTTTCTGGGTTTTCAAGTTTAGTCTCTGATCAGACCTCTCAGCTTAATCTGAAAAGAATAACTTCAGAGGCTATCATGTAAAATAATGCTTTTTAGACAATTCCCTTAATAAAGTTACCTCTCTTCCTTATTCTCCAATATCTCAAAACCTTCTTAACATAAATTAATGTATCACTTTTTTTTCCCCCTCTATGACATTTCATTTAATCCTCTTTTTGGCACAAAGGAGGTTTCATTGTGACATTTCCACAAATATATATGCAATGCATCCCAATCAACTTCACCTCTCCCCTATTACTTTCCCTTATCCATGTTTGCCCTTCTTTTTTGGGGAGTAGGGGTGGTGGTGAGGTGCTGGTCCTGAGGCCTGAACTCTGCGCTTGGGTGCTGTCCCCGTGCTCTTCAGCACAAGGCTAGTGCTCTACCACTTGAGCCACAGTACCACTTCGGGTTTTCTGGTGGTTAATTGGAGATGAGAGTCTTCTGGACTTTTCTGCCGGGGCTGGCTTTGAATCTCCAATCTCCTCCAATTTCAGCTTCCTGAGTAGCTAGTGTTACAGGCATGAGCCACTGGCACCCCGTCTTTGAGCTTCTTATGCAAGGCTAGCCAAAGTACCACTTCTGGCTTTCCTGAGTAGTTTACTGGAGGTAAGAATCTCACAGACTTTCCTGCCCAATCTGGCTTTGAACAGAAAGCCTCAGATCTCAGCCTCCTGAGTAGCTTCACTTATAGACTTGAGCCACCAGTGCTTAGCCATGTCTGCCCTTCTTGAAACTATTCCAGCAGATTTTATTGCTCTATTTTCACACATGCAAAAGCATGGCTATTTTCATACTTCAACCATGTTCAGCCATATTCACCCTTATTTTTAGCCCTGCCTCCTCCTGCTGGTATCCTCCCCATCAACACGGACTGATTTACCTTCCTGTCATTCATTTTCTCTTTAGTGTGTATTAACTGCAATATGACCACTTTTTTTTTTCGTTTTTTTTTTGGTCTGGTCGTGGGGCCTGAACTCTAGGCCTGGGCGCTGTCCCTCAGCTCTTCAGCTCAAGGCTAGCACTCTACCACTTGAGCCACAGTGCCACTTCCAGCTTTTTTTTTTTTTTTCTGTTTATGTGGTGCTGAGGAATCGAACCCAGGGCCTCATGCATGCAAGGCAAGCGCTCTACCACTGAGCCACCTTCCCAGCCCCACTTTTTTTTTTCTTATATCACCATTATAATAAACACAAGCTTCTCCAACAAATTCTTAACCAAATAGCTCAGTTTCAGTGGAGCAAACTATCAGTCATAACCAACACTCTTCTCATTTATCAAAGGTAGAAACATGCCAACTGCCATATAACCTAAGACATGTCCTTAGACCTCAACAGCCTATTCATTCCAAGACAACAAAAGAAGCCCTACACACAATTAAGTAATGTAAGTACTTATAACTAAGTAAAGATTATCAGGAAGAAATAATAGTTATACTCAGAAAGCCCTCATCTACTGGGTTTTATTTTTTTGGTTTGTCTTAGAGGTTTGCTACATAGCTCAGACTGGCCTCAAACTCAAAATCCTCCTACCTTACCCTCCTAAGTGCTGGAATTACAGGTATGTGTCACCATGCCTAATTTCCCCAGCTACAATTTGTAGTTTTTACCATCTTTTTCCCATTGCGTTGAAAAGTGGCTGTCTTGGATTTAGGACTTCTAATAACTGAATAAGTTCTTGAAATACTGTTAGAATTCATTTTCCTGAAAAGGGAAAAAAAAGTTATTCTGTATATCACTAAAAACTGCATTAGACTTTGAAATGACAACTATTTCACAAATGTCCATTTTGTTAGAAAGTAATCTAAGGACATTTATATCTATTGCTTCACAGGAGGAAAACATAATCAAATTTTTAACTCAGCAGTTTTTGGGAGAACCTACGAAAGATATCCAAACAGAATGCTGATACAAAAGAAAAAAAAAAAAAGGCACAGCTTACAACTATCGAAAAGAATCTGATTAAATTTACCTAAAGTCAAACTTAGAAATGGAACACTGTCTAGATTTGGATTTCTCAATGGGTTAAATGTTCAACTGTGAAACAAAAGACATATAGGAATGTGTGTGAGGGCAGAGCTGTGGGCTGGGAGGAAGAGGAAGTAAGAAAGAGAGGAAGGACAAAGAACATCCTCCATCCACAATTATTTAATTTTGACCCTCAACTCTTACTCACGTAATAGGCTCTTTTGGATTACCACTAAACTGAGGTAGATGTTCCTCAGCTTTAGCATTTGTAGCAGGTTTTTCCAGTTCTACTGGGATAATTTCAACCTCACAATCTGAACTTGCAACTTCTATTTTCCTCTTTTTGGAACAGGTATTTTTTATAATATCTTCTTCTTTTCCACTTTCATCTCTAGCCTTAGGTTTCCCAGTGTTATCTCGGCTTAGCAATCTTCCTAAAAGAAAAATGCAAGAGTTTGAGCAAGACAGAAAATAATATAATTATTAACAAACAGCAAAGTTCACCTCCAGGCTCTCCTTCAAGACTTGAGGGATCTGGGCTATAGGAACCTTATTTCTAGAATAAAAGTAAAAACATTAACTCATTCTAGAAAATGGTTATAAATATGAAAATTGTTTTTAAAAAGGGCCAATGAGGGTCTACTTATCTTCCACCCATAAAACATACAGAGTATTTGATAATGACAAGGAAATGAGACAAAAAGGAACCCTCAATACATTGTGAGACTGTAAACTAGTACAACCACTATGGAAATTCCTCAAAAGACTTAGAGATCTTCTCTATGGCTCTGCCATATCATTATTGTGTACATATATGAAGAAACATAAATAACATCAACATACCAAAAGACATTTGTATATATGTTAATTATAGCACTGTCCATAATAGCCTAATGCGGGAATGAGCTGACTTGCCCAACAATAGAACAGATAAACAAGATATAACATACATACACACATGCATGCATGCACACACACACTATGGAGTATTACACAATAGTAGAAAAAAACGAAATCGGAAGTGACGCTGTGGCTCGAGCGGTAGAGCGCTGGCCTTGAGCTGAAGAGTGCAGGGACAGCGCCCAGGCCCAGAGTTCAAGCCCTACAACCGACAAAAAAAAGCCAAGTGAAAAAAAGATTTCTTTTGTGATTTTTAGGAAATGAATACAACTGAAGGACATCAGAATGAGACAAGCTAAGCCAGGCATCAGTGGCTCATGCCACACAGGAGGCCGAGATCTGAGGTTCTCAGTTCAAAGCCAGCCTATGCAGAAAAGTCTCCATGAGACACGTATCTCCAATTAATGACTCAAAAACCAGAAGTGTAGAGCATTAACCTTGAGCACAAAGAGGCTCAGGGACAGTACCCAGGCCCTGAGTTCCAGCCCCATAAATTGTGTGTGTGTGTGTGTGTGTGTGTGAGAGAGAGAGAGAGAGAGAGAGAGAGAGAGAGGGAGAGGGAGAGGGAGAGAGAGGGGGGAAAATACCACATTTTCACTCATATGTAAGCTAAACAAATGACAAATATTCACGCACATACATATGTATATACATATACATCCATATCCATTTCTATAAGTATATATTTATAGATAAACACAAAACATAAATCTAAAGGAGGGAATAGAAAGGACAAGGATAAAAAAATAGAGGCTAAATAATTTTGAAAGAGGATGAATGTTTGTAATGATGAAAACTGAACAAAAAAACCCTGCTGAAATGGTTTTGGGAAGGATGAAGAAGGAAGGGAAATGATAGGGGGATACTGATTGGAACGGATAGTAACAAAGATAGCCTCCCCCCCCCACCCCATAACTACTGTAAGCCTAAAAAAGCATTTATCCTTTTCCTTTTTGGAATAATATACAAGAGATTATGGACATGAGCCATTAGTTATTTGCTGAGACAGGGGTCTCACTCACTTTCTGCTTTGAACTCCCATCCTCCCAACTCTGACTCTTTAACTGGGCCTAGAGGTGGTAGCCACTGTGCCCAGTTAATTTTCTTTTTTAAGTTTTCTTCTCTTAAAGCACATGCAGCCATAGAGACAGATATACCTTGCATGTAACAGCCTTCATGCAATAACCTACATTTTCACCTTAAGGCTTTCTTTAATGAAACACCTGGTATCTCCTATGGCATCTTATCCCTTTAGAGGCTCAGGTTCTAGTCACTTCCTCTTCCAATACTCTTTGGAGATGCTGTTTCTCCTTACCTGGCTTTCAGATCTCAATGGTCTTCACTAAGCTGGGCACTGGTGGCTCACGCTTGTAATCCTAGCTACTCAGGAGGCTGAGATCTGAGGAATGCGGTTCGAAGCCAGCCCGGGGAAGAAAAGTCCTCATAAGACTTTTTCCTCCAATTAACACTCAAAAACCCGAAGTGGTACTGTGGCTCAGTTGGTAGAGTGCTGGTTTTGACCATAAAGAGGCTCAGGACAGCACTCAGGCCCTGAGTTCAAGCCCCACAACTACCACTACCTACCACCATTAACAACAAAAAGCAGTTTCTGCTGAAAAATATTTAGATAATAATCCTTTGCTTTACCTGAATAAATGCAAATAAATGTTCCTCTGTCAAGGTCATCAAGGCATCGTACTCCCCATCCCTTCTTCTCAGTCCTGAATACCTGCAGCCTCACTCGAGGACCATGTTGGACAACTCGGTTTTGACATATTTGTCGATTACATTTGCATAAAAGGTTGCATTCATAGATGCTGTAATAAAAAGTGTAAGAGTAAAACTATCACACACAAAACAAGAAGTTTATATTGCTACTAAATTGATAAACTGAGGAAAGAAAACTAAGTATGAAAGTTCTTAGGGCTGGATTTGCTAGGCCAGCGGAATAAAATGGAATCTTATTTACAAAATATATGACACACCGATATTTACTATGCCTGGTATATACTAAATGTCAACTCTATTAAAATGTCTAAAAATGATTAAAGGGAGTTATCTAGAAGGAAAACTTCTGTTTCTAATAATGTTATTTGCTAATAGCTAGTAGCAATTATCAGTTACACGTACATTATGTATATATATATATATATATATATATATTAATTTTTTTGAGGTAAATTCTCACAATGCAGCCCAGGTTGATCTTAAACTCAAAGGTACTTTAGCCTCAGCCACCATTCCTGATTGCTAGCAAATTTCTTTTTTTTTTTTGTTGGTTGTAGGGCTTGAACTCTGGGCCTGGGTGCTGTCCCTCAGCTCTTCAGCTCAAGGCTAGCTCAAGAGAGCCACAGCACCACTTCAGCAAATTTCTTAAAGGGAAAATGGCTATTCAAAATAGGCTGACCGTAAGACAGGTAAGAGCCAGGCTTAAAGCAGGTTAAGTGTTTGAATATATTTTGTGTAATGTGTGTATATTCCAAGAATATACAGAAGTTACCAAATATATAGGTTACCTCATGTATGCATCAATAGATAAGCATACGTCTATAGCTATACATATATACATATAACTATAGACACACGTATACTTATTTATACATACATACATATATGTGCATGTATACATGCATATTGATATGTATGTATATAGCATTAGATATTTCATAAAAGATTTTCAGTATTATCTGGATGCTATAATCCTAGATACTCAGAAGGCTGAGATCTGAGGATGAGTTCAAAGTCAGACTGGCAGGAAAGTCCCTGAGACTGAAGTATTAAAAAAGCCATAAGTAGGAGCACAAGTAGTAGAGCACTAGCCTTGGGCAAAAATGCTCAGGGATGGTAAGCAGCCTCAAGACCAGCACCAAAAACAACAAAAACCAAAAACAACAACAAAAAACCCACCAAACAACAAAAAAGATTTTCAGAACTAGAAACAGAGTTAAACATATTTTAAACAGACTACAGACTACAATAAAAACATACCCACCTTCACAGATACCAATACCCTGCACCAAATCCTCAAGGTTTCTTACCCAGTAGGTATTTGCCTCTGTAGTCTTTTATATTTATATCCAGTACTTATTCTATCCCTTGACAAGAGACATGTTTTGGCATTCCTTGAAGTCAGTTGAAGACATGCACATTTTGTTCTAAAAGGCAGTCAATGTTGAGAAGTCAATAAAAAAAAAAAAGCACTAAGTTAAGGGAGGGTGCAAGCATAATTGTTGCAATTATATTTACAACAGTTGTTTGGTTCACAGGACTTATGGAGCTTTCTTCCCTAAGTAGGTCTCTTTAAAAGGTACCATCAACAAAAGGTACAAAAATACTATCTAGTAACTGTAACTTGCTTCTAATCATGAATGAAATAAATACTTAACTATATGGACTTTCTTAAGCTTTTCAAAATGGGTACGTTTCATTTCTTACTCATTAGCTTATTGATGAATGTTCTTCTAGTTCAAATTTAAGACATAGTTTTGAAAATGTCCTGAGTTTTCTTTCTAATCCATGACACAAAAACATTACAGACTGATGATAAACTTTTTTTTCTTCATAGTGTTGAAAGGCTCTTAAACCACACAACTGAATCTATGTATTTTCCTCCTCTAACTATATAGATGATTAACTTGATAGGGACTCCTACCTTAAAGAGAGGAAGGAATTTTAATACTCCAGGTATGGATTAGAATATGTGATTATTAGTACGGTGATTTAAATCTTTGAACCATAGTCTTCCTTTTGTTGAACTATGTGACTTTTCGGTTTTTCCTGCATGTGCTATGTATCTTCTGTATTATTTATACATACACTGTATGGCAGAGTGCCAGCTGCTGTTTCAGTGACACTGCAAACTAGCATGCCAGTTTTTTCTTATTTTGGATAGTAAGTGTTGCCAATCTATGTGGTTTATTTTACTTTTTAGTTGCTTGTGGGGCTTGAACTTGGGGCCTGGGCACTGTCACTAAAAGCTCTTTTTTTCAAAACTAGTGCTCTACCAGTTTGAGCCACAGCACTACTTCCGTAACTGGAGATAAAGAGTCTCATGGATTTTCCTGCCCTTGCTGGCTTTGAACTGCAACCCTCAAGTCCCAGCCTTCTGAGAAGCTAGGATTACAGGCGTGAACCACCAGTGCCTGGCTCTATTTTCTTTTTTTGAGATTACTCTGTAAATATTTTAAAAGCCAAATCGTATTATATGTAGAGAACAGGCCTTTTCAATGTGAAGAAACCTGGCATTCTTCAATTATGGAAAACTTTCAAGCAAGTATATGTTTGTGTGAGTTCTGCCTTTAGATTTGTTAATTCTTCAGTTATACCAGCCCTACTATTTATTTAGTTTATATATTTAGATTTTTTTTTATAAACAATCACTATGTTTTCTTTATTTCCAAGATTCATTTTAATGCCTATCAGATTCTTTTAATAATCTTTTTATTTCATGGATACAGTATTTCATCTCTTTGAATCTAAGGTCTCGTTTGTGTTAGGCAACTGTTCTATTATTGAGCTATGTCCCAGGGTTTGGTTTTTTTTTTTGACATTTTAAATGTATCTATTTAATTTTATTTTAGTATATGGGCTTTGAATTCAGAGCCTTACAACTTGAACTACATCTCAACCCTTTGTCCTTTAGCCATTTTACAGTAAAGTTCTGATTCTTTTGCTTTTGTCTAGGACTAGCCGTGGGCCGTGATCTTCCTATATCCACAACCTTGAAGCCTGAGGCTTATACCACCACTCTCAGCCTCAAATCTATTTTAAATTCCCTTTAAATTTCATTCTGTATTTGTCTCTTGATTACTCAGATATAAAGTCTTCCAATTTATTGAGGCTCAGACTGCTTCCAAGGTTCTAGATAGTTTTATTTATTTTGTGCTAGTATCAGGCCTTGAACTCAGGACCAGGAAATTCCATTTGTCTTGCATTGGTCTCAGCTGACACTGTAAAATTTGAGCCATACCTTCAGTCTGATCCTAAACATTTTTAATAAGTGGCGCTCCCTCGAAGTTCTGCCCAGTACCTGTAACTGCCTGGTTATCGTACAACTGTGGGGCTCTCCCCAGGCTCTGAGGTCGCCTCCTCTTCTGCTACTATCACATCTCCTTCTCACCCTTCCCTATGTAATCTCTCACCACCACTAGTTCATGCTATACCCTAGAGTGCCAACCAGCAGTTTGGCTCTCTCATATAAACTCTGTTCTGCCTGAATTGCAGGGTGGTCTCCTTTCGGCAACCTTTACACAGAGTGTGGGTTTTTCTCTTGTATCTACCTCCATGTTGCATACTTTCTCATTGCTTTGCATCTAATTCTACAGTCTTCTGCGTGAGAGGGTAATGAGAGCGGAATTAAGCCAAACTCAGGTAATAGCACCTTTCTATTTCTCACTTCACACTCTGAGAAGATGGTGGAAACTATTACCTATACCACACATTCCTCCCTTAGTAGTGACTTCAATTTCTGATGGCAAATATGATATAAAAATATTAAATAGAAAATTCTAGGAAGACATAATACATAACAGTTTTGAATTATATGCTGCCCTGAGCAGTGTGGTGAAATGTCCATTGTCCACTCTATGGCCCCTGCCATGTGGATCATTCCTTTGTCTACTCTATACTACCCACCCATTAGTCACTGAGTAGCCACCTGCATTATTAGATCACATGCTGTGGTACTGCAGTGCTTGTGTTAATCCTCTTATTTTACTTACTAATGGCTCCAAAGTGCAAGAGCAGTGATACAGAGGAGGTACAATGTGGAAGAACACATTAACTCTGGTGCCATGTAGCAATACTGCATGGGAGACTGGAAAAGCATAGTTTAGATAGAGTCCACCCTATACAGGCTTTTAGACATCCACTGGGTACCTGAACAAACCCAATTTAGATTCTTTGTGAATGTTTTAGACAGACAAATTAGTACACAGAACTTCTCGACAAGTAGTCTCTACATTCAATTTTTGTTAAATGTCCTATTTTTTTCTACTCACATGTCTATGCAGCCCTCAGAACAGTCACATGAATCAGTAAACATGTTGGAAAAGTTGTTTAGATAACATGCTCGTGGCCACACAGTCTTTCTGTACTTAAACTGTGGAAGTTGTCTACTGTCAATTTCATTACAGAAAGAAACAGGCACTGATTCCACACCATTACTAATATCTGCATCAGAAATAACAACAGCTTCCCGGGGGTGATTCCGAGTCAATTGTACATAGGTATTGAAAGAAAAATTGTCTGTAAATAAAAAGTTGCACTCTGTTTCAAGCAGGTAATGAAAGACTTCCTCCATGTTTCGTAGACTCTTTCCACAAGGAGTTTTGTAACTCACATGGAGTGCAGAAGAATGAGAGTTTGTCTTAGCATGTCGTCTTTGGAAGTGACACTTAATTGGCAGCTGTAGAGGGTTTTCTCCCTTGAAGGTTGCTGGCATTTTGATCAGACAAGCACCAGAACAGTCATGAATTTTGTAAGATAATTTCAAAGGTGATTCTTTTTCTTTTTCTCCAGGGCTTACATGTTCCACAGGGAAAACTTCCTGCTTTTCAGAAGATCTGTTGATATAAATTGTTTATTAATATCTCAAATTTGCAGTTCAATTTATGTGTTCGGAACACTGTATACTAAGGTAGGCATTATTAGTTACTACTATCTTTTTGAAGAATAAGATTAGCCTGATTCTGAAATAAATATTTTAGTGTGCAGCCATTTAAAGATTATAAATACTTTCAGCAAACTCTGGGAAACCATAATAAATGTTCCTTGTGTTTTGGAACTAAGCTTTTAAATTTCCCTGAAGAATGTGAGTTTTTTTTTTTTTTTTTTTACTTTTGGTGTCTACTACATATTAAAATACAGGTATTGTAGAGATTTTTTTTTTTAACATTCATTATATAATGCAGCACTAGCAGGATTTTCTCTGTAGGTGGAAATGACCTCTATCTATGCTGTCCAAAAGAGTTACTAGCCATATGTAGCTATGAAATACTTTTTAAATGTGGCTAGTGTGGGACCCCCACCCTCCAAAAAAAGAATTTTAAATCTTACTAAATTTTAGCCAGGTTCATACCTGTATTTACCTATTTATCCAAGAGGCTGAGATCTGGAGATGAGGCCAGCCCAGGCAGAAAAGTTCACTAAGTTCCATTTACAAAATAACCAGCCATACCATTCCTGTGCATCTACCCAGAGCATCACAAGCCAGGATACCATAAGGACACTTGTACATCCATGTTCACTACTGCACTATTCACAATAGCCAAGTTGTGGAAACAGCCCAGATGCCCCAGAATAAATGAGTGAATCAAAAAAAAAAAAAAAAAAAAAAAGGTGGTACCTACACACAATGGAATTTTATACTTCTGCTAGAAAGAATAATATTATGTCATTTGTAGGGAAATGGATGGACTTCAAAGAAATCAAGTTAATTGAGGTAAGCCAAGTTCAGAAATACAAATGGCATATGAATTCTCTCATATGCGGAAGCTAGATCTAAAATACCAAGACATAATAAATTATACAGGTCTCTAGGCATTCATACACAGACAAAAGGATACTCTTAGGAGAGCAATAGAGAGGTACAAGGCCTAAGTGCATCTGATCATACAAAATAATACTTATCAAAATGAACTCCAGGAAATGAAAACAATAGGGTTTTTCTTTTTTTGCTGTTTTTGTTTTCTTTTCTCTTTGTCTTGTTTATCTGTCTATACATCTTTGGGAATGTTACGGGGACCCACAGAAATACGGTTTTGATTTTGTGGGGAACAACAATCTTTGTCCTAGGAGAAAGTAATTTCATGAATTTCCCCTTAATTAGTACTTGAAAGTGTGAGACAGACTTTATCTACTAAAAAGACAAAGTATCAGATTTTCCTCTTGTACAATTTTTTATGTAGAAGAAGGACTCAATGTATTAATAAAATGAACAAAGATCAACAGTTAAATCATAAAAAGATTGGATTACCATGAGACAGTAAATAAATAACTTATTAAAGAAGCCAGGTAACTGTATCCTACATAAATACTGAAATTTACAATTTTTTAAAGCATTTTTAATGGAAAGAGATTTTTATATATTTTATCTAACATCAAATGATTTGAATGAGTGGATGATTTGAATACATCTCTTTTAGGAGCAATAGCATTCATAAACATAACGTATATACTTACTGAAGTATACTGTCTTCTGTAAAGGAGTTCTCATATGATGTAGAAGGAAATACATTTGATTTGTTTTCCTTTTCATTCTTAATCATATGCTTATAATCTACATGAAAAAAATTTGACCAACAAGTAAGCCAAGTTAAAAAATATTTCACAGAAAAATAACATAGCTTTCCAAGGATAATATAACAAAATTGCAAAAGTTTATATATCTTTTGTTTTCTTAATATAACTATTTTAGGATAATGGGGTTTAAGTATTTGGCTACCTGTCTATTTGTATTCTCATATTTCCCTTTTTTTTGTTGGTCATGGGGCTTGAACTCTGGGCCTGAGCACTATCCCTCACCTCTTCAGCTCAAGGCTAGCGCTCTACCACTTGAACTAGCACCACTTCCGGTTTTCTGGTGGTTTATTGGAGATAAGAGTTTCATGGACTTTTCTGCCCGAGCTGCTTTGAACCATCATCCTCAGATCTCAGCCTCCTGAGTAGCTAGGATTACAGGCGTGAGCCATTGGTGCCCGGCTCTCATATTTCCTTTTTTTACACCTAATTATTCTTTCTTCTTTTTTTCTTACTATGTTGCCCAGGCTGGCCTCAAACTCCTGAGCTCAAGTGATACTCCTGTCTCATTCTTCTGAGTAGAAGTACAACTATATTTACAGAGCACCATGCATGACATGTCGCTTTCTTCTGCTACTTCTTTATTTCTTTTGTGGTGTTGGGGATAGAACCGAGTGCCATGTAAATGGTGGACAATACTTCTTAATTGTTCTTATACTTCATCTACTCTTACCCTTCAATGTATCTATAAGCTTTATGTTTAATGAAAAAGCTATAAATTATAGCTAGAAACGTTTCTGTTTTTCCCAATGCACTAAAATAACTTAAAAGATAATTTGATCCTTATTGTCTTGCTATTCAAAAAATTAACCCAATGATACCTATTAAAGCAGGTAAGGCAGACATTAAGGACCCCTATGACAGGTATAAGGAGTATTGCTATAGGATTTTCCAGTAAGGAATGGAGACTGGCTCAATTCCAATAGCATGGGCTAGTAGGAATGTATAGCCAAGGAGCACAGTGGAATGACTACACAAAAAAATGTCTAAGAAGAAATATCCAGACAAAGGAGGATTCTGGAGAAACTGAGCAAATAAGATTCTTGCTAAAGACTGGCCACCATGATCAAACATTACATGGAGACTGGTAGGAGATGAGACACCCAATCAGATATCAAGGGTGATTAGACATTGTACAGGAACACTGCATGTTTTTACAGTTTAAGCAAGAAAAATTAAAAGTAACTAGTGGTTTGATCAGTGTTCTGGAGAGCCCAGGCTGGATCCCTCAAAAGCTCCACATCAAGTCCTTGTGTTTCTCTCATCTGAAATATTCATTTGAAAATAATGGAAGTATGAAACTTTATTGCTAAAACTGTCAATTACCTAACTCTCTTAATTATTCAAAACATTTCTCTACTATTGGCAAAAATATACACTTCTATTTTGGTAAATTCACTACACTGCAGGTGAACAAACTATTAAAATTATATTAAAAAAATAAAATTATTACTTTTGGTGACCTCAGAAGAAAAACACAACTTACTTTTCAGTGGAAAGTAAGTTGTTTCAAGAAAGTATATAAAAAAAAATAATATTGCTTAAAATTAATTCCTTGGTACCATCTCCTGAATTTTAAAAGCTTAAAATTAATGTAATCCTTTAAGGGTGTGTTAGATGCCTAAGCTGAAGGCATTTGAAGCAATAATGCAGGAAGGAGCTTTCTCTGAACTCTTTGTAACTGTCTACAAACACATCTTCCAAAACCAACCAAACCAAACCAATTGTTACAAATCCCCATTTTCCACAGGGTTCAGCCAGGAAAAGTGAGTGATTACTGGTGAGCAGGGAAAGCTGGTCTCATTCCCACACATTACACGCCTGTAATTCTAGCTACTCAGGAGGCTGAGATCTGAGGATCACAGTTCAAAGCCAGCCCGGGCAGGAACTTCCGTGAGATTCTTATCTCTAACCACCAGAAAACCAGAAGTGGCGCTGTGGCTCAAGTGGTATGAGCTGAAGAGCTCAGGGACAGCACCCAGCCCGAGTTCAAGCCCCACAACCAACCAAAAAACAAAAACAAAACAAAACAAAAAACCAACTAAGAGCTGGGAAGGTGGCTCAGTGGTAGAGTGCTTGCCTTGCATGCATGAGGCCCTGGGTTCGATTCCTCAGCACCACATAAGCAGGAAAAAAAAAAAAAGCTGGAAGTGGCACTGTGGCTCAAGTGGTAGAGCACTAGCCTTGAGCTGAAGAGCTGAGGGACAGCACCCAGGCCCAGAGTTCAGGCCCCACGACCAGACCAAAAAAAAAAAAAAAAAAGCCAACTAAATTAAGTTGTGGAACCGCCCACTGTTGTTCACAGGTAACTGAAGAGTTACTTGGTGTATGGAGAAACCATATTTTTTGGTCAGAGGTGTTGTGAAAAACAAAAAGGTTTTTCTTTTTGTGTTATCTCTCTAATCCTTCTAAACTGAATTTGCTTAGTGGCTGGTCTAGAAAAGAAAATTTTACCAATTATCTTATAGCAGAATATACCTTTCTAGTTGTGTTCTTCACAGAAAGCAGGTTAAAATGGATTAAAATCTTAAGACTTCTATCTATACTATCTGCATGAGATTTTGTGAATATACACATTTGTTCAGTCTTCCCCTAGAATGCCTAGTGGGAAGCGCATTCCCTAACCTTACATAGGTAGGACTTTTCGGCTAATAGAAGAAACTGAGGACTATATAACTTAGCAATGTAAATCTTACATTTCATTTCAAATTATATTTAACCTGGCTACTAGGGTAGCCTGCTCCATGGCAAGAAAATGCCGTGGAACATTCTAGAATTGGCATAGAAAATGTACATACCCTTTACCAATGTTGAATTGTTACTTATAGTTGCTTCATTCACTAGAATCATTGCTTGGATATACTCTGGTAAAAAAAAAAAAAAAAAAACAAAGAATAAAACGAAAGCAGTTACTATCAGGTTTATTCAAGCTTCCAATTTACAATTTACACACTTTATCTAATAATCTTCAATCTCCCCTGAGAAGTTTAAATGACAATCTGCATTAGGGACCAAGAAAAAGAGGCTCAGAGGTTAATTTATTCTGGACTTCTAAGCTAAAAAGACTAGAACTGGATTCAAAAACTACATAAATCTGATTCCTAAAGGATTTAGAAAGAATATTAAAATGAAAAGTGTTTCCTTTTGTAAATATATAATATGTAATAACTTCTGTAATAAACAGAAATGTCACTAGGGAGCACTAATAATAGTTTGGAGAAAATTTTTTTTTTTTTGTCGGTTGTGGGGCTTGAACTCTGGGCCTGGGCGCTGTCCCTCAGCTCTTCAGCTCAAGGCGAGCACTCTACCACTTGAGCTACAGCGCCACTTCCGGTTTTCTGGTGGTTTATTGGAGATAGGAGTCTCACGGTCTCTCCTGCCCGGGCTGGCTTTGAACCGCGATCCTCAGATCTCAGCCTCCTGAGTAGCTAGGATTACAGGCGTGAGCCACCAGCGCCCGGCTTGGAGAAAATTTTTGTTTCCAACTGTATGTCCTTATACACTAAAGGAAGATTTCACATTAAAGACATATGCTCTACAACCAAAGGGTAAAGACAAAAGAAAAAAAAAATCCAAAACCTTGGATTAAAATGCAGAAAACTAGTTTTGCTTTCACAAAACTAGTATTGTTGAAAGCAGGCAAAACATGGTCATAAGTGGGTGTGTTGGGGAGGGAGGGGTTGTGAGGAGATATGGAGCTCAGCCATGGGAGAAGGGATTACCCAAGGCTTCACACATTTTAGGCCTGAATTCTACAACAGAGCTACCTATGTAGCCTCCAGACTTTTACATACTTAAGAATAATTGTCTGAATAATGGATATTTTCTTTGTTGTATTTTCCAACATATAACAAATGTGATATAGTAAGACGATACTGAGGGGTTGGGTGGAACTGGGAGAGATGGACAAGAATGATGAATGATACTGATCGAGGTATATTGTACTCACACACTGGAATGTTAAATTGAAGCCCCTTTGTACAACTACTTAAAGATAATGAAAAATATGAAAGAAAAAAAGTATGAAACAAGGAAAAAAATATCCTTATCCCAGGTATTCACTCAGAGGGTGAAGTAGTCAGATTGCTTGAGCAGAGTTCTGAACTAATCTGGGCACTATTTCTAAAACAGAAAGGGGAGGTGTAGCCTGAAGTAAAAAGAAGTAAGATCAGTAGCTGTTATTTATAATCAGATTTATCCATGTTTATGACATGGAATAATAAATTGAATTTTTTAGGAAAAAAATAAAAAATAGAATCCATGTTAGGTTCATAAACCAAGTGTCAGTGGCTTACACCTGTAATCCTAGTTACTCAGGAAGCTTAGAGCTAAGGATCAAAGTTTGAAGACAGTCCAGGCAGAAAAAGTCTGAGAGACTCTTATCTCCAATTAAGCACCAAAAAAGACAGAAATGAACCTATGGCTCAAATAGTAGATCATCAGGCTTGGGCAAAAATGCTCAGGGATAGTATCTAGGCCCTAAGATAAAGCACCAGGATTGGCACAAAAAAACAAAACAAAACAAAAAAACAGAAGCAGCATTATCCATGTCAATGAATATAAAGTATATCCAAGATTTTAATGTCTTTTATACCTTTATTTGTAGCTGACCTATCTTTGATCTTCTGTTTTAATGACTGTAGCACATTTTGTACTTTTTCAAACATGAAGTCCACTTTTCCATCATCTTCTAGCTCCATCCAGAAAGCTTTTGCATCACCTAGAAAAAAAGAGAGCAACTTAGGAATTCAATGGAAATAGATTGAAAATAGATTAAATCACTAGGGCACAAGTTACAGAAAATCCAGTTGGTTTCTAAATAAAATTAAGGTTCAAGCAGTCTGTCACTTTCTTTGAGGAAAAAAGGATTTTGGTAATACTTCCTTATAAAGAAAAGAAACCAAGTGCTGGTGGCTCATGCTTGCAATCCTAGCTACTGAGGAGACTGAGATCTGAGGATCACGGTTCAAAGCCAGCCCTGTCAAGAAAGTTCACGAGACTCCTATCTCCAATTAATCAACAGAAAACTGCAAGTGGCACTGTGGCTCAAAGTAGTTGAGCACTAACCTTGAGTGAAAGAGCTCAAGCACAACACCCAGTCCTTAAGTTCAAGTTCCATGACCAACAACAACAACAAAAAAAGAACATGATCGGAGTACCTCATTTATTTTTGCTAACTTAAATATATAAATATGTTGACAACTTCAATGATATTATTCTTGCATAGAAGGTAAAAGAAATTACTCCTTTAGAGTTGTAATAATTTACACATATAAATTTTATTTATACATATAAAATTTATACATTTAAAAGTTTCAGAAATATTAGGCATGATGGCACATGCTTGTAATCTCAGTACTTGAAAGGTTAAGGCAAGAGGATCTTGAAATACTAAGGCCAGCTGAAGCTACTTAGTAAAACTCTGTCCCCCAAAATAAAACCAAGCTGGGTACCACTATTAGCTACTCAGAAGGCTGAGATATGGAGGATTGCCAATTCAAAGCCAGCTGGGCAAAAAAGTCTAGAAGATTCCATTTCTAATCACCAAAGCAGCAGACTTTGGAGTCATGGCTCAAATAGTAAAGCAAGTATGAGCAAGAAAGCCAAGCAAGGAGTTCAAGGTCCTGAGCCACACACATATCCACACAAATAAACTAGAAGCAATCAAACAAAAAGCTTCAGAATACTTCTACATAGATTTTAGAATAATTCATCTTAATGACTGCTGAAAATAACTATATATCCAGTAATATTTCTTTTTTTAAAAAAAGATTTATGGTAACTAACTTTTATTACATGAAGGAAAATAATACTTAAAGTTTTTACAGGTAAACTTATATAAGGAAGCCAGTATTTCTAATGCCTTGCAATTTCCTTTTGAAATAATCCTTTTGAAGCTAAAAACAATAAAGAGAAAGGCAATTAAAATAAATCACAACTTTCACATTGATACAATGTTTAGAAGTGATAAAATTTTTATCATGTTAAAGATAACTTATAAAATGTTAAGATGACCAAATAAAAGTGGCTGAAATTAAATAATATGGCCCTAAGCACAGAGGTATTAATAACTGCACTTTAAAAAGTCACTGAGTAGCCATTTGAAGTATTAACGGCCAAAGACCAGAAAATTACAAAAACCTACTTTCCTTAACAAAAAATAAATCCTAAACCTCCAAGTTTGACAATGGAGTCAAAATCTTCATAAGGAAAGAGGCTTAGGCCTGAGTCACAACTCCTACTGGGAGAATCACCTTTCCCAAAGTGGATCTAGGCCTAATTAGAACTGCTGCTAAGTGGTCTCGGGAGAGGGACAGTTTCTCGGTCAACATTCTGGTCTGACACATACTACACAACACAAAGCATGCTTTAAAAATTCTCTGTAGCACAGCCCAGACTTTCAAGATCTGAAACAAATTCAGTGCAAGAAGACAAAACCTATGATAAAAATTGCTTCTGTACCTCACTAATCAAATTTATTTTTTAGATGGAAGCCTACTGAAGAAGTATAAGCTATTTATGTTGTAGATACATGTTTCTTTGAAAGATCACAGAAGCCATCCTTGATGCCTTAATCAGAGAACTTGGAAGTCAAGGCAGAGTCTGATGCCAGCTTAGACTATACAGTGTCACCTTGCCACAAAAAAAAAATCAAATACAGCCAGGCAACAGTGGCTCACACTTATAAATCTGGCTACTTAGAGGCGCTGAGATCTAAGGATCATGGTTTAAAGCCAGTAATGGGTGGATAAGTCCATGAGACTCATTTCCAATTAGCCACCAAAAAGCTGTAAGTGGACTCTGGCTCACGTGGCAGAGTGCCAACCCTGAGGGAAAAAAGGTAAGAGATAACACTCAGGCCCTGGGTTCAAGGCTTTCCCCTCCCCCCGCCTCAACCAGTAAGATAGATCACTCAGGTGGTAGTGAGAAGAGTTTAGAATGGCTTCCATCTTTCTGTCTCAGTTATCCATTCTGATAGTAATGCTATTCACTAAGGTGGGGAGTAAAAGGTAGAGGGACAGATGGGAAAGTCAAACGGGAAGAAGCTCATTTTATAAACAAGTTATCTAGGCTACAGGATAAGATTTGCCAATTCTGGAGTCAATAACATACAAACACTAGCCAAAGCCAAAAAATATGTGTGGGTCCTTAAGGAGAATGTACAGAAAAAAAGACAGTCTTCTATAGAACACCAACATGGAAATGAAAGGACAAGGAACCATGACACCTTACAAATTAGAAGGGAAATTCAGGAGAGGAGTGGATCAAGAGTCAAGGGAAGGATAGAAATCATAATTAACAAAGCAGGCTTTGTTCAAAGATTCGTTCATGTTGGAATTAAAGTACTGCCTATTAGGTGTAGGACCACATCTGCATTAGAGATGAGTTGATGAATATGTCAGCATGTTGGCAGCTGGCCAGAGATTACTACATACAAGTCTTAGGCAAAAGAAATTAATTATAGAAATAACTGAAAGTTGTTTTTTGGTTTTTTTTTGGGTCCGGTCGTGGGGCCTGAACTCTGGGCCTGGGCACTGTCCCTCAGCTCTTCAGCTCAAGGCTAGCGCTCTACCACTTGAGCCACAGCACCACTTCCGGCTTTTTTCTTTTTGCTTATGTGGTGCTGAGGAATCGAACCCAGGGCCTCATGCATGCAAGGCAAGTGCTCTACCACTGAGCCAATTTCCCAGTCCCTGAAATAGTTCTTTAATAGTAAAATTTTACAGAAATTATCCATATCATTTCAATGAGAAAAATTTTTATGGAACACTTATTCCCAGGATCCCTAAAATAATTAAATTTTCATTAATTATCAGCAAAAATCATCGCTTTTAAGCAAAGTTGTTATTCAAATAAAGTAACCAGTTAATATTACCATGTTTCCTTTCATGAATGTAAATTAGCACCCTATTTTAGAGATTTGTCTTTATCAGATTTTGAAATGAAACCAGTTTTTAAAAAAAAGATGGTATGTAAAGGGTGAACAAATATAGCACTGGTACTCATTAGATATGATGAAAAATGAGCTATACAAATTGTGGGTGGGGATGGAAAGGAAAAACTGGGAGAGAGTGAGGGAAGGGGTGACATCGTCCAAAAAGAAATGTACTTTTTTCTTTTTTTTGATTATGGGACTTGAACTCTGGACCTGGGCATTGTCCATGAGCTCTTCAGCTCAAGGTAAGCTCTCTATACATGGGCCACAGTGCCACTTATGATTTTCTGGTGTTTTGTTGGAGATAAGAGTTCTCACAGACTTTCCTACCCAGGCTGGCTTTGAACCATGATCCTCAGACCTCAGCTTCCTGAGTAGCTAAGATTACAGGCATGAGCCACTGGTGCCTGGCTAAGAAATGTACTTTATACTTGACTTATGTAACTGTACCTCACCTTTATAAAAATTGAAATATAAAAAAGAGTGAAAAAAAACATGGTATGCATATATGTATGTACATACAATGGAATATTATTTAGCCACAAATGAATGAAATCCTATTCCTAGTGGCAATACATGGGAGAAACTGGAGGGTATCATGTAAAGTGAAATAAGTCAGACATGAAAGACAAATATCCCATGTTCTTTTTTATAATTTGAATCTAAAGGAGTTGATCTCATAGAAATTGAGATCTCACACTGGAGACAGAAGAGGAGGTGAGATAAATGGAAAAAGATTGGTCGGTGGGTACTAAATTGCAGTTAGGAGAAATTAGTTTTGCTGCACCATAAGGGTGACAATACATAATATATGTTTTTAAAAGTTGAAGAAAAGGTTGGGCTGAAAGTATGGCTCAAATGATAAAGTGTTAGACATGATCAAGAAAGCTGCTCAGAGCCAGAGGCCCTGAGCTTAAGCCAAAATATCTCACACCAAAGAATTAATAAAAAAGATTTCTACAAAAAAAAAGTAACTTTTTGTTAAATGGTTGGTCATAGCTCTTGAACTAATGGCCATGGCGTTGTCCCTGAGATTTTTGCTCAAGGTTAATGATCTACCACTGAGAGCCATAGCTCCACTTCTGTTTTTCAGGTGGTTAATTGGAGATAGTCTCATGGACTTTCCTGCCCAGCCTGGTTTTGAATTGCGATCTTCAGATCTCGGTATCCTCAGTACTTAAGATTAAAGATGTGAGCCATCTGCACCTGCAAATGGTTGGAACTTTTGATAGCACTAAAATATTCTGGAATCAGAGATAACTGAGTCCTAGTGTAACATGCTAAAACTGATTCTAGTTTTTAGTGACTATGATTTAAAGTATTTTACAGAATGTTGGCATATTATTATTTATTCTGATGTGGAATAATTAAATTACTCAAAAAATAAGATAACTGCTTAGTGGTGGAAATGATGAATTAAGAAGACAATGATAATATAAACTAAGAAACCAACATCAAGGGGTATAGCTCAGTAGTAAAGTGTGCAGAGAATGTACAAGATTTTGAGTTCAATTCCCAGAATAACTGACAAATGAATTAAGAAAACTAAGCTAGTCAAAAGAATACCAAAAATGCTTCTATAAAAAATGTATGTAAATATGCAAATCACTTATAGTATGTATTTATGTGAGTGTATATACCTAGGAGATGTCAATCATAGATTAAATTGCTTATGTCAAAGGAACATAAGACCCAAATAATTCCCAAAGGTCAAACTTGGGAAAATTTAAGTAACTAAACTGGCAAAGTAATACTGGAATCTAACTCAAGTATAAAATAAGTATTCATGTGTCCATACTGATATAAATAATGATTGGCAGAACAGATAAATTGGGAAAAAGAGACAAAGAGAACAATAATGAATACCAAAAGAAAAAAATAAATATTCTGCTGTTAAGTAGTAGTGAACATCAAATCCCACTTCTCGAGTAAGAGCTGCACTTAGTAATTTACTTCCAAAGGGTTCAGGGAGTTCAGTATGGCATCAGGTGTAGTGGCACATATCTGTAATCCCAGAACTCAGAAAGCTGAGGCTGAAGGATTTTGAATTGAATACCAGACTTTCCTACATAGTGAGACCCTCTCTCCAAAAACAAAAACAATATTGAAGGATATACAAGGGAATAGATGGAGTTTGAAGAGGGAGAATGAAGGGGTGATTAAAATATATTGCACAACTACTTGAAGATAATACAAATGAAACTTAAAAATTTAAGGATACAGCAGGTTTGAGAAGAGTAACAAAAGCATAACTTAACAGTGGAGAAACTGAATAATTCTATACTTGCTATGTGGCCAAGCCCAGTATGAACAATGAGAGATCAAGCCACAGCGTGTGCTTGTATGCTCTTTACCCTTGTGATTTTACTCCTCAAAATCTGTCACCCCATCTAATTCTAAGAAAAACATCAGACAGTAATTCCAACAGAGGGACAGTCTACAAAATATTTAACTATAAAACCAACAAGCCTGAGACACTATCGTAGCCAAGAGCAGCCTTAGTGAAATTAAAGGTAATGTGTTATCCTGAATGGAATCCTGGAAAGGAAAAGACACATGCCCCACAGGTAATGTGAATAAATTACGGACTTTAGTTCATAATAAATGCCAGTAAAAAGGTTCATTAATTATAACATATATTATCTAAGTGTAGATATTAAAATGATAGTGAAAAGCCAGTCTCAATTTTTTGGTAACAACTAAGAAAAATTAATTTAAGAAGTCTATTTTTTAAAGTATATTATTGATTTAACATTACTGATTGAATACATTATGAAATCAGTCAAAGCTGGTGGTTATCCAAGGCCTTAATACCTTCTTGTCCAGAAGTCACAAGGAAAATACACAATTTAGCTTAGGTTGTCTATAAACTCTTAAATATTAAATTTAAAAATGTGTTCTTCAACCTACCATTTTTTTCTCCCATTCTTTGGTGTTGTCGGCAAACATAAAATTCTTCAAAATTAAGTTTATCAAAAGACTGAATATGTGCCACTTTGATTGGAGAATGTAACTGGAATCCAACTGTGGTCTCTATGAAATTGGGAAGTCCTCAAAGAAAATACACCATCATTATACATTCTAAATCCGGTATTCCTTGATACTTGAATATTCAAATAGAAACTGTGCCATAAAAAAACTTTCAGAAATTACACTAGTCCATTCACAAAACAGGCACATACATCTTCATCAAATGAGCATTTATAGTCGTATCACACCACTGCCAATGTCTTTATAAAAATAAAAATCGACTCCATTTCTGAATCCACAAATTCATTAAATATTCTGTAAGAAAAACAAAGAGTAGTGCGTATTTATAAAGCACAAAATACACAAGAAAAGATATTGTTAAAATGATATGAACTATTACAAAGAGAATACAGATGAGCTAGAAAAATGTACAAATTGCAAGTTATGATAAATAAGGAATTATAAAGATAATAATTACTTCTAAGCACCCATATTTAACATATGTTAGTATTAATATATTATTAAACTATATTCCATTTTTAATTGTTTCTTAAGTTTTAAAACTAGGGATATTACTATCAATTGCCTTATAGGTTGTTCAGAGGATATGACTTAATCACTTATATAGTGCCTAACATATTGGAAGAACTTAATAAATGCCAGCAATTATTATCCTTTCAGCATATAATTATAAAACAAAATTCAGAAATTAGAATATATTTTTGTACCTTTTTATTAATATGTCTGCATTTACTTTTGTCATTCATATTTCTTATTATTTGGCTATAAAATATACTTTGGTTAATAAATCATACACTCAAGTACATTAACAATCTTTTTCCTCAGGCCAGGCACAGTGGCATGAACTTATAACTTGATCTTTTTTTTTGTCGGTCATGGTGCTTGAACTCTAGGCTTGGGCGCTATCCCTCAGCTCTTCAGCTCAAGGCAAGCGCTCTACTGCTTGAGCCACAGCGCCACTTCCTGAACTTATAACTTGAAAAGAGGTAGGAGAATCCTCTGAAGCAGGCCAGGCAAAAGTATGAGACCCTTTCTAAAAAATAAACTAAAAGCAAAAGGACTGAGGATATACTTTAAGAAGAATTGTGTTTGTCTAGCAAGAACAAAGTTCTGAGTTCAATCTCCAGTAACTAAAAAAAAGTTACAAAGAGAAGTAGGTAAAAGGACAAGAAATAAGGCCATATGCAAGCTGGGTGCCAGTGGCTCACAGGGTAATCCTAGCTACTTAGGAGGCTGAAATTTGAGGATCACGGTTCCAAGCCAGCTGGGCAAAAAGTCTGAGAGACTCTTACCTCCAATTATCCAGCAAAAAGCCAGAAGTTGAGGTATGGCTCAAGCCCTAAGTGAAAAAGACAATGGAGTATGAAGCCTATGAATACAAGTTCTAGTACCATTGCGCACGTGCACACCCCTCCTCCCCCCCCCCCCCACACCCAGATGTGTTAATAATTAGAATACAGGGGGTTGGAAATGTGGCTTAGTGGTAGAGTGCTTGCCTAGCATGCCTGAAGCCCTGGGTTCCATTTCTCAATACCACATAAACAGGAAAGGCCAGAAGTGGTGCTGTGGCTCAAGTGGTAGAGTGCTAGCCTTGAGCACAGAGAGGCTCAGGGACAGTGCCTTAGTTCAAGCCCCAGGACTGGGAAAGAAAAAAAAGGAGTAAAGATGAATGCAATGCATTAACTTTTCCCATTGAAAGACAGATTCTCAATCAACCAAAAACTAGGTGTGATCATTTTAAAAAAAGAAATCTATCTAAATTACAGTATCATGGATAGGCTGAAAATTAAAGGAAGTGAAAAAATATCAGTATTTTTAAATTGTATTAAAAATATAACAGAAACAAAGAAAACTACTTTCCATTGAGAATCCATGATAAAGACCTAATACTTACAAACATCTATGTACAAAAAATATCACTGAAATAAAGTAAAACTTAAATAGCATAGAAAATATACAATTCAAAGTTGTAATAGGAAGAGAATAAATTGGTCTCAGAAATGGACAAAATAGGCACAAATTATAATATAAAAACTTTAAAGTCTTCTGGTGTAGCTCAGTGGGCAAAGGCTTCTTTCCTTTGCATGCTTGTAGTCCCTAGGTTGTACCCACCAGCACTCATCCCACAGATGTAAATGACAGATAAATAAGCTTAATTTAACAAATATACTCTGCACCTGAGGGCTGAGACTGTAGCTTGGTGGTAGACTACTTGCCTAGCATGCTGAGGTTGTGGCTTCACTGACCAGAAACAAACACCAACACACAACATGACAGTTTACACCTGTAATCTCAGCTCCAGAGGAGGCAGAGATTGAGAGAATGAAGGTTTAGAAAGAAAGAAGTGAGACCCTCATTTCGATCCATAAATTGGGTATGGTAGTATACATTTTTCATCCCAGCTAAACGAGCTATGTGAGGCCACAGAAGGTAAGATTACCATCAAATCACTCCTGCAAAAATATTAAATAAAGGTGTCTAGCAGGAGTTTAACAGTGGGGCTTGTTCTAGGAATATCTTCGAAAGTTGAACGTTAAAAAGTTTGCAAAGCCGTGCGCGGTGGCTCAGCGCTGTAATACTACCTACTCAGGAGGCTGAGATCTGAGGATCTTGGTTCAAAGCCAGCCAGCCAGCCCGGGCAGGAAAGTCCATGAGCCTCTTATTTTCAATGAGCAACTAGAAAACTAGAGGTGGCGCTGTGGCTCAAAGCGGCAATGTGCTAGAGCCCTAAGTAAAAGAGCTCAGGGACAGCGTCCAGGCCTTGAGTTCAAGCCCTACAACCGACAAAAATAAATAAGTAAATAAAAAATTGAAGTTTGCAAATCTGAATTCCTGTTTCAACAAAAGTTTCATATGAAAACATCAGAGGCGGTTTCATCAGGATGAGAACACAGTTGGCCATCAATATTGTCCTGGAAATCGCAGAAATAACTATGATTTTTTTTTTAAAAAAAAGGTCTAAAAATCGGGAGAAGAGAAAAATATACCCGCAGAATAAACACTACCACGAAAGTCAAAAAGTCAAGCAAAGTGGTAAGAAGCAAGGTGGTAATTTAAACCATACAACAGTCATGTGGGAAAGTGGCTTTTCTGCTGCTGAGGACTGCGAGGCAGGTGAGGCAAGTCACCCTGTAAGTGGCAGGCCCCCATAGAACCAAAGCAGCCAGGTTTGAAGAGTCCAGGGTTTGGACCATCCATCCCAGTTTACTACTTCAGACAACCATATCCGGGACCACCTCATTAACATTTACACAATGCACGGAAGAATGGCTAGGTTATTTACATACATTCTTGGGTAACGACAGTCGGCTCTAAAAACATTTAATCTCAACCCAAGGATCCTGGACCGGTGATTTGACTGATTCGGGGCTTGCATTCACCTTACCTGTGAAATGGGCAGTGGTTAACCTTCCAAGTTCAGCTTCTGGATTCGATACTGCAGATTTATTTCCTGCAGCCCCCTCGGAAAGCCTCAGGGTTCCCAGGTGCTCAGGAATCATCTCCTTGGGGGTACACCGGGAGACAGGTTTCAAATAGGGGCCGAGAACTGCGTGACTCCCGGGTCCTTCTCCAACCCGGGACTGCACGAGGGTGCGAGGAAAGGAGATGCCGCACCGGTTCGGTGCAGGCCCCGCTCGCGCCGCCGGAGCTCGGCCGGGGTTGCCCGATCCTCCCACCGCCGCGCCTCAGCCTCACAGACTCCGCCCCGTTCTCCACGCCTCCCGCTAGACCCGAGGGCGGCGCTCCCGGCTCGTCCCGACGCGGGCGAGCTGACAGTCAAAGCCACTTCTCCACCTCAAGCCGCTCGTCGTTCCGCTCCTGGCCCCGGCTGCCCTGTGGCCGGGAAATACTTCGCCAAGTATTAGACCTCACCTCGGCCCGAGAGGGGCGAGCGCGCAACCACGAATGTCCAGGGCCCCCTGAAGCGAACCACTAAATGGGAGCCAGACGCCAACCGAGCCCATCACCACGGGCCGAAAGCCCCCAGAGTTGCCTTTCCAACTGGGCGGACGCCTCACTGGCTCCGCGCTGCCACCGCAGGCACCGCCGCGGCGTTCCGAGCGCGCCGCTCCCTGATTGGTTATCAGCGCTCTCGGCTAATCTCGCGCGCCCTGGCTGGCCCAATGGGGTTGCCCGCGGTGTAGAAGCCCGCAGCGCTGGAGTGGTGGTGCAGCTGTTTCTTTCGGTAGGTGTGTGGGTGCCATCTTGTGTGTGGCTGTGGCTGGGGTTCTCGGTGGCTGGAAGCTTATTTAGGGTCTGGTTTTTGTAATGGGGGGTCCTTGGGGGAAGACAGGGGAAGTGGAAGGATCTGAGCGAGGAGACTCATTCTCACTTGCCTGGAAGGACGACTCTCATGGGCCCGAATTTCATGGCCTGTTAAGGGGAACGAAGCGTGGTGTGGCTGTGGAGCGGTGACCCACACTTTGGTCTGCGGTCATTGTGGGGTTCGGGTTTCGATGCCTCAACGGCTATTTGGTTTCCGAGAATTCTTTTAGCCTTTTATCTCATTGAGACTCAGGTGATCCATTCTCCATTGCTAGTCAAAGGAGACAGGCTTCTGGATTCAGAAAGGTTCAAAGCTGAACATGGGAGGGAGGAAAGATATGTCTTACCGACGACCCTCAAGTTTGAAAAAATCCCTTTGCTTTCTTTTCTTTGCCAGCGAGCCTGCTGCCAAACTGTTGGCTTTGCTCTGGAGTTGCCCAAGTGACCCACGGGTAACTCAAGCCATCCTTTGGTATTAGAGGATGTCAAGTTATGCGTTGGAGCAGCTGTGTTCATTACTCTGTAACCAGCATTCCTGCAGCGGCTTTTTTTTTTTTTTTTTTTAATTAAGCTAAAAAGTGCTCTGTTTTCATAAACAGGGCAGGTTAAAGGAGACCTTTGGCAAATCTTTTTTTTCCTGGACTTGATGTTGCAAATGTTCAGATCTCTGCGTTTTGCCTTGCTATGCTTGATTGTTTTGCCCGAGGCAGGAAGTGGATTTAGTAGGCCAAATAGCATCTTGAGTTTTTCTGTGGGCTGAGAGGAAAGCGATAAGAATCACTTCGTTTTCCTCCCTATTTCATTCCCCTCCCCGATTGGCTGAAATAGAAAGCACTGCATCATTTCATTTGAAAGGAAATGTAATGCACTGAAAAACAAGCCAATGAGAAAATAACGTTTCATGGTTAGCAGGGTTTTTGTTGTTGTTGTTTGTTTGTTTTTGGTCGTGGGTCTTGATCTCTGGGCCTGGCGCTGTCCCTAAGCTCGTCTGCTCAAGGCAAGCACTCTACCACTTGAGCCACAGCACCACTTGAAAAGATCAATGAAAGTATCCATCACATCCATGTCAGGGGACCACGCAGAGGCAGGCAGGAGAAAGATTATTACAAGGTTTATTAGAGGAGCCATGTTTCTTCCGGAGAGAGAGCACATGGCTGCCTCCGCTATCTAGGTAGCAGCAGGGTCTGGGGGATAGGAAGTGAGGTAGATGGAAGTTTAGGTAGGTCTGGGTGGAGAGAGAGAGGACTGGCAGGTCTGGGTGGAGCTGGGGACCAAAGGTGGACATAATGCTTACACCACTTACAGTTTTCTGGTGGTTAATTGGAGATAAGATTCTCCTGGAGAATCTCCATGCTTGGGCTGGTTGTGAACCGCAGTCCTCAGATCTCAGCCTCCTGAGTAGTTAGGATTACAGGCGTGAGCCACTGGTGCCCGGCTTGATTAGCACATTGCGAAGAAAGTAGAGACTTGTCTAGTTTAGCTTTTGGTTATTCAGGGTTAGCTAATGACCCAATTGAGTAAACAGTCCACAATGTAGATAGAAATACCAAAACAATTGGCACTTAACTTTGTTTTTAATTTACTTTTTTATCCACAAGCCTTATAAAACCTAAGTTGTGATCATTAAAATATCCCTAAGTCACGCGCCAGTGGCTTACACCTGTAATCCTAGCCCCTCAGGAGACTAAGATGTGGGATCTCAGTTGGAAGCCAGTCCAGGCAGGAAAGTATGTGAGATTCTCCAATTAGGCCCTAAAAAAAATCAGGCAGTGGGAGCTGTGGCTCAAGTGGTAGAGCACTAGCTTGGAGCACAAAAACTCAGACAAAGCCTAGGCCCTGATTTCAGTCTGTGTGCACTAAGTATTCAGATGTCTAAAGTTATTAGAAGCTTTACCACCAGGAGATTGTTAAGAAACACTACTAAGAGTTGGGGGTGTAGCTCAGTAGTAGAGCACATGGTTAGTATTTGAGGCCCTGGGTTGGAGATTCCTAGCACTAGAGAGGAAAGAAGGAAGAAGGACCAAAAACAGGAACTTAGAAAATGTTGCTAATCATTTCATTCATTTATAATTGTTGGGTGAACAAGTGAAAAAATACAATAGTTGGGGAAATATAGATAATAAGCTTTTTGACAGAAAATAAATTTCTAATCTGCTCTTTTAGAAAACTTGACTTTCTTTTTGGACTGAATTAATTTTTGGCTTCTAGGTTATGTGTACTGATGCTATACCTTAGATGTTGCCAATTTATGAAAACATCTACAAAAGAATTTTGAAAAATGAGAATCACAATGAAGAATGAACCAAAAGAGTTGAATGTTATTGGAGATAAAGGCAGAGTTTTTTTGGGGAAATAAAGCAAAACTCCCAGGAGCAATCTTAAAGACTGGATCTAAGAGGTTTCTTTTTTTCAAGACTATAATATTGCCACAACATGATCTATCTTTCCCTAATTGGTAGGCTTGCCCCTTGCTGAATAATTGTCTTGGCTCTAATCTGCTTTATGTTTTAGGATTGACCAGCTTTGAAGTAAGAGTTTAGTGCCCTTTCTATAGATTGGACATATAGCTCTTCTGCCTGCTCTTCCTACAGCAGTTTCTAGGCCCCAGGCAGCAATTTAAGGTTTCCCTATTCTGTTTATTGATTCTCACAACATTCTTCTTTATATCAAATGTTCAATACATATCTTTTGTTGTTGTTGTTGTTGTTGTTGTTGTTGGTTGTGGGCTTGGACTCAGGCCCTGGGTGCAGTCTCTGAGCTCTTCTGCTCAAGGCTAGTGCTGTACCATTTTAAGCCACAGCACCAATTCCAGTTTTTGTGTGGTTAATTGAGGATAAGAGTCTCACTGAGAGTGAGTCCAGCCCAGGTTAGTTTCCAACCTCAATTCTCAGATCTCAGCCTCCCAGTAGGTTTATAGGCATGAGCCATCGCACCCGGCTTTCAATACACGTCTTATACATCCTGGACCATGCATCTTAATCTGTTTGTTAATCCTTACAACATTCTTCCACATCTCTTCCAGTGACTCCCTTCCCTAGTCCAAGAAAGGTTGTCAGTGTTATAAAATTATAGATGATACAGCTCAAGGATGAGCTTTGTTAAACTCTGAGCAGCATGGATCTTCCTTAAATACAGCTATCATATGACCCCTTCCTTAATCCTGACATCAATTTATACTCTTATTCCAACACAATAAGGAAAGGCTTATAAAATTTTGTGTGTATGTGAGGTTAAGAGCTCTTACTATGGAAAAACACAGTTACTGTGATCCCTCAAGCAAGAATAATCTGTTGAAAGAATGGTTTTACTGAAAGCACATAAAATCTGAATAGATGAATATCAAATGTAACCTCAATATCTGAGCTTTCTCTTGCTGAAGGATATTGGTTGCTTTTCTAGCTTTTGGGTTTTCAGACTGAGTTCTCAGTGGGGGAGGGGTTGCTAGGGATGAACCCAAGGCCTTAAACATGCCAAGCAAATATTCTACTACCAGCCCCTGATTCAAGGTAAAACTCTTATGGCTTTAAATGTATTATTTTACATATATAACTTCTTGTAAATTTGAATAATTTCTAGAAAAAAAAAAACAAGGTATCTTCACACCCCTTTAGATTTTATAATCTCAAGATCTTCAGAAGTGTGGTTTCATTTTGTTTTATGTGCTGTTACCAATGCTTGAACTCTGGATTGTGCTCTCAATTGAACTTTCTTCTCACAGTCAGAGCTCTACCACTTGAGCCATACCTCCAATCTGGCATTTTTGCTGGTTAGAGAGAGTCTTGAGGACTTTTCTGCCTGGGCTGGCTTTCAACTGTGATCCCACTGGTCTCAGCGTCCTGAGTGCTTAAGATTATAAGCATTTTACATGAACTATGTTTAGAGATTAAAACAAATTTTCACTTAGATTGGTATGTTACACATTTCTCAGTGTAACTTCATGCAAATACAAAATGTAGATTGTTTTTCCCCATTATCTGGTGATGCCCTGTTTAGTTAGAAAAAATGATAATACCTTATAATTAATATAATGTGTTAGAATCTGTTCATTTAATTAAGCATAATAAAGTCAGTAAAAATTTCCCACAGGTCTGTTTGTAGACACTTGAAAAAAATGAGAGAAGATTTTATGGTAAAATTGTAAACACTTTTTTTTTTATTGTGAAAATACCATACAGAGGGGTTACAATTACATGAGCAAAGTAATGAGTACATTTCTTATCAAGCATTGTTGCCTCCATCTTTGTATTTCCTTCCCATCCTTTCCCATCTCCTTCCCCATCTGTCCCCCCCCCAACACTTCTTTACCACACTTAATATGTGATTTTTTTTTTTAGCTGAAAAACTAGATTACATGAAATAATCATTTTTTTTCTTAAAAAATGATTTTTACTAGCTGGGTGTCAGTGGTTCATGACATGAGATTTGAGGATCGCAGTTTGAAGCCAGCATGGGCAGGACAGTCAGTGAGACTCTTATTTTCAATTAACTACCAAAAACCCAGAGTAGAGCTATGGCTCAAGTGGCAAAGCTCTAGACTTGCGCAGAAAAGCTCAGTGATAGTACCTGGGCCCTGAGTTCAAGACCCAGGACTGGCACACAGACAAAAGAAAGATTTACTTGTCTTGGTGTTGAGGTTTGAACTCATGGCCACTTGTACACAAAGCACATGTTCTATTAATGAGCTATAATCCCAGTCCTTTAAAACTCTTGCACTACTAGAAATACCTTGCGTTGTATATTTCTGGAATTTTTTTTTTTTTTTTGGTCTGTTGTGGGCTTGAACTCTGGGCCTGGATGCTGTCCCTGAGCTCTTTAGCTCAAGGCAAGCACTCTACCACTTCAGCCACAGTGCCTTTTCTGGTTTTCTAGTGGTTAGTTGGAGATAAGAGTCTCATGTTCTTTCCTGCCTGGGCTGGCTTTGAACCATGATCCTTAGTTCTCAGCCTCCTTAGTAACTAGGGTTACAGCATGAGCCACCGGTGCCCGGCTATTTCTGGTCTTTAATAAAATACATTATAGGGATAAACACTGTTGCTAAAAATAAAATGATTTAACTGAAATCAATCAATTTCAACGAAATTGATTTAATACCTGAATCATGAGGATTTCCATTAATTACTTGGTGTGTGTGTGTGTGTGAAACATTCAGATTGCTTCACTTAAAGGGGGAAAATATTGAACTATGTATATTTGGCTTCCCCCCGCCTCTTTTGTTTCTTTTATAGTGCTGGGGATCAAATCCAAGATCTTTGTTTTTTAAGCAAGCACTTTAATCCTTGTATCCATGAATCCCAGCCCTATGGCCTTTTTGGGGGGAGCAGGGAGGTAAACCTGAACTTCTTTATTTGTAATCTAATACCTTTTGTTCTTGTTGCTTAAATTAATGCTTTTTATGCAAATGAGACCTGTGTATATCAAATTTTCTCTTGAGACTCATTTCTCCTGGCCTTTTAACAGATCTGTTTAGTTTTTTGTCCAGCTCTTTCTTCCTATGTTTTTTCACTTGAGTATTGGTTAGTATCTTCTATGTAATTTAGATTAAAAACCAAATTCTTTCCCTTTTGTCCAATGGATAATATACATATAGCTTCAGTCTCCAAAATGGCTTTTCTGTTCATCTCTGGGTTCTTATTGCCACCATGCTTACCATACTTTACTTCCTTCCTTCTTCCCTCCCTCCCTTATCCTTCCCTCCCTCCCTCCCTCCCTCCCTCCCTTCCTCCCTCCCTCCCTCCTTCCCTCCCTTCCTTCCTTCCTTCTTTCCTTCCTTCCTTCCTTCCTTCCTTCCTTCCTTCCTTCCTTCCTTCCTTCCTTCCTTCCTTCCTTCCTTCCTTCCTTCCTTCCTTCCTTCCTTATTTGTCTTGGCAGAACTAGGGTTGAACTCAGATCCTAGCTCCTGCTCCTGCTATACTGCTGAGCCCTGCCTCTACTCAGTTTTTCATTGGTCATTTTTGAAATAGGATCTCATTCCCTACCCTCAGTGCTCAGTGTGCTCCTAAGCTTCTGTCTACTTACTTTTAGGCTTCTTGTCATTGCTGAGATCACAGATGCCCATCACCATGTCAAGACCATTTTTTAAGCTTTTCTGCAGGTACTGGCCTGAAATTATGGCCCTCCCAATCTGCCTCTCACTTGGGATGACAGATGTGTACCACTGTATCCAGTTGTAGATTGAAAAGAGGTCCTTATAACTTTTCTGCACAGGCTGACCTTGAACTGTGACTCCCATTCTCAGATTCCCCAGTAGCTAGAATTAACAGCCTGAATCACTGACACTCAGCTAGCCCTTCATTTTCTTTCTTTTTTTTTTTTAATTTTTATCCTTAGCTTTCAGCTCAAGGCTAGCACTCTACCACTTGAGCCACAGCGCCACTTCTGTTTTTTTTTCTTTTTGCTTATGTGGTGCTGGGGAATCGAACCCAGGGCTTCATGCATGCAAGGCAAACGCTCTACCACTGAGCCACCTTCTCAGCCCCGCCCTTCATTTTCTTGAAACCATTTTATAGCTAGGTATGGAGGTACACATGTTTGTAATCCTAGCACTTAGGAAACTGAGACAAGAAGATCATGAATTTGACACTACTTTTAGACTGTAGTGAAAACTGTCTCAAAACCTTTTTCTTTTCCTATCCATTCTTGACAAAACCATACTCCTTAGTTTGGAGTTTTTATTAGGTAAGATACAGATTTGGCTACTGTTATGGGGACACTTAAAAGTAAATGTGTCCTTAAGGAATAAACTTTTTGTCCTTTGTAAAACAAAGAGCTGATATAGTGGCTGTGCTACACATAGTTGTCAAGACCTCCCCTCCCTCCTTGTTGTTCTGTCATTCTCCTGCAGCTCCAGCTTATGAACCAACATGGCCGAGTCACATCCTGCATTTATAGATCATCTGATGAAGGGTAAAACACATTCTGTTGCAGGACAAATAACTGCATGCAATAATTGTAGACTCAAAAGCCTCAGAGAATAGATAGGACTCAACATCAGCACAGTTTTATGGGGCAGGGAGGGAAGAGAGGGAAACCTCCAGCCAAAACTAGAGACTTATTCCTTGCTTTCTTAGTCTGAGGTATTTACAGTGGGTCCAAAGGAATGTTGTCTGGGGATTTGTATGAAAGTAACTAATAATGAGAAAAAGATAGTATATGAAATGGGTTGCAGTTGGAAAAAGTGAGGGAGTAAAGCAGGGTGTCAGTTCAAAGACTTGCTCTGTTGCCAGCCAAATGTTACTGTTGGTCAAGGAGAGAGGATAAGGTGGGAGTGTTTCTAGAAGCACTGGTGTGGGCCCAGAATAAAAGACACCTGCTATTTGTACCTAACAGTAGTACATGCATTTTATGTCCAAACTTAATTCTTAGGCTATTTCTTACATTGTCACAGAAAAAAAAGGTAAAAGCAATCTTAACTCCTCTATTATGATTTTTGAATTTTATGGTTGTCAGTCTCTTGTTGGTTAAATTGGGGAACAATTAGTCTGTTTTTAATTTGAGTTTTATTGTAAAGGTGATGTACAGAGGGGTTACAGTTGCATGTCAGGTAGTAGTCCCTTCTTTTTGAACAGTGTTACTGCCTCCCTCATTTTCTCTCACTTTTCCCTTTAGTCTCTGTCTGTCTCTGTCTGTCTCTGTCTCTGTCTGTCTCTGTCTCTGTCTCTCTCTCTGTGTCTTTCTGTTTCTGTCTCTCTTCTCTCTCTCTCTCTCTGATCAGTTGTGGGGCTTGAACTCAGGGCCTGGGCACTGTCTCTGAGCTCTTTTTTACTCAAGGTTAGTGCTCTACCACTTTGAGCCACCCCCTCACTTCCAGTTTTTGAGTGGGTAATTGGAGATAAGTCTCACAGGGACTTTTCTGCCTGGGCTGGCTTCAAACCAAGATCCTCAGATCTCAGCTTCCTGAGTAGCTAGGATTACAGACCTGAGTCACCAGCCCCTGGCCTTTTAGTCTCTTTTTTTACTTTTAGTCTACTCTGTACTTTCCTATCTCTATCTGATGGTGGTTTCTACTGCCAAGAATTACATTCTTTTGACAGATGCTGTTACTGAACCCAGGTCTGACTGTTCACCCCTGAAAAGGCCATAGACTCAAGGACAAGTTGTTGGGGCTAGGAAAAGATTTATTTGAAAACTCATCCTAATAAAGAAGAGGGGAAAGTTACCAACAAAGACCATCTTAGAGAACTCTGGTACAAAGTGTTTTTCTAGGGTGAGAAAGAATGAGCTGGGAGATGAGTGTGACCTCCACATGTTGAACGGGGTGTCATTAGTATCTGAGGGCTCTTTTTTGTTTTCTCCTACTGCATTAGTTAGCTTTGAGATAACTTTTGTCTTTTGCTGCCAGTCCTTACAATTTTTTATATATGTATCATTTTTCCTATCTGATTTGCATTTTTAAACCACTTTATTAAAAAATTAAGCATTAATTTAAATAATGCAGGCCTACATTGAAAATAGTGCCCTGATATCTTTCAAATTATTCAAAATATTCACTCCCAAGGTTTGAGATTTTGGCAAGCCATTGAAAGACGCTGTGTATTTCATCCATTATCATTTTGGGTTTCTTATAGAAAAGCAAACATACGCCGTCACTTTCACCGTCACTCATCAGCAACGAGTTCAGGACACCTAGAAAACATTAGCATAGTTCAGTAAAGCTTTTGCCCAGTAAACCAAGTATCCCATAAGTCTGTAAAACAGTGGTGCATGTTCCTTGTGCCAGTCAGAATCTGATACCAATAAAAAGGTGACAGCTTTGCCATCAACAAGAATCATGCTCTTCCATAGCTAGGATAGATTGTCATTTTACTTTGAAGAATGAGATTGGTGAATCCCTGTCCCACACTTTGATACCATCAGAAGACCAGCAATTAGACTGGGTTCTGTACTTACTGGTTAGTAAATTTTAGAACAGGCGTCCCTTAAATTTCTTTTACCAAGAACAGTTCACTTTTCAGTTAATGGTAAAAATACTAAAGGCAAGCCAGATGAAATGGCACATACCTGTTAATTCCAGCCTAGGCTACCCAAGACCCTTTTTCAAAAGCACATAACTAAATGCAAATAAGTAAGCGCAAGGTATCCTTTCCCTGGAGAACAGAGAGTAAAATAAAATTGACAATTTTAACTTGTTAGGCTTGGCCAAAATTAGTAAGTGAAACTAGAGAGGTTATTTTGGTGCTTCTTTGTCACAATGCTTAGCTCAACCTCACAATCCTCTTTAGAGTAACAGACTTTTCATCTCAACCTATCCTGTGAGAAACAAAGTAACTCCTTGGAAGACAACTCCCTCCTGAGTATACTGAGGCATTTTATATTCAATGTCAGTTGACATTTGACAAATGTTGGCTCATTTGAAGACTGTTTCTAGTAGAATAAAGAATTAGGGGCTGGGAAGGTGGCTCAGTAGTAGAGCGCTTGCCATGCATTCATGAGGCCCTGGGTTCGATTCCTCAGCACCACATAAGCAATAAAGAAAAAAAGCTGGAAGTGGTGCTGTGGCTCCAGTGGTAGAGCGCTTGAGCTGAAGAGCTGAGGGACAGCGCCCAGGCCTAGAGTTCAGGCCCCACAACCGAACCCCCCCCCCAAAAAAAGAATTAGGTGGGGAGATCTGACTTAGTCTCATTGGGCTTTCTGTGTAAAACATGATACCTATGGAAAGTATTCCTTACTTACAAATAAAAACATCAGTACCTTTATAAAACATAAGCAAGAACAAGCACAGATGACCTATACTTAAAAAAATAAACATGTAATTAAGGAAATGTTCAATATATAAATACTATTGCCTAGCATGTACCAAAAAAACCCTTGGTCTCTGTATGAACTGGTCACTTTTCTGGAAAGCAATTTGTCAGAATGCATCAAGAAACAAGTATATTGCTAGGCCCTAATGCTCACACCTATTATCCTAGCTACTTAGGTTTAGCTCCAGCCCAGCAAGGAAAGCCAAGTCTCCAAAATAACCAGCAAAAACGATAGGAGCATGGCTGAAGTAATATAGTGCTAGCTGAGCTAGCAAGCTGATAAAAGCTTGAGGCCTTGCGTTCAAACCCTAATACCAACAAAAAAAGAATGAAAGAAAGAAGAGAGAAAAAAATGCAGCAAGTCCTACGTTTCTTAGGAAATGTAACATCATAATGAAATGTAATCAAGACTTTAGGATTATAGTATAATTTGGTATTTGTGAAAAATTGGAAAATATACAATAACAGAATGGTTTTATAGATTAGAGTATACCTATCATGATAGACTTTTTCAGCCTTTTTAAAAACATATTTAGTAATATGGGCTTCTTAATGACAGACATTTTGTGTTTTTTATGCAAACTAAAACTACCTACATAGCAAGGAGCAGATTTCATTCTCATTGGTGGGAACACAAATTGTGCAGTTATTTGTTATAAAATTAAGCCTTTATCTTATAACTTAATCCTGCTCCTATACTGAAATTTATCAGCAAGGTCTGAGAGCTCTAGTACATTCTCATCATTGCTATAGCACTTGGCATTATCAGTTTTTGTTTTAAATTTTATTCAGTATATGAGATAAAGAATAATATCTCATTGTGCTTTGAATTTGCATTTCTCCTAATTTGTAGGTTTCTCTGATGGAAAATGAAATGAAAACTTATATTGGCCTCTGCAAATATTTATAGTTGTTTTATTTGTGATCATTACAAAACTAGAAATAACTCTTGTCAAGTAAGAAATGAATTTTTAAAAACTTCAGTATATGCATAAAATGTAACAGGAAGCAAATACATCCAGAAAGGAAATAGAACTAGCTATATACTAATTTATGAGAAAATATTAAAATAAAGCATAAAACATTATGTTATTAAAAGTTTCCAGAAAACTGGTCACGAATAGATGAAAATTATAATTAAATATTTCAGAATGAGCCAAGAGAAATTACAGAAAAAATTAAATTTTTGAAAGAATTTCGTAAACTGGAAATGAAAAGATCAGAAATGAAATGGCAATCAGAGAAAGCTAGAGTTCTCCAAATATAAACATACTATCACAGTGATGACAAGCATATAACCCTGTGGCTGTTAATGCCACTAGATTTTAAATTTAAAAATGGTTAAAACTTTATTTTATATTGCTCATCTGCCACAATAAAATAAAGGAAACAAAAGGAGTGGACTTGAAAGACTTAGAAGTACACTTATAACACTAAACATTAACTGAGGTTGAAATCTATATTGAAAGGGATACTGAATCTAGGTGTCTCAAAGCAGTTAGCACTGAGAGGTAGTAAAATGGTTGGATTTTTTTTGGGGGGGGCGGGGCAAGGGTCGGTTGCGGGTCTTGAATTCTGGGCCTGGGTGCTGTCCCTGATCTCTTCAGCTCAAGGCGCATGCTCTACCACTTTAGCCACAGTGCCACCTCCGGTTTTCTGGTGATTAATTGGAGATAAGAGAGTCTCAGGTGTTCTTGCCCAGGCTGGTTTTGAACTGTGATCCTTAGATCTCAGCCTCCTGAGTAGCTAGGATTACAGGCGTGAGCCACTGGGCACCTGGCAAATGGTTGGAATTTACAAATAATGAAGAAATAATTTATATGCAATCACTAGTTCAGTCATTAGAGGCCAATGGTTTAATCATTTCTGCCTTCATAACTGAGCCTACATTAAAACCCTGTCCAATGGAGTTCCTTTGTCAGTGAATATATGGAAGTGTCCAGGGAAGTGTGAGCTCAGAGAGAGCTTTGGAAGCTCTGACTTTTCTCCATCCCTCGCCCTAAGCATCTATTTGGCTCTCCTGAGCCTTATCCTTTTAAATAAACTGATAGTATCACTAGAACTCCTGGCCAAAAAAGCAATGTTGGAACCTCACTCTCCCTTGCATTAAGAAAAAAAGATTTTATATGTATATGTCTATGAATTTTCTCTGTCCAGCAAAAACTGGACAGAGAACAATTTTAATCTGTCAGGTCCCAATTTCTAGAAAAGATGAAACAAGGAGATATGCATATGTAGACTTGGCGGTTTGCCAGTTCCTGGCACTGGGCCATGAGTCTCCTGGCACCTGGGCTCTTGGGGCAGGCTGTTTTCACTCTCAGTGTGGTATCTTCTGCAGGGATTCAAATTCCTAGGGTCCCTGTTTACTACATAAAATACTTTTCCTGAGTTTTGTGAGCTGTTCTGGTAAATTATTAAACCTGGGGAGGTGGTATGAGAATCTTGCACTTATACTTGGTTTGTCAGGATAGTCCCAATTTATATGGGACTTGTAACTGTTTCTGAAGTGAAAGGCAGTCTTGTGATACTCAGGGCTGGGGGAGAAGGGGCGCAGAGGGGTTGTCTGTGCTGATTCTCTTCAGTTAGTCTCTAATTGAATTGTAGGACCATCCAGTTGATGTCCAATGATTAATGTGAGGGAGAAATCCACATATTTGTTGTCCCATGAGTATTTAGCAGGCATGGGAATAACTGCAGGTGTCAGAACAGATGAGTCTTTGAAATTGTTTGGTGCATGATGAAATAGATGGGGTGGCCGGCAGTCACCTTCCCAAATAGATCATTTTGTATGATATGATTTCCCCAAATGATATGATTTCCAAGTGGCCCTTGAGAGAAAAAAGGTTTCCTTCCCCTAAGGAAATAGGTCACTTTGTTTTTACAGGTGTATCAAACATAAATGGGCTCAATTTAATGAAAAAGGGGAATTTCAGATTGCTATATACAGCAGCTACAGCTGTAAAACATGAACAATAAAGGAATTACTAATTTAAAACAAGGTTCTTAGTAACAATAAAAGTAAAGTCCAAAAATATACTAGGGAAGTGCACATTTTTGGAAAGCAGGTTCATCATCTTGGTACTTGACAAGGTAGAATATAGGCCAAAAACATTAAGATGGAGGACATAATTTTTAAGGTAAATTCTACAATTCACAGTAAAAGTTTTTTTTTTTGTTTTTTTGTCTTGTTTTTTGTTGGTTGTGGGGCTTGAACTCTGGGCCTGGGCACTGCCCCTCAGCTCTTCAGCTCAAGGCTAGTGCTCTACCACTTGAGCCACAGCACCTCCTCCAGTTTTCTATTAGAGATAAGAGTTTCACAGACTTTCCTGCCCAGGCTGGCTTTGAACTGCCATCCTCAGATCTCAGCCTCCTGAGTAGCTAGGATTATAGACCACCAGCACCTGGCAGTAAAGGTATTTTAAAATGTCTGTTTAGGGGCTGGGAAGGTGGCTCAGTGGTACAGCTCTTGCCTTGCATGCATGAGGCCCTGGGTTCGCTTCCTCAGCACCACATAAACGGGGGGGGGGGGGGGGGGGGGGGGGGGTGGCGCTATGGCTCAAGTGGTAGAGCGCTTCCCTTGAGCTGAAAGCTGAGGGACAGCGCCCAGGCCCAGAGTTCAGGCCCATGACTGGACCCCTAAATAAATAATAAAGAAATGAATAAATAAATAAATAAATAAATAAAATGGCTGTTTACTAGTGGATACAATAGCTTTCATAAAACACAACTACAAGAGATAAAAGGAAAAAAATTGATGCTAGTACTAAGATACGTTAACATAACTCAAAAGTAAATCAGATCAAGTGGACACAAAGTTAGATAATAGATTTTGTACAAATAGATAGCAAACTCTCAAACCTCTAATAGAGACTGTGTGTGTAAGTGCACATGGAATATTTTAAGTCTATTTGTATGAAAGAACACCCCAATTAGAAAAATTGTCATACTCCATGTAATAAAAGTAAAAATTATTTAAAAGCAAATGAAGGCTAGGTTTCTAGTTTTCAGTAGGATGAAGGCAACTACCTAAATCCAAACTTTTCAATATATTCTCAAAAAAATTGTTTTTTTGTTTTTTTGCATATCATCACTTTTGCTAAGGAACATCATTTGAAGTGATTGTGTGAAGTGGACCCTCAGACCAACCAAGCTGGTTCTGAGACCCGCACTGAAGTGGTGAGTGAGATGCAGAGCACAAAGCCAAGAGGTGAGGGAATCAGGATCCTGGGACAGCAGAACCCAGGTGAAATCATTTCCAGAGCAAGGAAGCCCCACCCTGAGTAGGCAAATAGAAAAGGTGTTAAGACCTGTTGGACAAAAGGGACTTGAAAGCATGGAGTCTCAGAAGGGTAGTACTGGGGAGAGAGGCTTCTTGGAATGGGCACTGGGTAGTGGGGGCTTGGTAGTAAAAGAGAAATTATGAATGTTGGTGAAACAGAATAAAAAGTTGAATTAACTCCAAACAGGAGTTATTGGGGGAAAGAAAAAAACTCAGACTTTTTTTTTTTCCGATCATGGGGTCTGATCACTATCCCCGAGCTTTTTTGTTTAAGGCTAGCGCTTTACCACTTTAAGCCATAGCTCCACACACAGTTTTTTGGAGGCTAATTGGAGATAAGAGTCTCATGGACTTTCCTGCCCAGGCTGGCTTTGAACTGTGATCCTCAGATCTCAGACTCCTGAGTAGCTAGGATTATAGGTGTGAGCCACTGGCACTCAGCTCCCACACTTCTTTAGATATTATTAAATTGAGAAACCTGGTATGTCATATCCTGTTATATGGTTTAAGAAAAGTAAAACACTTCAAAATGAACAGAAAATGGCAGGCAACATCAATATACTTTAAGTAGAAAATGAAAAGAGAGGCTTTGTAGTAGAGTGCTTGCCTAGTAGCATTCATGAAGCCCTGGGTTCAGTTCCTCAGTACCACATAAACAAAACATAAATAAAATTAATAGTCAATTTTTAAAAAAAAAAGAAAAAAATGAGAGTCAACACATTAAACTATAGAGCTAAAAAACTATAGTACATTACCAAAATCCAAGTTAAGTCCAAGATTTTCAGAGATAAAAAAAGCCTCATCTCAGTCAGGCACTGGTAGCTCATGCCTGCAATTCTAGCACTCAGGAGGCTGAGATCTGAGGATCATGATTCAAAGACAGCCCGAGCAGAAAAGTCCATAAGACTCTTACCTCCAATAAACCACTCGAAAACTGGAAGTGGCACTGTGGCTCAAGTGGTAGAGTGCTTGCCTTGGGCTGAAGAGCTCAGGGACAGCGCCCAGGCCCAGAGTTCAAGCCCCACGACCAAAAAAAAAAAAAAGCCTCATCTCAAAATTCAAAACCCTAAAACAAAGAGACAAAAAGGAATATGTGAAAAAGAATTTACTGAACTTGAGAAATAAAAGAAGAAGAAAAATTACCTTTAAAGCTAAACTCCAGAGTACAGGAGGGACAAATAACTGGCTGAATTACAGGTGCTGAGAAAAGCCATTAAACATTCAAGAGAATCAAATCAAATGAAGAAAAATAGAATTATTTTTTTTAGTGGTGTAAACTCTATCTCTCCTTGCTATGGTAGGCAGACATTCATCACTGAGCCACAGCCACAACATCATAAAATAGTAATTCCTAAGAAGAAAAACAATAGAACTATTTAATGCTGTCATATTTAAATTTGACCAATTCTAGCAAGTCACATTTTTCCTTATGCACAGCATTTGATTTTTAGAAATCTGTTATTAAAAAATGCACTGAAATTTAAAATTTTGGTAACAACCACCTCAGAAAAAGAATTAGTGAATTTGTAACACATATTTAAATTTCTGTCCATAAACCTAGAAATAAAAAAAGATTCAAATATGTATACTGAACAGCTCAGGCTGGGGTTGTCTCTTATTAATATAGTGCTTGTTCAAAGCTGTGGGTTTGACTCTTAGCTCTTCCTCCTCAACCAACCCCTCAATTTAAAAAAAGGAAAGAAAAGGCTTATTGTGTACTGGGATTTCTGTCTTAGTAAAACTTTTGGAGGGTGGGGGGGCAGGGGGGAGGATGGGAAGGGATGGGAAGGGGAAACAAAGGAGGAGGCTACAGTGCTTGATAAGAAATGTACTCATTATCTTGCCCATGTAATTGTAACCCCTCTGTACAATATTTTCACAATAAAAAAAAATTAAAATTAAAAAAAATGTTGGACTTTTCAAGATAATGATTCTCCTTTTCTGTGCTTCCAAACTGAAGGATGTTAACAGAATTCTTAGCAGTGACATATAGAGCAAAACAGTCTTAGAACAAACATGGCTAAAGTCTCTGGAAATGTAAGCCATGTATTTTATCAGTATAACTCACTACCAGGAAAGATAAAAACCATGATAAATCCTACTGTATTGAAGTGTTGACGTGATGAAAAGTGTCAGAGCAAAATCAGATGATAAAATGTGCAAACATTTGGTCATATATCTTGAACTAATTTTAATTAAAACAGCTTGTTGAAAATCTAGGAAATATATTCAAACCGTGTGCCAGAGATATGAAAAGACAGCCTATAAGAAAAGCAATACAGGGGAGGATTAGGTGGGGGGGCTGGGAAGGGATGGGAAGGGTAAACAAAGGAGGAGGCTACAAGGCTTGATAAGAAATGTACTCACTATCTTGCCCATGTAATTGTAACCCCTCTGTACACTATTTTCACAATAAAAAAAAGAAAAGCAATACAGATAGTCATTGAAAGAAAAATACCAATCTGGAAATATTAAAGAATTAAGATTATTCCAAAATATTTCTCACTAAAGGCCAAAAGCTGTGCACTTTATATTGCTGACTGAAGGAGAAATAGGAATTTGATACATTGCTTGTAGGGATCCATTTAGTAACTACACACTGTATAGAAAGGAATTTGGCTACCTCTAGCAAATCACATTTCTCCTTGTGCATTTGATTTTTAGAAATCTGTTATAAAAATGCACTGAAATTTAAAAATTTTTATATAACTATTTGGCATTTTGATAACAACCACACCAGAAAAAGAATTAGTGAGTTTATAACACTTTTTAGACTATCTTCTTACTGTGATATATTCAATAGTATTTGGATATATTACTGTTTGGAAAGAATTTTATTAGACACAATAAATGTTGCAAGATATCAGTAATTGATAAATCACAAGTTTATCAAGGCTAAACTTAAGAAAATTTAGTGTGAAAAGCCCTACGACAGATTGAATGCAGGGAAATGAAGTGCTGAATTACACAAGAGAGCTACTGTTAATTGTTTCTTAAGCTAGATGCAATGTGTATACTTGTAATCTCAGTACGTGGGAAGTGGAGGTAAGAGGATGGAGAGTTTAAGACCACACTGCAGTACATAGTAAGATCCTGTCTCGAACAAGAGAGAGATGGATGGAAGAAAGGAAGGAAAAGGAAATGAGCACAGAAAAAGTCCTTTTGGGGGCTGGGAAGGTGGCTCAGCGCTTGCCTTGCATGCATGAGGCCCTGGATTTGATTCCTTAGCACCACATAAACAGAAAAGGCTGGAATTGGCGTTGTAGCTCAAGTGGTAGGGTAGAGTGCTCACCTTGAGCTGAAGAGCTCAGAGACAGCTCCCAGGCCCAGAGTTCAAGCCTCACAACTAACAAAAAAAAAATTTTTTTTTAAAGAAAGAAAAAGTCCTTTTTTTTTTTTTTTTTACATTACAGGCGTTGTTTGGGCTGTGGTGTGGTGTGGTGTGTGTGTGTGTGTGTGTGTGTGTGTGTGTGTGCGTGCGTGCACACACGCGCACGCATACGTGTGTTTGTGTGTTTGTCATGTGTACACATTCGATAGAGTTACTTTTTAAAATAGTCACAGTATGACCCATGATATTTTCCCTGAGAGATTCAGGGGTTTTAAAAGTAATTTTTATCATATCCAATTACTAATCAGGAAACAGATTTAAACCCAGATCTATGTGATTCCAAAACTTGAGCTTTTTCATATCATTTCAGGATATCAACTTTTCAACAGAAGGAACATCAGGAGCCACGGGGTCTATTTAAATCTGTAGTTGCTGCTCACAAAATGAGGATGCAGACTCTGAATTGTTGGTTTAGATGTTCTTCATGCAAGAGCAATATACTGAAGGAGAGAAGTGTAAGTATTTCTTATTTATGGTAGGTACACACCCTTATATTGATGCTGAAGATAAGCATACAAGATTATCACTGAAGGTTGCAATTAAGAAAATGTGTGAGCTACAAGTATGGTGAAACAGAAAAGAACAAAACTTAGAAGGCATTGATTTGATGGTGCTGTGAAAAGCCAGAGAGCCCTGTGTAACACTTCACAGCTCTTTTGTGTTTTCTATTATAAAACAATGTAAAGATGAAAATTAAAATTTTACCAGACATCTAATAGAGAGCATTCTTAATTAGGAAAAGCTTGCCCAACTTTTTTGCATAAGATAAAATACTGGATTAAATAAGATATTTCCTGTTGGAGATGGAATCTAGTGGAGATTTCAAAAAGGTAGATCCCTTTTTACCTAAACCAGCCATTCATATTTCTACTGGTTTCTCTTGATCATGAGTATTTTTTCACTCAGCTTAGTGCTGCCCTTTGACAGATCTACCCCAGAAGTACTTGGGGTAGGAGTGTTTTCTTGTTTTTATGTATCTGTAGTTGATTTTGATGGATAATTAAATGTTGATTCTCTATGCCCACTAACAATGAGACAATATATTGGATTCACTATTAAATCTTTGTTATTATGTGATGTTCAAAACTTATTAAGATACTTCTTTTTTGTCAGATGCTATGTTGATCAGTGATTTCAAGGAAAGCTTAGAACGTTGAAACAAAGTTGCAAATGGTACAAGACTTCTAAGGTAAGATAATATAACTCAAGGTCAAGATTCTTCTTTCTTTGACAGATTTATTAGACTACACTGGACATGTTAAAATTTTCATCTGAAATAAATAAATATACAGATTAAATTTTACAGAATAATAAACTTCTATTTGCAACCCAATGTCATCCAAGAGATCTTATATCCTTCCATTTATCAAACATGATAAAATACAATATTTGGTATAAAAATATCCATTAAAATGATTGTTTCTTTTTAAGCCAGTAAAAAATAAAGGAATGAGGAGGTAAAAACAGTAGTTAATTTTACAGAAGGTAATGAATATTCCCTATATAGTCGCATATAGGAAGCATATGCTCTACTATTAAGCTATTCCTCCAGCTCAAGTACTTGTTTTATTGGGGTTTTTTTCTGCCTAATTAATTTGAGATTCATCCATGTTGTCGTGTATATAAATAATTGCTTTTTATTGCCAAATACTATTCCCTTTTATGGTACTACAGTTTGTTAGTTTTTGTTTTTTGTTTTGTCAGTTGTGGGGCTTGAATTCAGGGCCTGAGTGTTGTCCCAGAGCTTTTTTACTCAAGCCTAGCACTCTACCACTTAGTGCCACAATGTTACTTCCAGTTTTCTGGTGATGAGAAATAAGAGTTTCACAGACTTTGCTGCCCAGGCTGCCTTCAAACCATGACCCTCAGATCTAGCTTCCTGAGTAGCTAGAACTAAAGACGTGAGCCACTGGCACATAGCTACAATTTGTTTTTCTATGCATTTGTGTACTGGAATATTTCTTTGCAGTTTTAAGCTAGTATAGGTAAAAAATACTACAGGAATTCACATGTGGTCTTCATGAGGCTGTTTCTTATCTCTTGGTTAAATTCCTAGGATTGAAATGGCTGCATCATATGGATATGATCAAATCTTCATTATCAACTAATTATGTTGAGAAATACCTAGGAGTTTAGATGTGTTATGAAGATGTTTGCAGAGGACATTGATTAAGTTGGGAGGGAAGATCCATCTTGAATGCACATTGACATAGACTGTGTGACATAGGCCAAGTGGCTCAGGCTTTCTCTCTGCTTCCTGACTGCTGTGAGTTAAAGTGCTTTCCTTTACCATGCCTTTATTCTATGATATTCTGCCTTGCCTCAAGTCCAAAGCAATTGATCCAGTCAACCTTGGACTGAAACCTCAAAAGTTGTCAACCAGAATAAAAATTTCCTCCTTTAAACTGTTTCACATATTTGACAGTGATTTTTAAAAAAGTCTAACACAGAAGACTGGTAGTAGAGAAATGTAGTCAATGCTTTGACTGTTCATGACCATGTGATGTAGAAGCATTATGGACTTGGCTTTTTAGGGAAGGAATTGGGAAAAATCCAGATACAGACTAGGGAAGCCCCAGAGTGCTACAAACTCAGCTTAATGTGTGATTCTGGTGTGAGTTCAGAAGACTAGAAAGCTGATAGACAGGAATGAAGACAGCAAACACTGTTCATAGGATTTCAGATGAGAACTGGGGAATCCATTGGGAATTGAACTAGAAGCCATTTGTGGCAAAGAATTTATCTACGTTTGTTCATGCCCTGAGACTATATACAAGGTGTAAAATTGATAGGCTAAGGAAATTTCAAAGCCCAACACTCAGCATGGTCACTGCTAGCTACCTTAGACAGTTTTATGGTGAAAACCAAGAACAAAAAGAAGAGCAGAAAAACTAAAACCCCTGGACATTTTGCCAGAAAAAGAGCATATTTAGAACTGAGGCCAAGGAAAACATTGCTGCTGCAGAGATTAGGGCCAATAAACAGAAGCTAAGTGATTTGCACCGAGCCTCTAAGGAAAGATGCTTTGCAGGCATCTCAGGAATTGTCTTGGCCTAACCCATAGAAGGCTAAAGTGGACAAAAGTAATGTTGTATAATAATTCAGGTCAAATCTTGCTAGACTAGTATCCTGTTACTTTATTATTTACTAAATTTGAGTTTGTGTTGGTTATATTTTAAATTCATTTTACAACTGAAAAAGGTTTGAGAAGATTTTGTCAATAGAAGCTTTATAATTCTGGTGAAATGAGCTTACTTCCTTTACCTTAAAAATATGTTATTTGGGGGCTGGGAAGGTGGCTCAGTGGTAGAGCGCTTGCCTTACATGCATGAGGCCTGGGTTCGATTCCTCAGCACCACATAAGCAGAAAAAAAAGCCGGAAGGCTCAAGTGGTAGAGCGCTAGCCTTGAGCTGAAGAGCTGAGGGACAGCGCCCAGGCCCAGAGTTCAGGTCTATGACCGGAACCCCCCCCCCCAAAAAAAAAATGTTATTTGGCCGGGCACTGGTGGCTCACGCCTGAAATCCTAGCTACTCAGGAGGCTGAGATCTGAGGATTGAGGTTCAAAGCCAGCCCAGGCAAGAAAGTCCTTAACACTCTTATCTCCAATTAACCACCAGAAAACCAGAACTAGCGCTATGGCTTAAAGTGGTAGAGCACTAGCTTTGAGCAAAAGAGCTCAGGGACAGTGCTCAGGCCCCAAGTTCAAGTCCCCCAACACTCTCTCTCCCTCTCTCTCTCTCACACACACATACACACACACAGCCAAGTTAGTATACGCAGATATTCTCAATATTTTACCTGCCTTTAATTTTTAATCTTATTTTTAACTGATAATACACACGAGGTACCATCTATTGTTTTACTATATGTTTTCAATATTGAATAAGTCTTAATTTTAGTTTTAGATTTATGGAAATTACAAATATAGTACTGAGTTTCCATATATTGTATAACCAGTTAATTAGCTACATATTAGCATGTTATAATAATGAACTAATAGCAACACATTAATGAGAACTGAAATTTTATTGATTTTCTTGGCATAGGATATGATCCTGTCACCTTGAAATTATTTGCCAACCAAACCACATATATTTACTTATAATGACAGTTATAATACACATCTGTCAGAATCCAGCTTATTACTTGGGAAGACTCATGGGAATTACTTAATTTTTTAATACATAAGGCTGTGATCTCAACTAACTGGATCTGTTCTGCATTTAGCTAACTGACTCTATCTTATATTTAATAACTCATGTATTTAACTCATGACAGAAATGGTATTAATTTGTTCTTCCACTGGAGTGTACAGATTTTGTTTTGGTTTTGTCTTTATCATGAGTATTTAAAAAAAAAAATTGCCCAGCTCTGAACTCAGGGCCTGGGCACTGTCCCTGAGCTGCTTTTGCTCAAGGCTAGAACTCTACCACTTGAGCCACAGCACCACTTCTGGCCTTTTCTGTGTATGTGGTACTGAGGAATTGAACCCAGGGCTTCATGCATGCTAGGGCATATTCCCAGTCCCTATCATGAGTATTTCAGGTGTTCCTGACTTACAAGAAATGAAGAGACAATCTCTCATTGGATATATCAAAAATGTTCTCCCTCTTTAGAAAAAATTATTGTTATTGTAAAGGTGATGTACAGAGTGGTTACAGTTACATAGATACAGAGTACATTTCTCTTAATGTCACCCCTTCCTTCATTCTCTCCCAGTTCCTCCTTCCTGTCCCCACCCACAAGTTGAATAGTTCATTTTCAACATAGTGTCAAGTGAGTGTCACTGCTGCATATTTGTTCACCCTTTGTACCACCATTTTTCATGCCCTCTTACATCCCAAAGGCAGATAAATGAACAAACAAAACAAAAGGAAAAGAAAGAAAAAACAGTAGCAAAGATTTTCTTACCAGTTAGAGAACCTTTGCCTAACAGTCATGTTGACTGCCTGAATTTTCTGCAGCAGTCCACTAGAGGGAGAGTTTTCCACATGTCCAGCAAAATGCCTGATGATAGACTTTGAAACTGCGAGTGCTCAGTGTTAAAATAAATTTGATTTGGGTTTTAGAAAAGATAGAGAAAGTAAAGGGTGACAATAATATATTCCATGATTATTTAAGATATATCTTATGGATCCCATTTTCTAGAGAGATATTTAAGATCTTGCAAAGGAGTTGCTTTTAGTCAGCTGATTGTGGGTCACCACAAAGAGAGGAAATATTATTGTTTTATTGTTTGTTGGTGTCCCTTTTGGTCCAAATGTGGTATATCCATAGTTAAAACCTGTAAAATTTAAAGAGGTATGAGTGATTAGGATTATATCATAAGAATCTAATCATTTTTTTGTTGCTGTTCATTGGACCATTGGTCTTGTTTATTCATTTAGACAAACACATATGTCTTTATTTACCTGGAACAAAGATATGGAAATACAGCACTCAACTGTTAATAGGGAGTAACACTGACAAGTGGAATTAGTAAGGAAGAAGGCAGAGAATAATGCCAAATAAAAAAAAAAAATTTTTTTTTTGGGTCCGGTCGTGGGGTCTGAACTCTGGGCCTGGGCGCTGTCCCTCAGCTCTTCAGCTCAAGGCTAGCGCTCTACCACTGGAGCCACAGCGCCACTTCCGGCTTTTTTCTTTTTGCTTATGTGGTGCTGAGGAATTGAACCCAGGGCCTCATGCATGCAAGGCAAGCGCTCTACCACTGAGCCACCTTCCCAGCCCCCAAATAAAAAATTTTTAAGGATCATTTACTTTGAAATTTAAAAGGAAAAAGATATTTTTAGAATCAATAGTTTTAAAAGTTCACTAGTTTGTGTTTTATTTGTTCTATTTGTATTTAGAAAACACATTTTTCTAGGAAGTATTGCAATTATCCTATGCTTGATCATATTTTACTGATCATATTGATTAGTTATGATAAAATGTTTTACCATAAAACACTTAATTGGATTATGGAACTACATAGAACACTTAGTCATCATGTGTACCATCCTGGATTTGATCCCTAACACTGCAAAAGCTAGTGATAAAATGAATAATAATAGAGTCCACTATAATTTCTATACTAATTCTTTACAGATTCTTTCCTTCCAGTAAATTCCCTAAATATGTTTTATTGCAAATGCTATATTCTTTGTTGTGTGTATGTATCAGTTGTGGGGCCTGAACTCTGGGCCTGGACT